TGAGTTTCAGCTATAAAGGCAAATCTTGAAGAGCTCTCGAAGGGATCAAAGGCGAGAAACAGATAGTTCGGGCCGTCCACAATACCAGGGCCTCCAAAAGGAGCAGTGATTTCTCGCTGGGGACTCCTTAAAATTAATTATTAAAAGATATAATACAGTATAACCTCTGTGCAACAAACTATAATAATAGTACAAAGAAATCAGTCTGTGAAGAGCAATTTCAGAGGTCTCTAGAGTACATCTTTTCCAAAATAAAACTTACTGTTCGAACGCTTCAGCCCAACTCTCATTCTCCAGTTTATAAATACGGCAACGGCAGCAGATTTCTTTGTAAATCTCTTCTCTCCGCTTCTTCAGTAACTGCCCGAAATAGCTGTTTGTTTCTGATAATCGAAAGACTGACTTTACATCCAAATAATCGACTACTTTACACCAAATCTGTAATCAACGAGGTGACAAATAACCGCGTATTTTACTTACGGGAGAATCTAGTCGGAGCCAAGTAGGTTGAATCATTTCGCAAATTGGGAAGAGTAGTAATATTTTATATGCGAAAAAGGAGGATTAGAAATATATGCGAAATGATGACAATTCAAATTTTGGTCTCAGAGATTGCTGTTTTGCAGCACTGACGCCAAGAACAGAGTTCTAATTTAACACCTTATAAATTTCCCAATGATCTATCAACTGTCGCGCGAGCTTTTAGCGCGCGTTACCCAAGCGAAAGGTCAGTCAAAGCCCGCGTTCTTTCATATCAAGATTACTGTAAGCTGTGCGGACGCGCGTTCTGTAGAGTCTCCTCAATAAATATTAGGTTCCAATACCTTGAATAAGGCACATAGACTGCCACGGTCAAAACTTCGGCGCAGCTGAGATATTCAGCGATCTTTGCCGCCGAGAGAGTACGCGAAAGATGGAGTGCGGTCACAAAGAAAAACATTTTTTTGGCCGTATCTTAGCCAGTTTCGTATGGAAAAAATCATTTTTTCCTTGGGGTCTTGCGTATGTCTAAAGAATTATTCTAAATTTGTGCCAAGTTTCATCAAAATCTGAGCGTCGCAAATGGTGTACTTCCCTTGTATACTGGTTGACAAAATTTTCTTTCCACCTCGTATCTCGGGAACCGCTGGGCCTAGAACCTCCAAATTCGGCATAGAAACATCCTAGGACAGTCTAACACCATGCCCAAAAAATCATTTGATTTGATGCACTTTACATGCCCTTTTTCCAAAAAAGGCAAAAACCCGGATGACAAAATTTTCTTTCCACCTTGGAAAAAACGTTTGTAACTCATAAGCCAGAGGGTTTTAGGGCATGATTGTGATATCGTTGTGTTCGCGAAGAAGTCCTCTCTCGATTGGTGTCACAACCTTACGGGGGTTTTCGTTTCTTCGCCCTTGAGCGTCGGCTCATCGTTGCCTTGTCTATTTTCAGCCAAATTCGTGGCCAGAGGAGCTCGCATAAGGCATAAGGAGATGAAAATGCCTTTAAAAAATCTGGCATTCATGTTTGCAACATTGTTTCCTCCGGCAGTAGAATTCGATTTAATTTAAGTGCGTTGCAGGGAAAACGCGCGCTTCCAGGGTTCTCGTTTCCAGAAAATTACGCTATTATGGGAACACTGCAGATAATTCACGTAACTTTTCCTGCTTATATATTTTCTATGATACTACAGAGTTAAAAAATAGTGACGATTTTAATCACTGATGTCCCGCTTAGATGTGAGCAGAAGAAGGGTTCCAAATGCCCCATGTACAAAATTTGCGACTCTAAGCTTCCTGCGAAAGCTATTCGTCGTGGAAAAAACGGTGAAGGCCTGTCAAGGTCAATGTATTAAAGTAGTCTGGTAGCCAAAAGTCCCAATATACCAAGCTTAAGAAATACCAAGGCCTAGTGCAACAACCTGCGTTACTTGAGACGACATAGACCAGAGAGGGGTAAGATAAGCGGGCAGATTTCAACACATGCTGTCGTATAAGCCCTAAAGTACGCCGTATGTATAGCGAATGGATGTAATTTGGACGTTCCCATTCTGTACAGAAGTGATTCTTCGGTTTTGCGTACCCAGGCAGCGCTCATTTTCCCCTGCAACGCACTTAAATTAAATCGAATTCTACTGCCGGAGGAAACAATGTTGCAAACATGAATGCCAGATTTTTTAAGGGCATTTTCATCTCCTTATGCCTTATGCGAGCTCCTCTGGCCACGAATTTGGCTGAAAATAGACAAGGCAACGATGAGCCGACGCTCAAGGGCGAAGAAACGAAAACCCCCGTAAGGTTGTGACACCAATCGAGAGAAGACTTCTTCGCGAACACAACGATATCACAATCATGCCTTAAAACCCTCTGGCTTATGAGTTACAAACGTGTTTTCCAAGGTGGAAAGAAAATTTTGTCATCCGGGTTTTTGCCTTTTTTGGAAAAAGGGCATGTAAAGTGCATCAAATCAAATGATTTTTTGGGCATGGTGTTAGACTGTCCTAGGATGTTTCTATGCCGAATTTGGAGGTTCTAGGCCCAGCGGTTCCCGAGATACGAGGTGGAAAGAAAATTTTGTCAACCAGTATAAGCATTAATTCTCTTACAATCAGTCATCACCAAAGATTGCTGTTGCAGCAAAAAAAGCGTCGAAAATACCCTCGAGGAAAGTTTTCAATCAACGGAGAAAAGCTGGAAGGTTGTAAAGAGTTTTCTCACACGGACATTGTCGACGATCAGTTGAAGATCCGAGCAGAGTGAGTCTCAAGGTGTAATGCAACTTTGCGTTTTTGAAAATATAGCCAAACTAAGCGCTGGTTGCGAGTTCAGAAAATATCAGTCTGTCGGAAAAATAGTGAAAAAATTGTCGCCAATCGCATCGCTGAATTCAAAAGAAAATTGTTTTGCCGCGACATTAATTTTCTCGGCGACGATGCGATTTTCGATGCGAGAGAGCGCTCACTATTTTCTCGACAAAATGATACATAATTTTGCCTTTATGTATAACATTAAAATACATTTTTTCTCACTTTTCAGCGTGACAATTGGCAACGAGACCTATGAGAATCCACTGATTGGATTTTCACTCGGTTACTTCACCGAGATCCCGTTGAATCTTTTTTAAAAACATTTCATTGGAATCCACAAGGTCGACGATCTCCCTTCTTTCGGAATCTCCTTCAACAACGAGGACTTTACCATTCCTCCATTCAATTTTGTGCAGTACTATGGGCTACAGCACAATCTGTTAACGCCTTTTTTGATCAACCAAAATGACACCGAAGACGGCTTTATACTCGGCCAGAATTTCCTTAGCGACTTTTGCATTTCCCTGAGGCAAAATAAGGCCACAAACAAATTTGAGCTCGGTTTGGCGAAAAATGAGCCAATCAGAAGCGATCCACCGTGGATCAGTTATGCTGATGACTTTTACAACGATGACAACGCAGCTGACAAAAGAGGGATATGTATATCACTAATGGTTTTAGTTACGGTAATAAAAAGACTTGTTATCTAAGAGCAGAACAATGTTATATTATGAGATTCAAATGAATCTTTATCAAAGAATTTTATCGCTGTGGATCAGTGATACCCATTTGTAAAAAGTGGGATCTAATATGATACAGTGACGGACTTGATCCAAAAGCAAAAGACTACCATTATACTTCCGGGAAGTATCAAAAAGTATGGCAAAATGCCTCCTTTTCCATCTAAAAAACGGGGTTTTTTCACTTGAAGAGGGAGGTAATTAGCTACATTTTCGATTCTTCCCGGATGCAAAACGGTATGTTTTTTGCCACTGGAAAATTTTTTTCTGATATGTAAAAGTTAGCTGCCTAATTTTGGCTTGTAAAGGTGAAAAAGACCTCCAACTTTTCTCGAAACACCACGCAAATGCCCTTAAGTTTTGACCAAGTTTTTACCAAATCAAAAGCTTTGTTTCGAGCTAAAGTAAACTCTGGTATCTTTACAAGCCTTAAAATATCAAATCTAATTTATACTACACCTTAATTTGTAGTTCCAATGTAAAAAAGGCGCATTTCCATGGTGTTGCGAGAAAAGTTGACTTTTTGCCAAATTTCGGCACCAAAAGTTTCATGGTTATTTCTACCATAGAGGGTAATGTTTCACAAAAAAAATCAATTTTCCCCCCAGGAAACTAGCGAAGTTATGGCCAAAAAGTGTTTTCTGACCGGTCTCCACGTTCAGTGTACTCTCTCGGCGGCAAAAATCGTTCAATATCTCAACGGCGCCTGTAAAGCGCGGGCTAAAACTTTCAGGAATTGATATATACATAGTTCATGCCCGACGTGTGTGCAAAATTTAAAAAAAGAAAGGTTATCGTCAAATATTATATTTTGTGGATGAAGTAATTGGAGTGGAGCCAATGGTATATTGGACATTTGGGTTTATTTTAGGGAAATAGTGAACGCAGTTAGTCTTGTTTGTTGCAAGTTCAAGCCTGTTGATTTTTGACCAGTGAGTTAGTTTGCGGATAAAGACTTGGGCGGATTGATATGTTGAGTTGGGTATAACTTCGGATTTTAAGGTCATCAGCGAAGAAGAATGGGGAAACTCCTTCTGCGTGACAATCAAAGGGCCAAGGACAGAACCCTGTGGGACTCCCGAGGTCATGAGGTGATCTTCAGACAAGGTTTCACCAACCAATGTCTTAAACGATCTACCAATTAGGAAATTGGTTATAAATTTTAGACAGCGACCGTTAATACCCATGTTAGAAAGCTTTTGGATGAGAATTGAATGACCCGCCGGATCAAAAGCCTTTTTGAAGTCGAAGTAGAGTATATCAATCGGTTTGCGTTTCTCCCTTGACATTATTAACAGATCTAACAATTCGAGGAGTGAAGGTGTTATTCTTTTGGCTGAATCCATGTTGGGATGGTGCAATAATCTTGCGATTATTAACATAGATAAGACGATTTTCGAAAATGTGTAAAGAAGAATCGAGGCTGGGACGATTAACTAGCCTGTTGAGGAATTAGTTTTTCCTTAGGAGCGATGAAGCTTGCCATGTTTTTTTTGATTCTATGTTGCGCATTCTCAATCAATTTGGGCGCTGCAAAAAGGTTTGAGTATGATGGAAGTGAGTACCTTAACATTATTAACTACAACCACAGTCTTTTTCTTCTAATTTTGTTTTCTAGATTACCCTTACATCAATTCCTGGTTTACTGCCGTAAATCCAATCAAATTCTTCAAGACAAAACTGGAAATTGAATGTTCTTATAGCTTTTATCTTGGCAAAGAATGCGCAGCAAATTGCACAGCCTCCCCGATTAGTCCGACATACGATAACGAGTAGGTTTTAAAAAAAGTCATCAACTCGCTATCACTTTTACAGTATCTACAACGCCGTACACACAAAGAACATTTCTTCAAGAGAATACAAAATCCACACGTGTACGGGCGATCAATACCAAGGGTATTTGGGGACCGACCTTACAAGTCCGGATGGGAATGCTACGTTTGAAACCATAACGAAAGCCTACGGTCGTTTACCACTCGATGCTCCAGGAGTTTTGGGATTGAATGGAAATAGGGATTTGATGATGAGGAAAATATTCAGCGAGATGGGAAGAACCAAGCAAATCATCTTCAGAAGAGGTCCATTTGTGCAGTATTTGGTAAGAAATAAAAAGTACAGGGTGTTCCATCTTTGAAAAGTTTCAAAGTAAAGGCTATTTGAATCTATGGCTTGAACCCATCTATCGGCAAGTTGTGCTCTCCCGCTGCGGTAACAATCCTTGTTCATTTCAGGCCGACAATTTTAACAACCGAAAACAGTGAAAGAAAATATTAGTTTTTTTTGGCTGCAACTTTTTACTGTAGTTTACTGAAAAGTTGTACCATATTTGGTATTAAACAAAATGGGAGATCGTGAGGATTCAGGTAAAAAAGGAATCTTACAATTTGGCTGAAAATTGAAGAAGTTATAGCCAGTTCAAATCGGGCCATAAAGATGGAACACCCTGTACAAAAGTCCTTGCTTTAACAGTTCAAACCGTATCCTGCAGTTTCCCTTGTCTGTAATTTTCAATCATCTTGCAAAAAAAAAATTGTTGGCTTTCTGTAGCTGTTTCCTACATATTTTTAGCCAACTAGTGTGCGCCTGAATCCCAAAGGCGTTTTCAGTACGGGCGCGGAAACTTTGGACGGCTGCGGCAACTTCACTTATTTCCCAACGATTCGAAATCGAGGATGGAGGATCAAGGCAGGGTGAGAAATTGCGCAACAGTTTTTACAAGCCTATTGAATTGTCATCAAATTTAATTTTAGTATAAAACTTGCCGATGAGGTGTTCCACAATCGAACAGTTGAATTCTCTCTCGATTCCTTAACCACGATCCCGATAGAAGTCTACAAAAAGTACTTCAGGAATGCCCAATTCCTTGGTGACCTCCCAAATTTGGCATTGATTACTGGCAACGGAGAATTTCCGATCAATTCCACCAACTTCGCGCAGTACAAAAACAAGTATCGCGACGTGCTTTCCGCGTACGCTCGATCTCAACTATTCGAAAGGTCCACTTTCGTTTTGGGGGACAATTTCCTCAGCGATTACTGTATTGCGCTGAGGGCTACTGATGCAGAAATTTCTGAATTTGAGATCGGATTGGCGTCTGCAATAGAGATTGAGCGGGATCCGAAATGGGAAAAGAATATACCTCCGGCAAGAGATGACGAAGGTGGAAGTGGAGATGGAGGAAAAGGTGGTGATTCAGCGAGCACTGCAGCCTTGAATATCATGTTGGTTGTTGCCTTGTACTTGGGAGTTGCTGCATAAATGTTTTACAAGAGAAGCTAGAGATCTCGGATATGTTTTGGGCCAAATTGCTCTAACACAACGTTTTTTCACGGAACTCTGGTCGCGTCACGCCACGAAAACAAATGTTTGGACTTTCCATCTAAAAATCTCGGTTTTTTCTGCAAAGCGCGAGCTAGAATTCTCGCATATACCTTAGAGAAAATTATTCTAAATTTGTGCCGAGTTTCATCAAATAAAAAATGCCTTTATTTTTAGTTCTGAACAGAATAAATATCGTCCACAAGTCTTCTTCCCATCCATTTTGTCCTGATTTCCTCCTCCAGCTTCGGAAAGTAATCAAAACTTTGCTCCCATCGATCAACTCCCTCATCAAGAACCCTGTACATAACTTCGCCATCTTCGCAGTGAAAATAGACGAACTTGTAGACCTCTTCCGCACCTTCTTTCTTTATCTTCACCTTCCGAATGCCATTGCAGTGAAATTGAGGCAACAACAGCAGAGGGCAGAAGTCAATGTTCTTGAATTTTTCACACTTTCTAACCCATTCTTCCGTCTTTTCGTTGTAGACGTAAAGAATTTGGTTGTCATTGTAAGACCCAACTTCGAAGATAAAAGCGAAGTCACACAGTTTGGTATATCCCTCGGGTCCATATTGCCCATCAAGGCCCATGTGAACTGTTTTGCCAGAGGGGAAATGATGATGAGTAGTTGTTATTCGATCATCTAAAAATTTTTTTTTAATAACGTCGGGAATCATTGTTAATTCGAGAAAATAAGTCTGTTTAAAATGACAGCCTTTGCCAGGCACAGATAACACAAAATATAAGGAAAGTCGACCAGGGAAACTTGGCTTCCTCATAGATTTTTCCGCATAAAAAAAAGTTGCTTTTTTGCAAAGCTTACAGTGACAGACCATTTCTACCATTACTGTGAAAAGAAACTTACTAAAAACAACAGTGTGTGATTTCATCATGTAAAACGCCGAAGTCGCTCTATCAAACTTGATCACTTCTGTTAGCCTCTCTTCCTCTGCGCTGAATGCGTAAAATACGTGTCTTGCCGACACTAGATAGTATTGATTTCCATTTTTGTAGCAAGAGTAATGAAGATAGTACTCGTCTTCTCCTGGTAGTTGATGAAATCTTCTGGTAATCACGTTAAAAATTCTGTTTCCATCCATAACTGAGCCGTGGCATTGATAGCTTCCGGGGCCAAATCTCTGTTCAGCTAGGAGTCTTTGACTATCGACCTCGTAGACTTGCAAAGTTTGGGTTTGATTGTACTTGAAAGGAATGTAAGTTTGTAGAAGTTTATCTTAATAACCTACGTAGACACTTAATATCTTCCCTCCCATCAACAAACAGACTTGATCCTCGCCGGTATGGTGGTAATCGATGGGGAAGTAGCGATAAAACCGTTTACCGACATCAAAATCCGTAACGATGACATGAGTTTCAGCTATAAAGGCAAATCTTGAAGAGCTCTCGAAGGGATCAAAGGCGAGAAACAGATAGTTCGGGCCGTCCACAATACCATGGCCTCCAAAAGGAGCAGTAATTTCTCGCTGGGGACTCCTTAAAATTAAAATTTAATTATTAAAAGACATAATACAGTATAACCTCTGTACAACAAACTATAATAGTACATATAAACCACTCAGCAACGAGCAATTTCAGAGGTCTCTAGAGTAAATCTTTTCCAAAATAAAACTTACTGTTCGAACGCTTCAGCCCAACTCTCATTCTCCAGTTTATAAATACGGCAACGGCAGCAGATTTCTTTGTAAATCTCTTCTCTCCGCTTCTTCAGCAACTGCCCGAAATAGCTGTTTGTTTCAGATAATCGAAAGACTGACTTTACATCCAAATAATCGACTACTTTACACCAGATCTGCAATCAACGGGGTGACAAATAATGGTGTATTTTACTTACGGGAGAATCTAGTCGGAGCCAAGTAGGTTGAATCATTTCGCAAATTGGGAAGAGTAGTAATAATTCGTATTAAAAATTCAATTAGAAAAATTAGGGATATGCAAAACGATGACAATTCAAATTTTGGTGTCAGAGATTGTTTTTTTGCAGCACTGATGAAAACGACGTCAAGAACAGAGTTCTAATTTAACACCTTATAAATTTCCCAATGATCTATCAACTGTCGCGCGAGCTTTTAGTGCGCGTTACCCAAGCGAAAGGTCAGCCAAAGCCCGCGTTCTTTCATGCGAGCTTTTTGTAGACCAAAAATGCGGACGCTCTGTGAAGTCTCCACAATCAATATTAGGAACCAATATCTTGAATAAGGAACAGAGATTGCCACGGTCAAAATTTTGGCTCCGGCTCCGGCTCTTAGCTCCCAGAGCCGGAGCCGAGGCCAAATTTGCAGCTCCGGCTCCCGGCTCCCATGAAAAATTTAAAAAGGTCTCCGGCTCCGAATCCCGGCTCCCATGCAAAAAGTTTTTAAAAAATATTTTTCCAAAAATAAAAGTTATTAGTGCCAGAGATCATACACCCAACGTTTTGCAGCCAAGTTGTATGCAGCACATCCTTCCCTGTATTTTTCAAGCAATTTGGTTTAACCAGGTCATGAATTTTTACTTTTCTGAACGCTGGGAAGCCTGGCTCCGACTTTGGGCTCGGGAGCCGGAGCCGTACCCAAAATTTCCGGCTCTGGCTCTCGGCTCGGAGCCGGAGCCGTGGCAATCTCTGGTACGGAAGAGATAAGGCTGATAAAATGGCTGACAAAGGCCCATTACAAACAAATATTCGGCAGATCTTGAGCAACCAATTAGCCCCGTAAACTATGTAATTTTAATTCATCGTTCTTTGCCCAATATTCGAACAAAGGTGTGCCTCAGACACAGAGAATAAACCAAGCTTTGTGCTCTTTTCGAGTTCGATTCTTTAGATAATGCCTTCTAATTTGTTCATTCCTATTTTTCTCTGCTTTTCTATCATAAATTCAACTAAAAATCGTTATGAACAAAGTGCAGATTAATCGGTACTTACTGATCACTCTGATTTATACGGCAATTCTCACATTTTTCTGTTTAGTTGCAAATTTTTGTCCTAAATTGGCAAGGGATTTCTCAAAATATGAAGAACAGGTGGGTCAGAAATTTTGAGAATTAAGTTTTGGGGTCTGAGGACTTAATGATGACATTATTGAGACATTTTAAGGGTACTTTTTTGATAATTCTACAAGTGGTTACGTGTATTGGAGCTCTTTATTATCTGTTCATAACTGGAATTCTCTATCGTGAAAGGGATACGTTGAATCTAACGCGGCCAGGCTGTGTTTCCTCGTTTTCAAGTGAGTGGGAGTCATTGTAGGAAAGCAGATGAATTCTCCCCGCTTTGATCATAATTTAATTTGTTCTACCGACTTTCAGTTTTTGTCCGCATAATCGGCCCATTGATGCTGTGCGTTACGATCATGGTAATCTCATTTGACGATCCGCCCATGTTGAAAGTGGCGCTTTGGATCGGCTTAATTTTCCTGCTGAATTTGAGTCAACTGGCGATATTATTGTTGAGATTTCTTGTTAGCCGAGAAAATTAAAAATTTAAGAATTATCGACCAGATATTGCACTACAGTTTTAGTCTCCTCAAGGCTTTTTCCTCCAGTGACTTTAATTTGAGAGATGATAAATGCTTATCTCTTGTTGTTATTCGCATTTCAAACTCTCCGCTTTTATAATTCATTCCTCATGACTTTTATAAAATATGAATCAATCTCAAATCGATCTCTATTTATTATGCACACTAATTTACACAATTGTAATAAGTTTGGTTACTCTGGCAATCAATTTTGTCCCACATTTATCGAGAGATTTCTCAAGGCATGAGGAAAATGTGAGTTTGAAATGCAAAGAAAGACGGCTGGTTCTTAGAGACAGGGCTCAATTTACTATTAAAAATCTTTCAGAGAAGCTCCAAGTGCGATGCTTAGATTCTGATGAAAATTGAGACAAATTTAGAATAACTTCTTCTAATATAAGGCATAAGTGAGGTCCCTAGCTCGCGCTTTGCAGAAATGACCGATATTTTTAGACTGAAAGTTGGCAAAAATGTAATACTTTTTTGGCGAATTTTGACAAGGAACTTCACTCTTATTTCTGCCGTATGGAGCAGTTTCCAGTAAAAATCATTTTTTTATGCGTATCTGGTAAAGATGCGGAAGAAAAGCGTTTTTATTCTTGACCACACTCCACGTATTGCGTACTCTTTTCGTCTCAAATTTATCATGGAATATTTTGACGGCTATAGCGCGCTAAAACTTATAGGCGTTGTAACGTGATCCAAGTCAATTAGCAAGACAGCGTCACACTTCGAACATGTCCCTTAAATATTCTAAAAAAATTAGTCCCAGATTTGCATATTTTTTTATCCGTGAGCTAAAAATGTTGACCTAGAAAAGCTTAATTTTAGCTTGCAATGTTGAGGCGAAGCTGCCTCAAAATTTAAATGTCATACCAATAATGACTACAAACTTTCAGGGGAATTTTATCTTGTTTTTCCAAATAGTCGTAAGTATTGCGGCGGTTCTCGACTTTTTCACAAATGCCATTCGTTACTACCGCCGGCATTCACTCAATTTCACAAAGCCCAAGTGGTCTACATTGGTGGCTCGTAGGTCGGGAGACTGCAATGTATCTAACTCCAATTTCAGACATTGTTCCGACCGTTGCATCGATAGCGTTATGTGTGACGTTCGTATGCATCTATTTTGATGGTGATCCATTTATGATCAAGTTCTTTGTTTGGTCATTGCTTCTATTTCTCTTGAATATGAGTCAAATCTCAGTTTTGGTTCTGCGATATTTGCTACATTAAAATGAAATTTGTAATAAGAATTAACCCTAAAATGAGATGATTTACAAGTTGTAATTTACAAAGGTATATGAGCCGCTTAGAATACCATTACATAAAAATTGAAATCGCAAGTTCAACGGCGATTTTTGAAAGGGTTTCTCAGAATAATTTGAGCGTAAAAAGAATGGATATTCGAGATCCGGAAATGGCGCAAAATAATATTGTAATTGCCGCCCCATTTAGAAAGACTTTCGCACTTTTAAGACGTTGAGAAAATGGGCAAATTCGTAGATGAAAGAAGGCTCAACTTGCTTTTTAGAATGATAAATTGCTACTTTTTATATACCCCATAGTATTATAGTCTTACAGAGAAAGATCCGACGTTGAAATCTCGATGATTTGGGGTATAATTTCTGTACAACGAACGCTAGGGCCAAATTTGTTTCTGTTTTTTTTCAGACAGGTCAGTTGTGCTGAAGTTAGCTGTACAGAGGTTACAATGTATTATGATTTGCAAAGGATATCTGAATAAATATTTCCACCTCATAAGCCCTCTTTATTTCACGTTACATCTCTTGCAAATTCGTTGAATATCGCCACAGCGCCTGCAGGCGGCAAGCTATAATAAGATTTCCGTAATATGATATCTGGTTCAGTAACATGATGATTTCAAAATTTGAAGGTAATCTCACCATGGCATCGTGAGAAATTTCCCTTACGAATATAGATGACTTTACGTTTCATTATGTCTTGTTTACATAAAGATGGTTCGAATTTTATGCCTTACTTTTCTTTTTTTGTCTTACTCTCGACTCCTCAACTCTAAATGTCAAGTAATTTTTTCTTCGAAATACAAAAGGAAAATACTTGAGTTCCAACCTCAAATTAGTCTCCACCTTTAATTTGTCGTAAGGTTGGAGATGTGTTGACCGCTTTCAAGGTTACAGTTTGTTCTTTTCCAGCGTCTCCAATGTGATTCTGAGGTTTGGCGGGAGGAATGAGGGTTTTTATGGGGAATCCGCCTTGACAGGAGGCCCGGCTTCCGATCGGTTAACGGGATTTTGGTTATAGTTCAAGGCTGTGATTGTGGAGGAGCGTTTAAAAGAAAGTTTTGAATACTTTTGAGATTACTGTAAGGTGGGGCAGTTTTGTATGCGTTGAGCTTCTGAACTCACTTGTAGATAAACAGCAACTAATTTAAAAAAAAAGACTTCCTTCAATTGAAGAAACTAAAAGATCAGTGATCTCGGATACTTCAAAACTTTTGCATATTGGTATATAGGGCGGGCGCACACTTGCGGGCAACCACTTTGCGGGCAACCAGTTTGCGGGCAAATTTTTTGCGGGCAGCCACTTTGCGGGCAGCCGACATTTGCGGCCAGCACCGGCATTTGCGGGCAGTCTGGGACATTTGCGGGCAGGGTCGACAGTTGCGGGCAACCTGGAAGATTTGCGGGCAGCCGACATTTGCGGGCAACCGGACACCTGATTGGGAGGGTAACAGGGTGGACGTGGAAAAATTACTATGATATTTTGGAAATTGCCGACATTTGCGGGCAGCCGACATTTGCGGGCAACCGGCACTTGAGGATAACAAGGTGGAGGTGAAAAAATTACTTCGATATTTTGGAAGTTTTCCGACATTTGCGGGCAGCCGACACTTGCGGGCAGCCGACATTTGCGGGCAACAGTTCCAAAAGTACCAATACAGTCTGTGTGATTGTTTTTTCCTGTTGCCCGCAAATGTCGGCTGCCCGCAAGTGTCGGCTGCCCGCAAATGTCGGCAGATTTCCAAAATATCGCAGTAATATTTCCACCTCCACCCTGTAACCCTCAGGTGCCGGTTGCCCGCAAATGTCGGCTGCCCGCAAGTGTCGGTTGCCCGCAAGTGTCCCAGGCTGCCCGCAAGTGTCTCAGCTGCCCGCAAATGTTTCAGCTGCCCGCAAATGTGACCCCCAAATTTTGCCCGCAAAGTGGTTGCCCGCAAAAAATTTGCCCGCAAACTGGTTGCCCGCAAACTGGTTGCCCGCAAGTGTCGCGACGCCCTTACAATTAGGCCTTAGGCTCTCAAATCCCAAGCCACTCCTTCAGCCCCAAACTCTCACTAAACACAGTTTCTCCCTCGTTTGGCAAAGATGACGTCAAAAACTTTCAAATATTTTAATTAATTTTTTAATTAAAATAACTTTCCCTTCGATTTGTTGATTATTTTTTTAATTGATTACGTGAAACCCCAACAAATATTTGATAAAATAAATCATTGACTAGACATAATACAGATGCGATAGTTATAGAAAAAGAGATTTGTAACACATTAATCCCCTCAAGGTCAACTCTTTTTCCCTCTTTGATCCAAATCCGAATTCGGATTCTGGAAATAATAACAAACAAAGGCCAGCCACTTCGCATCGCCTTTTTTTGCAGCTAGCCATGGTTTTTGTTACGTAAAAACCAAAGTGTTTATCCGTTTTGACAGCTTTTTTTCTTTATAAACTTTGAATGTCATTGTGTTTATGTCACTTCATACGGAGATGTTTGTCTTTCGTAAAAGTTGGGTCATAAAAGGGGATATGAAGTTGAGTCAGCGCCTCAAGGGAGGTCCAAGCGAATGGGCTTGTAGTCTAACGGGCTTTTAAGGATGTCCTGATATTGGAGGGGGTATTTTAAGGTCGGGTTTGGGGGTTTAGAGAGCTGTAAAAGTAGGGAAATCGTCTAGCAATCAAAAAGAGTGGGCTTTAAAGTAGGGCATTTATATAAAAACTCATAAGAAGGCAAAAAAAAACAGTCCTGTTTATGCACTTGTAGAGATTGTACGTGTGCTGTATAGAAACTGATTTTACCGGGGTCTTCCTATCTTTTTGCGCTTTGGATTATATACAGGATGTGCCATCTTTCTGGCCCAATTTGAATTGGCTATAACTTCTTTATTTTTTGCCCAAATTTGAAGATTATTTTTCCCCTGAATTCCCAGGATATCCCATTTTGTAAATGCCAAATAAAACTTGTTACAAATTTAGAATCAGCCCTTTTTTTGAGATTCTATGGCAATGTTTTTGAGCTTGCTTTCGTTTAACGTGATGTGCCAAGTTTACACAAAAAAATTTACTTTTTTACAAGGAGTTCGCGATGATACAAAGATGTCCTACTTTCTAAAAGCGCTTCTGGTTTCCGTACCGTCCGCAGTGAGGGGAATGAATTCTTAGCTGAGATTGGAAAGGTTCTAAACAAAATTTTTTTGTTAATCTACTTTCAAGCTTCCTACCGACATGTCGTTTGCAAGATCTCAAAAATCGAACACCCCGGTTTCACTATTCAACGATTATCCGTCTTGTTAAAATTCCATTTGCTCCACTTTCCCCGTTTTCGGAGTGCAGCTTCGGTCAGCTGGTATTGTTTTTGGATACTGTTTACACAGATTACACGGTCTAATTCTGATCTGGTTGAGCAAACGGGTCAGGGATTTAGGGGGCTTTAGGGGTTATAAAAACAAATTTTCGACCGCATTTCATTGAAAAAATATTGTTTTATGCAAGTTTGATGATATTTACGTAAAAATCGCAGATTTTTTACATTGAAATCAGCGATATTGGACCACAAATATTGTTTTTTCTTTTCGTCAATATGTAAAATCTAACATTACATCCTCGTACGCACCCGTTTCCTATCAAATTTCATCAAAAACCACCCTTTTTCCCCTCCGGGATCGCATAAAGCATAATAAAATACCATAAAGCCTGCGGCTATCTCGTATTTGCCCACTCGAAATGATCCCCCTAATAAAATTTCGTTAGCATTCCACGCTTATCACGCAAATATTTCCCCTCCCCTAATTTTTTATAAACATTACCGGAAGATGAATGTTTGCCCGGCTATAAAAGACACCCATTTCCAGCTACAGGGCGAACAATGTACGTCAGAGTCTGCTGATTGCGAGATGCATTCTTGAGCTGGAAATTAAAGGGTAGTGATTTTGATGGGATTTAAGGAGGTTTGTATGGGGCTTTTATGAAAAATGGGCAAAAATTTATATTATTCATGACAGATCAGATGTCAGAGCCGAAAAACGATGTCCAAATGAACTATTAGTAGGAATTTTTGTGTGCTTCGGTGTTTTAACCGCTGGCATGCCATTGCATTACTTTTTATCTCATTGTCCAGCCAAAATCAAAGTTTGACCTTTGGCGAGCTGCGCCCTGACTTCCTCATTTGCGCGGCATTTTCCCCCTTTTTGAGTCAAAAAGAATTTCGAAATCTTTCCAGAACGAAGAACCGAAATTTGTTATTGCGCAACTGCTCTTCCGTAAATCCTTTCTTGTTTTTATGGCTCCAAATGACGCTCCAATGCCTTCTCCAACGTTCCTCAGCGTTCCTGCCCCTTTTCTCGGCTCCAAATCCCGTGAAATCCTCTTTTCCACTTTCATAAATTATTCCTCGAGGCTCGGGAACGTGGAAACATCGGTGTAATCGAGTAAAGTCAACGAAACTCGGGCACTCTCCCTTTCATGCTTCTGGTTTTGCATTCATTGACCAATTTTTATATTATCCATGAGGTTTGTGGGGAATTTCCCGATTATTTTTGCGAGTTTTGCATCCAGAACATTAATGGAAGCGTTCCTCGCCTAATGTTTTGTTTTCCATCATGTTCGGAGGGCAGATAAGATTTGCAGATTTGGGAGTTTGAAGAGGATTTTGTTTTGGCGGATTCGGAGGGGAAATGGGGGATTTTGGGTGTGAAAATGGAATGGATCTGTTGGATAATGGTGTATAATGGGTCACCGAGGTTGTATCACGATGGGATTTTGACTTTGATATGTGTTATAAGCTGTTTTTCGGGATTGTTAGAGATTTTTTGGATTAATGGGTTCTGTTACCTAAAATAAGGTGAAACTGGATGACTTTTGAATTCATAATTGTCGCTTATTTGTTTTTTAGTCGTGTTAGGGCATATTGTTTGGATATTTAGTGTTTTATCGCAGGTTCGAAACATTTTTTTGGGATTTTTAGCCATTTTTGTGGTTGATGGTATATGTGTCTAAAATAAGGTAAAACAAGATGTTTTTGTCCCTTTTACCGGCTTATTGAACTTTTTTATTGCACATTCTTCAAAGATTGCACTGTCTGCCTCAATTTTCAAGCCATTTTGACATCAAAATTATATTATCCATGATGATCACCAACTTGTTTCTATTTTTTGCAATTTTTTGAACTGAAACACTTAAAACCTTGTTGTTCTAAGCCTGTAACAGTACTTAGTTCTTTGCTAATCCACCCACCTTCCTCATTCCGGTCTTTAATTGCCGAAACTTTGGAATTGTTCGGGGATTGTAAAGTTCAAGGTTTCATTCTGGTTTGCAATTTCTGTCGTCTCGAAAGCATCGGATATTTAGGGCTGGTTTTATTTGAGGGACTGTAAAATTTGGTCGGCTTTCATTGAAATTAGCCTTGTTTATCGAAACTCCTTATCTAAAACAATGAACGTCAATGGAACGCGGCGTTCTCTTACTTTCTTATTATGATATTCTATTAAAGAGCTTTTTGTTTACTCTTTTTTTTGGAAACGGTTTGCAATTTGAGAGTCAAACGTCGCGCGAATCAATTATAATTGTAATATATCGGCCAGTGTAAATAATTTGATTGATTTCAAGTAGATCAATCGAAGAAGTGCATTATTGAGAGACTAAAGATGCCTTTGTGTCCACGTTGTGAGAAACCCGTCTATTTCGGTGAGTTTTTTTGATAATTTTATCTTACACTGGGCCTTTAATATTGTGGAACTGGGACGATTGGGGAAAAGTACGATTGGGAAACCGAAAATTATTATTTTTGTTCGATGCAAGTGTGAAATTAGGATAATCGAGGGTGGTGATCTCGAAAATTACATTAATTTTTTTTTGAACTGTACTTTTTTCTTATGTAATACTGTAAAGTAGTAATTGTTTTAATTTTTTTCATGAATACTTGGTTTAGGGGTTTTTGATGGTGCTGCTGTCAAATCAGCAAAAATGAATAAGATTTTCGCATTCAGCACCATCCAAAACCCCTAAATCGAGTATTTATGAAAAAAATTCAAAAAATTACTACTTTACAGTACTACTTTTAAGTAGTACCTTAAAAGGAAAAAAGTGAAGATTCAAAAAAAATGAATGTCATTGTCGAAATCAGCGCCCTCGATTATCCTAATTTCACACTTGCATCGAAGAAAAAAAAATTATTTTCGGTTTCCCCAATCGTCTTTTTCCCCAATCGTCCAACTCCGGAGCTCCGGATATTGTTTTAGGTCGAAATTATTGATCTGAAGAATATTATGAATTTTGACAATTTATAAAAACTTTGAGGCCGAAAGTGTATATTCCATCAAAAAAATCTCATTTTGAAACGACCTTATATCGTCTTTTATCTTATTTTAGCGGAGAGAGTGTCCTCAATTGGCAAAGATTGGCACCGTCCCTGTCTCCGATGCTGCAACGATGAATGCAAGAAGACTTTAGCTGCGGGAAGTCATTCTGAGGTAAGGAACAATTGGGTTTGGCCCTATTTTATTCTTCCATTTTGCAGCATGAAGGCAAACCCTACTGCAATCGCTGCTATGGAGCTCTTTTCGGGCCCCGCGGATATGGCCATGGTGGAGTGGAGTCCCATGTTTTCCTCAACGGAACCACTGGGCAAGTCTAGACGCTAATGTACATTGAATCAGCACTCCGGTCCCCCCTTAACCCAACTCGATTCTCATGAAATACACGGAACACACGTATTTTGTTATGTCCATTCACTTTTTTGTAAGAATTTTTGTAATTTCTCGCTTGTTTAGATAATAAAACAGAGTCTAACGTGATGAGATTGGAAATTTTGGTGAGGTTATGTTATCAAAGAGGTTAATAATTGGATCTCAAAAAAACCGGGAGGGATTCCAGGAGCTGCTTTTCAAAATGATTGATAGATAACTTAAATTAAACATTAATTAAGAGTACCCCAGATATTGCACTATAGTTTTAGTCTCCTCAAGGCTTTTTCCTCCAGTACTTACAGGGGAAGTACCCCAAGTGCGACGCTCCTATTTTCTTTAAATTTTGCATGCACGTCGGGCATGGACTAAATATCAATTCCTGAAAATTTTAGCTCGCGCTTTGCAAGCGCCACCGAGATATTGAACCATCTTTGCCGCCGAGAGGGTACACTAAACGCGGAGAGCGGTCAGAGAGAAAAATTTTTTTGACCATAACTTTGCTAGTTTCGTGGGGGAAAAAGTGATTTTTTGTGGAAACGTTACCCTCTATGGTAGAAATAGGCATGAAACTTTTGGTGCCGAAATTTGACAAAGACTGTCTAATTTTCGCCAACTTTCAATCCAAAAATCTCGGTTGTTTTTGCAAAACGCGAGCTAGGATTCATGTACTATATTTTAGAAAAAATAATTTTAAATTTGTGCCAGGTTTCATCAAAATCTGAGCGTCGCACTTGGGGTAGTTCTCCTATAAGTTGCAATTGACAAAAAAATGCTTGCCTTGTTTTCCGAGAGATCTCTCAGCGTTGCATAATTTTTCTGGCATCGATAAAAACGCTGAATTAAAGAGGGACTGCGTTAGTTTCATATAGTAATAAGAGGTATTCATTTGTCCATTCGGTAAACTCAAAATGATGGAGCAACCAAAACGTGTGACTTTAAAGCAGATGTTGTGGAATGGCATCGTAAGTCTCATCATCGCTGTGAGATCAAAATATGTTTTAGTTAAAGATGGCCCTCTCCTCCGTTTTTCTCACGTTGGCGTCAAATCTCGTCCTGTCCATCGTTTTCATTCTGGCTCTTTCTGAATGCATCAACAGATCTGTAATAATTTTTATCTTCGCTTGGACTATGGTAAGTGATTAATTTCTCTGGAAATTACCCACATTTTCAGGTTTTGCTAATTTCTGTCTTTTCCTGTGCAACTGTTGTCTTTTACTTCGACTATGTTCATGCCAAGAATTACTTAAAAGACTGCGCAACACTCCCAACGGTGGAGTCACTGCCAAAATATTCGCTGCCAGATAACTGGGAGCCTGGCTGGCTTCGGATTGTCAAGCGGTACATCCGATACAACAAACCAGACCAAGATGGAGTATGGTCCAATTCTGAGAAGGCATACAAATCAATTGTGAAATGCAATAACAGAATGTTAATGTTTGTGGTGTGTTGTTATACTGTCGCATTGCTTATATGTCTTTTGGTATTTGTTGTTAACAACGAACGTTGTAACACTGATGAGAATTCAGAATAAATCTAAAATTAACAAGGGAAGTACCTTGGAATTGATTTACAATGGAAGTACCCCAAATGCGATCCTAGCTCGCGCTTTGCAGAAACAACCGAGATTTTTAGGTCGAAAGTCGGAGAAAAGTTGAAAAATTTTGCCGAATTTCGGCACGAAAAGTTTCATGCCTATTTCTCACACAGAGGGTACTGTTTCCACAAAAAATCTATTTTCTTCCGCACGAAACTAGTAAAGTTATGGCCAAAAAGTGTTTTTTCTCTGACCGCTCTCCGCGTTTAGCGTACTCTCTCGGCGGCAAAGGCCGTTCAATATTTCGGCGGCGCTTGCAAAGCGCGAGCTTGAAACTTTCAGGAATTGATACTTAGTTCATGACCGAAGTGTGTGCAGAATTTAAAGAAAATCTGAGCGTCGCATTTGGGGTACTTCCCTTGTAGGTCTAGTGACGCTTTTCTTACACTGTGATTGCTGATTTCTAGAGCGCGTTAGGCACAGAAATTTGTTTTCAAAAAGTTTGTAAAGACTTTTCCTTTTGCTTTCTGTTGTCATATAACCCAAGATTTTTTTTGCGAGAATTTTATTCACATAAAAATAAAAAAAACCCTAGCCGGAGATGTTATACAGGGTGTTTCAAGAAATTCCCCGGAAAGTAATCGTCGATTTCTCGGCGCTCCGTCAAGATATCCAAAAAAATTCTTTTGCATAATAAAGAAGACCATGGGCGGTTTTTTGCCTATTAAAATCATTTTCTCCGCCAACGCGGAAAGCAGTGTATTCGGCGGAGACTTTTGGGGACTTTTTTGGTCATCACACCCATCTTAAACACTTTTTCATGGTTTCTGATGGTTGAAATGAGGATTGTTTGCTGATTTTTGTGTTTATCAAGCGTTCAGCGAAGGTACGGCAGCTGCTCGTCGTATCTTAACTCAGCTATGGACAAGAAATGGCCCAACACAATTCTTATGGTTTGGCAAGCATTCTCTGCAGGTGTCGTAAACCTTCAAAAATTTTGTCGCCAATCCTTGTGACAACGTTTAGCCGTCGAGAAACAACTTGGTTCACTGGAAAATAACAAAATATTTTTTGTTTAAATTTCTCTTTGCCATGCTGTTTCGAAAATCCGCACGGTGCGCTCCGACTTTAACGACGTTGCAGCGACTGCATTTCACCGTGCAGTCGCTAAATCGGATCGCATAGCATTGTAGCCGGCCATTTAATCCATTGTGCAAAAAATTTGAAGACTTTCTGGATGCCTAAGTGTCGCAATAAAGCATTAAAAATTCGTGTGATAACCTAAAAAGCGTCCAAAAGTCTCCGCCGAATAAACTACTTTCCGCGTTGGCGGAGAAAATGATTTTAATAGGCAAAAAACCGCCCATAGTCTTCTTTATTATGCAAAAGATTTTTTTTGGATATCTTGACCGAGCGCCGAGAAATCGACGATTACTTTCCGGGGAATTTCTTGAAACACCCTGTATACATGTTGAATACACAAATTTTATATTACATACATAATATGTTAAAAATTTCACGTTATGTAGATTAGGTATGTGCAATATTAGTTCTCATGTAGTATAATCTGGTGCAGAGTCGCGAAGAAATGGGCCCCAAAAGACATCGAATGTCCAGATGAGGATGCTCTTCCAAGTAGTCGGCGATGACGTCATAGACTTGAGTTTTAGTTCGCAGAGTCCTTCTGGAACATTTAGTTTACAATAAGTAATCATAAAAGGTTCAAATAATGATAAACTTACGTCCTAGTAAAAATCAACGTCGCTAAACAGCCGCTCAATGCGAGGTAGAACCTGTCATCGTTCCATTTCTGTTTCATGGCATGGAGAAGGTAGACACTATCCTTGGAGTTCTCAATGATTTGCATCAGATTCAGCTGCTTCAATGCGTTTTGTTCGGAAATTTGTTCGGCGGTCAGCTTTGGCAAACGACGGGGTCTTCCCTGAAAAATAAAATTTTTGCATGCCTCAGGCAACATTTCTGTTTTTGAAAATTTTTGTTCGTGCTTTACGTTAGATGACAGTGTATATTCAAAAACCTTTGAGAGCGAGAGAAAGCACGGCTGCAAAGGAGCCATGTTTAGAAAAAGAGTGTGAGAAACGTGGAGGGCGGTCAGAGAGAAAAAAAATTTTGCTGATATCTTTGTCAATTTGGCGTTCAAAATTTTTTTTTGGGAAACGCAGAGCTTCTTTATCATAAATTTATAAGACCGAAACTTTTCGTCATAAAACGCATGAGAAATTATTTAATTTTGGCGGAGATTTGGACCAAAAATTGACGTTGTTTCTACGGGATCTTGCTCATCTTTCCTCTTGGAAGTTCGAGTAAATCGCATAGGTAATCAAACCTGTCCCAAAGCCTTACCAAACCCTTCGACCGAACATATTCTTCCTCCAGCATCTCTTGATAGTTTTCTGTTTCATCTTCAACATCTTCATCATTCGTTTGGCAACAGCAATCAACATTATTTTTGGATCTTGTGACCGGCCCTGGAATCTCTTCAATGTCAGATTCACAGAAATCCAAATTGAAGCTGCTGCTGAGGAAACAGTCGATTCTGCTTTGATTCGGATCCTTGGCACTCAAACGCTCTCCAATTTTATACTTGATGACATCAAGTTGTTCATGGAATGCCTTTCGATTACGGAGGTTGACAGTCTTTGGATTGGTCGGCAAAATTGGGAACTTAAAGAGGGAGTATTTTATAATGTTTTATGGCTTTGCTTCGGGTCAAATTTACCCTACCAGTTGACTAAATTTCGAAAAATATAAGCAAAAAACATACAGTAGCCATGTCATCAACTCCAAGTACAACTACAACTTCCTGATCTTTGGTAAACTTCAAATCTTCCCATTCCTCCGGCTCCAATTCCTCCATTTCCCCATTTTCCACTCTTTTCATGAACAAAATTTGAACTCGATCGCTGATTGACAACTTCTGATATAAAGTGGTTTTCAAATATGGAAATCCAAACTTCTTTCTTGAGAAATTGATCACAAATGCGGGCTTTAGAAGTTGTTGTTTGTGGGTGAAATGGACAAGGATTGGCATGATGTGGTAAAGTAGAAGACAGTCTTAAAAAATGAGATGTAATATCAATGACACTTGCTGTAAATTAATATCGCACACCGCAAAAAAATACAAGAGATAAGCCATTGGAAGTAACCGTTGTAATCATCATACCGAGAATATTTTATTAGTACGATATTTATTTTGCTATACTTTTTGGCAACACATTCTGTACAAGAGACTGGATAAAGAAGTCAGATAAAAGCAAAAAGATACAAAAATTTTCGAAATCGGAAGCGGTCCCAAGACAAGATTTTATGGATTTTTTTCTCGGCGATTTGTGGGTGATACTACTCCCGCTCGAAAGCTTGAACAATTTGTCGCTGACGTCGTTAGTGCAAAACGGGAAATCGTCGCGGCAAATTTAGAAAAATGAACAGTGCGGATTGCCCGAACCCTCGAGCTCGACTTGTAAATAATTGATTGAGGGCCAAATTTATATCCAGAAATGCTTTTTGGGGCATCTAATTGATATATCCTTCAACTGTACAAAGAAAGCAGTCTATTAGAGTCACAAAAATGTAAATTAAAATCCAGAAGCTTGATTTTATTGATTTCTCCAAGCCTTCCAACATTGTAATGGGCAGAGCCCCTTTTTAAATTCCTCTTATATCCTGGTGCGACACAAAGATTTCGCAACCAGCAACGTTTCCTGAAGGTGTCCCTTGTTTTCAAAAATTTGGATCTTAAACAGTAACGGTACAGAAGGAGGGTCACGGCCGTTGTTTTTTTATAACATGGTCCCTCTCTTCGAGGATACAATTTTTTATATACTATACTTTTACGCTAAAAAGTGAATCCTGTTCTTCTTTTTCTTGTTCCGGCCAAAATTTTTAATTTCAACCCGGTTTGCAGCAGAGAGAACATGTGGAATGAAGATAGCCGTTGAGACAAACGCATCTCCTGCAAGATCCGCTTTTATATCGATATTTAAAGTTGGCCTGCTTTACTGTAATCAGTGGAGCTTCTTGAAAAAATTCAGCAGATTTTGTAATGTCCACGGTTATTTTTCCAAAGGAGATCCTGAGTTGGCAAAGATCAAAGTTCGATCGCTATTGTAACGCCTTCCATTTTGCAGTGAGCGACGTTTCCCCATTGAGCATCAAAATGTGCGAACTTTCGGAGATAATGATCGGACACCCGGTTCGGGGGCACAAAAGAAAAAAAGACCCTCCCGGAAGATTGTGCGGACACCAAAGGGGCGCCACAAAAGTTAAAGATTCAATGTCATTTTTTTTTTGTTTTTGAATTTCTAAGCTTGTTGCATTCCAGCGATTCTGTTTTGAAATGTTTTGCTATGATTAATAGAGAATGGTGAAGGTCCTGGAAATGGTAAAGGTTTAAAAATAATGATAAAAAATGGGAGTTAGCATATAGAAAAGAAAAAACAATAAAAAATTTATTTTGAAGTTTACATTTTTTTGGCTACAGCACAGTAGTTTTTACATTAAATAAAACTAAAAAAATCACTGGGAAAATTAGAATACAAAAACTTTAAAAAATTTAAAAATCAAGTCATGACATTCGCTTGTTTTTCAAAGCCCTCAGCCGATTCGGGAGCCGAGGATTGTTGGGTCCCAAAAGTTCGTTGATATCCAGGAAATCAAAGTCACTGAGATAGCCCACAATGACGTCATAAATCTCATTTTTGGTCCACAATGTTGTCCTGAATTTAGATTTAGATAACTTTTCAGCCAATGAATTTACTCACGTCTCACGTGTGATATGATCAGCCAAACAAGTGGCGAGATCCTGATAAGTTCGAGCATCGATTTTCTTTTCTTCAATGTCTCTGAGAAGTCTATCCGCTCTATGTTTTTTGATAATATCGAGAAGCTTGAATTTCATCAACTTATCTTGGTCTTCAACTTGAGCTGGAGTTAGCGAGACGGGACGTTTTGGAGTGGCCTGAAATTAATTTTCATCATTTTTATAAAAGCAAAAAAAGTTTTCTATGTGGGATTAGCTTTTCGGAAAATCTATGGTGCAGTTAAACAAGAACATACTATCTAGGGCCTACCATCATAAATCCAAAATAAATATCACAACTTGTCATCTAGAAAAAATTCGACCAAAAATTTTCATATTTTTGAACATTCACATTCCCCAAAACGACCGTAAACCGGCTTCCTATAACTAAAATTTTTTACTCCAACGATCACAAAGGTGTCTTCTAAAATCGTTTGTCATGGAAATGCCACACATTATCATACCGACTAATCCCTGTACAACAAACTGCCATTGAACCAAAACCAATGTTTTTCCTGCAATTTCTGCCCCTAGAGCCAAATTTAAAAATAAAACTCCGCACAGCGAACCTCCTCTATTAAAAATTAGTTTTTTTGTCCTCTAGCATTTCGCTGTACATGAGTTCGTTCCCCTATATTAAATTACTCACCAACTCCCTATACTTTCGAAGCTGTTCTTGAGATCTGGATGTTTCTGGCTCGTTGTTCTCAACCTCATCGACCTCCATGGTCCTTTCTGGTGCTTCGTTGGTTGTTTCTTCCGCCTGTGATCTCAGCCCCTCTCTCGTTGGGCGCCTACCCGGGCTCCAGAAGCCGTCCGGCACCCTGACGTCGACTGTTTTGGTGGGACTTTGGTTGGAATGCTTCCACAATTCGGGGAGCTCCTCTTTGATCTTATCGAGACGGTCTTTGAACTTCTTCTCCTTCATGGTGAGCTTGCCCACATTTCCTTTTTTTGGCCGCTGAATAATAACAGAGTAAATTTAATAAAAGCGGAGTTAAAAAGCAGGCCTAGCAGGGCATCTGAATGCATCGAGATTAAGATGAAATTTTGCGCCTCCAGTGGATAGCGCGGGCTAGCAGCAAAAACCATATCCGCAAAACAGAGTGTCACGATTTTCCCGGCATTATTCACTCTGCATAGTGCGATCTAAAGATCTCATAGACTCTCACAAAGTTTTGACTGCCATTTTCGGCAACGTCACCAAAAAAATGAGCCCTTACGTATTTTGCGTACAATCCAAAATAAACTTCAACGATATCAGCCCTCTCGAATCTGGCGCTGTCCCATCTGTCTTTGTTTACGTCTTCCATGATACCGTTTTCTTCTATCTTCCTCACAAAAAGCGGCTCGACTTGATCACTCAGCCCCATCTTCTTTTGAATAAGTCTCCGCACCGACGGCAATCCAAATTCTCGACTCGGCATGTGCAAAACAAAGGCGTCCGTCAACTTCCAATCGTGGCGTTTAATAAAATAAACTTCAATCGGCATTGCTTGTGGATTGTTGAAAGTTGTCAAGTTTAAATCGCTCTGAAATGAGGGTAAACTTTTTGAATTGATACTTAAATTTTTTTGAAATCAACAAAATTCACGGAAAATAGCTGACTTGGAACTGGGACGATTGGCGAAAAAGACGATTGGGGAAACCGGAAAGTATTATTTTTCTTCGATGTCGAAATTAGGATAATCGCGGGTGCTGATTTCGAAAACGATATTCATTTTTTTTTGATAGTTACTTTTTTTCGTAAGTAGTAATGTAAAATAGTAATTTTTTGAATTTTTTCATGAATACTCGATTTGGGGGGTTTTCGTTGTTGCTGCTTTCAAATCAGAACAAATGAATAAGATTCTCGAAATCGGCACCATCGAAAACCCCTAAATCGAGTATTTGTATAAAAAATTCAAAAAAATACTACTTTACAGTACTACTTAAGGAAAAAAGTAACTATCAAAAAAATGAATATCATTTTCGAAATCAGCACCCCCGATTATCCCAATTTCGACACTTGCATCGAAGAAAAATAATACTTTTCGGTTTCCCCAATCGTCCAACTCCGAGCTGACTTCCACCCTAAAATCTACAAAAGAACACCGCAAAAATCGATAAAAATCAGAGCGTCCACTTTTCGCTGTGAGAGTCAACCGATTGTTTTCCCGCGTAACACGGCGATTTGAACTCTCAGAGGAAGCGATCCGAGCGATCCTCTAACCCTCTCTGACCTCTCCGGCCGGCCATGGCCCTTTTCTTCCCTTTGTGATCTAATCTCCTCTCTTTTCGCGCAATCTCTGTTGTCCTCTCTCTTTTGCCCGATTCGGCTTCATTCCGACAGAATTTCGCAACTTATGCAAACCGAGACAGCGGTAAAAACTGACCGGCCGCACAGTAAAGAGCGCAGCGATCCAAATGAACGCCGATCCAGAGTTTTGGGGCCACTCTCGAAAGAACGCGCAGCTGCCGGCTATTGGTCTCTTGGAGGCAGACCGCCCATCCCTCCTCGAATGGCCTTGGAAGAGAGAGGAGTCACAGCTGCCGCCGCGCGAAGCGTGTCAATATACTTAACGGATCAATAGATTAACCAATAGATTAACGGGTTAAAATAAGGTCAATAAGTCATGAAAGGAAAGTTGCGTAACTAATTACGGTAAATAAAAAAACAACTCGGAAGCCTTCATAAAATGGAATTAATGGTTTTATTAATTCTATTAGTCGGAAAATGAATCTTGAATGGAAGCCAAAAAGGAGGCACTAAAACAAGGGAAGTCAGGTAGAATTTGCTCGTTAGAAACGGTGAAAATGAAAAGTCAGTCAATCCAAAACAGGAAAAAAAATTTTTCCCTTTTTGGTGATTCGTTCAAAACGAAATGTCACTATCCGATAAAACCCATTTTCTTATCTTTCTTCTTCCTTTTCGAGAAAAAGCAATTATTTCGGGCGAGAAAAGGTGCCGATAATTTTGCGACATTTCGTGCAAAATTAAGACGAAATGTCAAAAATCAATAGCGAAGTGTCTGCTCCGGTCATTATCTCATTTTAGTAGGACGTACAGCTTACTGCTTTTCTTTTGTGAATTGTTGGATCAATTACATGAAAAAATGTGTAGTAAAAGACATTGGACTTGGTTTTCCTTATTAGACGTAAAAATCGCAACTCAAAAGCAGATGTACGCACGGGCGATGTCAAGAAAAGAAAAGAAACATACAATTCGAAAAGCATGCTACTCAATTTGAGTAGAGAAGGAATATAAATTACTGTTGCAACGTTGCAAAATTGCGCAGTAAGTATAAAATCATCGAGACCTGAAAGAATTTAAAATTTTTCTCCTCTATAAAACCTTGAAAATTTTTACGGTATTTAATGGATCTTGAACGCCCTAAAAAGCAAAAACTGTAATTTTTAGGAATTGAAAATTTGTCAAATCTTTATCTATTTTTAGCTATTATTCTTTGCAACCATTCTTCATCATCCAAGATCCTGCCCCATTCAGTTGGCAGCTTCAAATTTCCATCGTCCCTTTGTTTTCGGCGGCCGCTGTTCGTTTCCCAGAATCAAAACAAGAAATCTGGCCGTCATTTTTGTAAGAATTGGACGTAAACCGCGGCCAGATGCTTCTTTCTCCTGTTTTTCTCACAGAAAAGTTGATTTCTTCGATTTTCAGATGACCGACGCTCCCGGTGAGGCGTTGATTTCTGAGGCCGATCCTCCGCCGTACGAGAGTACTACGAAACATGAAGATGCGCCCGTCATTGTCAGTGTAGATGAGAATGATAGAAATAAAGGGAAAGAAGATGAATCCGACTATTTGGATCCGCCATACAAGACGAATGTTCTTCATGTTCCCTTGATGGTGAGCTAAGAACATTTTCAGAGGAGATTAATCAAACATTTTGAACTTTCAAACTTTGCAAGCCTGCCCGAAATATGCTTATTATCAGCATCTATAATTTTATTCTCATGTGGGGCCAAAATTTGCATCATTCTTTCGAGAGACTGCATAAATCGGGAGATCCGGCCAGACCAAAAGTGTTTTTTGCTTTGAATTTTTTAATTGTCCTCGAAAAAAGGCTAAATTATGACGGGAAAGATTGCTCCCTTTTCACAAACCCTGAAATTCAAATGCTGAAAAGTTCAGAAAGGGTACTTATTTAATGTTTTAATATTCGGCCATTTCGAATCAACAGTCCAAAAAATGTCATCATGATTTTGATCAAGATATAAGTCATGACCCTAGCAGCTCCCTCGTCATAAAAAAAGTCTCCTTAGGTGTGGATTCGAATCCTCGCAGTGAGCAACTTCTTCATCTACCTGACCTTCTTCCTCCCATGGATGACTAACCATTTCAAACATCGTAATCTCTACGAGGATCACAAACTCTCTCCATATTCGTCCATGACCACCCCAAAATATCATCTGATTGGCATCTACCCATTTGTTTTCGTCATTTACTCGGCGATTGTGTTCGGATGGAGCCATACTTTTATCAAATTCAAGCAGATCCCACCATGGAGATCCATCTTCAATGACGCCGAAAATATCCCGTTTTACATTGTAAGTTGATTACAGTACAACTAAAGTCTGGATTTTCTCAAAATGGCCTGGATAACATACTTAAAAAACTTTCAGTTCACCTCCCTCTCAATGGTGATTATTTGGTCAATCATATTTTTGGATTGCTATTTTTCGATCTTTCTGATGTCCATTTATGCCGTTATTTGTTATGTTCTTTACTCCATGGCTGCTTGTTACTTGGCCACTGGATATTGCTGGTTTTCCAGAAGCAGAGGTCCGAAAAAGCCGGCAAATTCAGAGTTCTTCTACTGGCACAGACTTTTCGTCCCAAAACAAGGAAAAACAGTGGCGGAAAAGTTTAAATTGGTGAGTAATAGGACATTTCGATGAGTTTTAAGACAATTGCGGCATCAAAATTAAAGATAAGATAACTGTAATTTAATCATCATCAACGTATTTCTCAGATCCTGGCCGTGAATCTCCTTGTGCCCTCAGGGATCTTCCTAATCGGTCAAATTGTCTACTGGACCAATCTTGATGAGCCCGGCCTCGTCTTTGTTTGGCTTTATATCGCTGTTCTCCGCCTTGGCGAACTCAAATTTTTCATTGGCGGAAAGAAGAAAGGCTACAGTTATGTCATGGTAAGCCGACTATATAGATCCCAGTTTTATTATGATTTGTCACCATTTCTTGTTATTTTAGCTAGCCATCTGTCTTGTCAGTTTCGCTGTCTCCATTTTCTTTTACCTGGCCGCGAATTATAATGGAAAATACGGTGGTGGAGTGTTCCTGGTGACGAGTATTGTCAGCTGCCCTTTGGCGATTTTGGACATCTGGTTCTTCGTCAAGTACAAGGACAGCAACAGCCAAGGAGATTCGAACATTGCGGAGTTGTTGTTCAAGTAAATTTAAATAGTTAATTTACTTGGAAAAGAGCCCAATAAATACAAGTTGTATTATATATAACACAGTAATCCTCACTTTATTTTTTACAATTAAAAATTCTCGAAAATAAACTTTTTTGATAAAAAATATAAATTGTTTATCAACCAAGCGTTCTCGATCATCTGTGAATCCTTTTTTAAATCACAAAAAACACAAGTAGCGGCCATAATTTTGTTTATATTGATGTAGATAAAGGTCATACGCTCTTCCGCTTTCGTTTTAATTTTGTTTTAACTGAATTAATTTTAATTTGAAAAATTAAATGGCTGATTCTCCTACGGAATCGCTGCTAACGGAGTCCGATCCTCCACCATACGAAGATACGACGAAAAACAAAACTCTACAAGTCGAGATTACCTTGGAAGATGAGGGAAAAAATGATGATAATAATGAGCAAAATGGATATAAGAAGGGTGCGTTATATTATTCCAAAAAGTTTCAAACTTACTTCATTTTTAGCCTACATGAAATTTTGTGGCCTACTTCAAAATCTGGTCTGCCTAGGTGAAAAAATTTCATGTGGGCGAAAAAAAAAATTTTTTTTTTGGCATAGGTGGTTTTTTTTCATGTGGGCGAAAAAATTTTTTTTTTTTTTTGGCATAGGTGGTTTCTTTTCATGTGGGCGAATTTTTTTTTTTTTTGGCATATCAGTCTGTCGGGAAAATAACGGCGGATCGTCGCGCCTCGGAATCGTCCATCATCGCTTTGCGACGGCGAAGTTTGTGATCTCAGAAATTGGAAAGATGAAGAAATGGAAGTAGGCTAAAACCGAGATTTTGGCCTAGTTCATGCAGTCGGTGAAGTCGGTGAAGATGTAGGCCAAAACCGAGATTTTGGCCTAGTTCATGCAGTCGGTGAAGATGTAGGCCAAACCGAGATTTTGGGTTTTGGCCTAGTTGATTAAATCGAAGTTGATTAAATCGAACTAGGCCAAAACCATGATTTTCGCCTACTTCCTGCCCGCTTGGATGAACTAAGCCAAATCCACGTTTCCGCCCAGATAATAGAAAATCGTAAAACAGGTGGAGTTATATATCCAAAAATTCGCAAAATTTTTCTGATTCAGAATATGTAAAAATTAGCTGCCTAATTTTGGTTTGTAAGGGTGAAAAATTCCTCAAAGCTTTTCTCGCAACACCATGAAAATCCCTTTTTGACCAAGTTTTTACCAATAAGAAAATAAAAATTCAATGGATAAATGTGTCTTGCCCACAGCAATTTCGCGTCACGGCACGAAAATAATTATTTGGCATTTTGTTCAAGAGGCGTCCTATTGGTAAACAAGTTGTTGATTTCGCAATGTTTTTTCAAGCGTTTGATTTGGTAAAAGGACGCCTCTTGAACAGAATGCCAAATAATTATTTTCGTGCCGTGACGCGAAATTGCTGTGGGCAAGACACATTTATCCATTGAATTTTTATTTTCTTATTGGTAAAAACTTGGTCAAAAAGGGATTTTCATGGTGTTGCGAGAAAAGGTTTGAGGAATTTTTCACCCTTTCAAACTAAAATTAGGCAACAAATTTTTACATATTCAGAATCAGAAAAATTTTGCGAATTTTTGGATATATAACTCCACCTGTTTTAGGATTTTCTATGATCTGGGCGGAAACGTGGATTTGGCTTAGTTCATCCAAGCGGGTAGGAAGTAGGCGAAAATCATGTTTTTGGCCTAGTTCGATTTAATCAACTAGGCCAAAACCCAAAATCTCGGTTTGGCCTACATCTTCACCGACTGCATGAACTAGGCCAAAATCTCGGTTTTGGCCTACATCTTCACCGACTTCACCGACTGCATGAACTAGGCCAAAATCTCGGTTTTAGCCTACTTCCATTTCTTCATCTTTCCAATTTCTGAGATCACAAACTTCGCCATCGCAAAGTGATGATGGGCGATTCCGAGGCGCGACGATCCGCCGTTGCTTTCCCGACAGACTGACGTATGAAAAAAAACCACCTATGCAAAAAAAAAAAAAAAATTTCGCCCACATGAAAAAAAACCACCTATGCCAAAAAAAAATTATTTTTTTTTTGCCCACATGAAAAAAAACCACCTATGCCAAAAAAAAATAATTTTTTTTTTGCCTAGATTAAAAAAAAACAAAAATTTCATGTAGGCTAAAAATGAAGTAAGTTTGAAACTTTTTGGAATAATATAACGCACCCTTCTTATATGTCGATGCGCCATACAAGACCACAATTTTATTCGTTCCATTGATGGTAGGTTTGAGAAATAATTGAAATATTGGTTTACAAAGTTATCATATTGGAACTTTGTAGGGATAAAAAGAAGCTTTTTTAACACATTTTATTTTGTTGACCAAATAGAGTTGAAGTTTTTTTAGCCAAAATTGTGAAAGGCGTCAATTTTCGTCAAATTCCGAGCTAAAAATCTTGATTACCCCAACACAGCGCGAGACATAAGTCACGTATATGGAAACCCTTCATCAAAATTTCTTCCGAATTTCATTACATTCAAGTTATCGCCTCCTAGCCACCTCTTAACCTGTATTTTTCATGCCAATTATTGTCATAAAATCCTTGTAATCCTTCCAGGTGTGGTTCCGAATTCTCTCCACTGCCAACATTTTTGTATATTTTCTAATATTTTCACTATACCGTCCGAGACTGTTGGAAGCGCAGAGGTACTACTATCACGCCTTCCCTGAAGTCTTTATCTATCCATTTTTGTGCCTCTTCTATGCGACAATTGCCCTCGGATTTAGCAAATCGTTGGTGAAGATGAAGGAAATCCCGATATTGAATTCACTTCTGTTGAATGCGGAGAACATTCCGTTTTTTGTTGTAAGTAATTTTACTACATACTTGAAAATATTACAACCTATAAATTATATGTATGCTGAAAAACTGGTCTATATACTTAATAAAACACTTCAGTTTTCCTCCTTACTAGTGCCAGTGGTCTGGTGTTGGATCTTCATCCCAGCCTTTTACTTCTTTGTCATGTTGATGACCGCGCACGCAGTGGTTTGTTACATATTCTACTCAATGGCTGCCTGTTATCTGGCCACGGGATACTGTTGGTTGTCCAAGAAAAAAAGCGGAACACACCCCGAGGATTCTGAATTCTTCTATTGGCACAGTCTACTGCTTCCTGTAAAGGGTCGAAGTGTAAATGACAAGCTCAGATTGGTAAGAAAAAGCAATCTTTTCTCAAGATTTGAAACTTTGCAGATCTTATCCATCAACTGTCTGATTCCCTCTTGGTTTTTTGTAATCGCCGAAATTGTGTTTTGGATCGAAGTGAAGAAACTGGAATGGGTGTTTATCTGGCTTCTGATTGCCTCTTTCCGCCTCTACGAATTGAAGTTTTTCATTGGCAAGGACAAGAATGCGTTCTGTTATTCCATGGTAATGAACCATATTATAAAATATCGCAGCGGCGGACCTGATCCAGTGGGAAAAAAGTTCCGTTTTGCATCTGGGAAGTATCAAAAAATGTGGCAAAATGCCTCCCCCTCCAATTGAGAAAACATTGTTTTGAAGAGCGCGCCTTTTCCCTCATAAAAAGAGCTGACGCGCTTTTAAAATCGGAGTCTTTCACTTGCAAATGGAGGTATTTTGCCACATTTTTGATAATTCCGTGATGCAAAATGGTTTCTTTTTTGTAACTGGATTAGGTCCCCCACTGTACAGTGAAGGGTCTGATCCAGTGGACAAAAGTTCCATTTCGCATCCAGGAAGTATCAAAAAATGTGGCAAAATGCCTCCCTCTTTAACTGAAAAAACTCCGTTTTGAATTTCCCTCACAAAAAGAGCGGGCAGACTTTTGAAATCGGAATTCTTTAACTTGGGAAGGGTGGTATTTTGTCATATTTTTTGATGCTTCCCGGATGCAAAATGGTACCTTTTTTGCCACTGGATCAGGCCCGACACTGTAGGACTTCTGAGCAAAGACGTATCTGTTTATTTCAGCTTTTAATTGCAATCCTAAGCTTTATGATGGCCATAGTCACGGCGAACAATCGTACAGCCGAGTTTAGAGATGTTCTTAAGTTCCTGATACCCGCTGTAATCAGTTTACCGTTGGCCGCATTGGACATTTGGTTCTTCACAAAGTACAAGAGCAATGACGAAGGGAATTCGAACATTGCTCAGATGCTATTCAAGTAAACCAACTATCATATTTTCACATGTCAAAAAAATTACAAAAACTCGCCGTGTTTTACAGTGGGTAATATAAAAATAAAATGGGTAATGTTCTGTAAGGATTTATTATTAATCGAATTTATACAGACAGGATAACATCTAGATGACATCAGTTATAATACAAACAATTGAAACGATAGGTGTAATCTCGATAAACCTTTTACAAGACTGCGTAGAGAGACTGTGGCCGAAAAACACGTCAAGATGACATGGTGGGTGACGTCATGACGAAATTTGTGAAACCGTTTTGTGGGATTTGAAAGCTCTTCGGTCCGCAGTTATTTGGAGACGGCGAAGAACTTTTTGGGCATCAGAATCTCTCCCAAACTCGAGGCCGCCGGTTGGCAATCACAGGCGCAGGATCCACAGCCAGCCATCGGGGCGCTGAAGGAGGGCTTGTGCTCAATCATGGGCCCGTAGAACATGCCCAGCGACCGTCTTCTTCTCTTCTTGCCCATTTGTTGAGGACAACAGCAGCAGCAGGGCTGGGGCTGTTGTTGTTGCTGCTGACAGCAGGGGATCATGACTTGGCCAATGGGGATCAGACAGCCTAAAGATGTTTTGAAAATATATAATAGAGAGGAATATGCGGTCATAAAGAGTTAACCTCTGCTCTGAAAACAGCAGAAAACAAAAATGGATCAGTTTTTTTAATGTAATCCTCAAAATCTCCTAAATTTTTAAGAAAAATACGTTTAAAATTCCTGCTAATCCTATTTAAACGACGATATACGAACTGAATATCACTTACACTGTTGTGGAGCAGCCGTTGTGGTGGTTGGTTTCGGGGTGGTAGTGGTGGGCATCGGCATAATAGCGACCAATTGCGTGCAACAACATTGGGGCTGAGGCTGGGGCTGTGGACAACAGCAACAACAGGGCTGCTGTTGCGGCTGTGGCTGCGGACAACAGCAGCAGGGCTGTGGCTGCGGTTGCGGACAACAACACATTGGCTGGGGCTGTGGCTGCGGGCAGCAACAACAGCACTTCTGCTCCTGCTGTTTCGGCGGCATGATCACCAACTGAACCTGTGTCGGCTGCTGTTGCTGCTGCTGCTGTGGACAACAACAGCAGCAGGGCTGAGGCTGCGGTTGCGGACAGCAACAACAGGGCTGTGCCATTTGCATCTGCATCTGTTGCGGTTGCTGGCAACAACAGCATTGGCCCTCGGCGTGAACGGCCAGCAAGGCCAGCAACAGAGCCAGGAAGACCGACTTCATCGCCTGAAAACAGCGCGCGTTTCGGTCGTACGGGTTTTTCACGCGAAACGCGGATTCCGCGACAAACATTGGGGGCGGCTTCTGGAGTAGTCGGGGGGCCACTTAAGGCCCGGATTTCGATGCAACTCGCTTCGAAAATTGTGTCATCGGACAAACAGACGAACATGCTCAACGTAATGTACTTTTTGGGGTGAAACGTGTGGGGTAAAATACAGTTTTACGAAAATTATAACACAAATAAACCATTGGTCACAAAGAAAATGAAAGAAAACAGAAAAATCTTCGGAAAAATCCCATTTGGCTGCAAGAAAGTGACGAAAGACAAGATGTGCAATATCTTAAACCCCTTGGCGATGTGTTCTGATAGAGATCTCGCACGCCGCGAGGACTTATATCTAATAAAAGTGGGCAAAAAACAGTTTAAACCGGAAAGCCGTCGCTCTGAAGTGGACACACTCAAACCGCTGGTCCTGCCACGCCTACACAGCTGTAACTGGTCAAGCTGTTCGAACATAGCTCGAGATTACTGAGTCATCATTTAGGACGAGTGCAATATAATTTTCGCAACGGAAGAGTGGGGAATAAAGATGAACTTGTTGGATTCATGATTAGTATAGTTGCCTTAGGTTACTGAGGCTGCAAAGGCACGCTCAAGGGGAGAAAATTATCTTGCAATAACCTGAGAGTAGCACAAACAAGCCATGTAGCCCGAGATGATTACCTGATCAAACATCTTAATAGCCAGTATATTGAAAAACTTGGCCTGGGCGGGTCATTCCCCCCAACTCGCCCAACCCACTCGCTAATCACTCGTCCGTTCACTCTCCTCTTCTCTGACCTCCGGCCGTTCCACTCGCTAGCCAGTCCATTCTCTTCTGTCTCTCTCGTCTCTCGCTTTCACCCGCTCCCTCTTTCTCTCGACCACTCCCTCGCCTTCCCATCGCTTCCGTTGTGTTCTTGAATATCCGTTATTGTTCTTAAGAGGATCCGCTTGCCTCGGGGGTTATTCGAAAAAAGTCCCAAACTGTTTGCCTTGAGGGTAAAAAAGAGAACTCGGAAGTTGTTACAAAAGAGAAACGATTATCTCCCCCAACAGTAGCAGCTGATTGCTCCGGGCCACGCAATTATAATCCCTTGAGCATATCGTATTTATTACTGGGATCATATTTACGCAGAGTGTAGGCGAGGACCGCGTGTATGTTGTGCTCTGTTGGTCAAGGAACAGGGCCGCTTCTCCAAGCTACTGCAACATGTTTTTTGCAGATTTTTCAAAAAGATCTGTCGGCTAACATAAGAAAATGTATTGTCAAAGCCACGGTTTAGAATAAATTTTCTTTTTTCGGCAGTTCTGGCTATTTAAAAAACAAATAGTAGCTAAAACTCATTATAATAGCGAAAATTTATTACATGAAAAAGAATATTAAACCGAAAATAACTTAAATTAGGCGATTACAGATCTGCAATGTCATCAAAGAATAAAATACACTTAAAAAATTAGATAAACCAAGAAATCCGTGCTTATTTTGGGTCAAGTACAAGATCGGATAAAATTGAATTAGCTCCTGACATTTTTGATTAGTCCTCAAAATGCCGTTGATTTAACAGCTCGTATCATCGAGAGTTTTACATCTTAGACCTCAAAGAATTCCTTGACCACGGTTTTTGTTTTGACGATCAATTCCTTTTGATGGGGATGGACAATGTCCTCGAAAAGGGATCTCCGATGACGTCCAACCACACCCTTAGGCATGGATGTGCACTTGGTCTGGCATTCACTACAATTCTGGGCATTGCATTTAATCGACCGGCATTTCCGATCATTGCAACCGCAATTGCCCTGAGGCATCAAAAGATTCTTGAACTTCTTGGAGCCGGCGGCGATGGCGTTTCTCTTTTTACGACCGCCACAGCAAGGACAGCAACAACATGGGGCTGAAATTGGAAGCTTTACAATTAGTCATCATTTTTTATACCATAATTAGGATGTAAAATCATACATGTATAGGTAATTTGAAGGGTTTTTTAAAAGTTTTCTTTGGAACACTGACGATAAGAGGTCAAGGAGCTGCGAAAAAACTTGGAGTGTCCATTATTTGCAAACAAAAAATGGGGAATTAGTGGGATCCGATTACCAGGCAACCTATTGTATGATATCTAGGTGGTCAGAGATTGCTCTCCAGATAAGAAGACAAATCGAAGAGCAATGTTTCGAAATTTTCAGAGCTTGAAGTAACGCCCCTAACCATAAAAGCAAGGTATTTAATCTTCACTTACAACAGCAACAAGGCTTGCAACAGCAGCATCCGCAACAAGGCACAATCTTCGTCGGTGGAGGCGGTAATTTGATGACAATTGGTTTTGTGCAACAGCACGGGCATGGACAACAACAGCCACAGCATCCACAGCCCGCTTCTGTGTAGGAAATCAGCGATAAAAGAGCAATCAAGACTGTGGGAAGGAAGATTCGACCCATTTTTTGTCTGAAAATGTGAATTTGCAGCATTTAAAGGTAAGAAAGACTAAAATACGCGCTGAAAATTATCAAGAAAGGTTTAAATCGGGTCTAAAACTTGTCCATATGGCTGATGAAAGATCAGAAAAGTAATACTATAAAGAAAATGGCCAAGGAATGCCCATAGTAACACAAACTCATCCATGAGTTAACATGCCCTCCTCCCATCCCACCCGCAGCCAACAAACCCGCCGGTTTGGCTCCACAAGGCTCGTTGCAACGCACTGACGGAATCGCGGGTCCAACAAATTAAACAGAAGGCGGATACGCCCGTCATCGTCCTCCTTCTCCTGCATGACGGACCGGTCCTATCCCCCCTCCTTTCCTGCGTCCACTTCCGTATTTTCCCCTCAGAAAACTTCGTGATCTTCTGCAAACGATGACGCCAGCGCTAAATTTGGATTCACGCGAAAAAAGGGAATTAGGACATGACCTACTTTTGGACAAAAGTTTCGTAAAACATGCGAAAAGATGACCCAAACATAATGAAGAGAGTGGGAGGCCGGGATAATGATTGTAAAATACGAAGAACATTGACCATGACTCAAAAGTTTATCGTGCAAGAAATGGGCATGGAAAACAGGCAAACGTATTTTGTTTTGAGGTCTGTAAAAATCAATAAATGATCGATTTGAAGTGGAACAGTGCCTTCAAATTAAACCTGAAATATCACCCTGCAGTGCGATGTTTTTCTCTGTTTTCCCGACAGGGCCCTGTAAATGTCGCTGTGCCAAGAAAAGCTATTTGATTTTGTGGCGACACAGTTCATTTTCTCGGCGATTGCGATTTCCGATGCGACAGAGCGCTTACTATTTCTACGACAGGCTGATAATTTTATTGGTAAATTTCCGGACTGTTATACATTCCCATTTATGTAGCGCCAACGCCCAACGACGAATATATCAAAAGCTTTTTTCCGACTTGAAGAAAGAATAGAAGAAAGAATTGTCAACCTTTTCTACTCATTAGAAGCATTGTTCTTCCTCTAGTGGGATAGCATTTGAGTACCGAACGTGACGCGTCTTGACAACTTTTTAAACGTTATGATTGACTGTGCTGTCCCGACCCGGATCATGTGGCAAAAACTGCATAGATGAGTTCTAGGACGCAATTGAAATGCATCTTGACATATTCTAATCTAACCGAAATAGCACCCCTTTGAAGAAAGCCAAGAGAAACACCCTTCTGGCAGAAAGTGGATACATTTTACTCGAAAAGGTCATCCCTTCGAGAGAAACAACTCCCTTTCCCAAAGAATGATGGATCTGGATGCATTTGATTGGTGTTCTTGAGCTCATTTGGATCCATTGTTTCATATTACTCTGTCAGGGATTGTAGAAAAGTGTTAGGCGTTTTCGCGGCCTAACTGCGATCTGTTTGGTTTCATAGCTAACATGGATGTTTCACTGTCAGCCAGTAGAACCTCGTTTACAGTTGTCTTTATAACGTAGTAAATGATTACTGTCTTCACTTATACATTCATAGTTCTTGTGGACAGACTTGACACACAAAATTTGATGAGTGAACCATGATAGCCACGAAGTTGTGATAGATTTTTTGGTTGTTGTGTTAAAGATCTTTACAATGTGGTTTTGTGATATCTTTTTCGTTGTATTTCCACCTGTTCATTTTGTAACTTTTAAATTTCAACTTTCTTTTCAAATCCTTCGCAGTCCACGATTTCGAACCTTTTTGGGTAGACGCGCACTCCGTCTTGTCGCAACAAACAGACCACAACATAAAGGGATCGGATTCAAATGTTTCCGTCAGAAAAAACAAACTACAATGATCTAGGATGAAGCAAATCCTGGGGTGCAATTTAAATATTTGAATAAATATGTGTAGGTCGGGGCTAGACAGAGGTCATGGAGACGGCTGATTTGATAGAAAAATAGGCCAGAGACAAGGCACCTATAGTTTTGATGATAGACGATTATACGGTCAAAACGTACGTTCTAAAGGCTTCTATACTTGACATCAAATAGTATGTTCCAAAAATTTTTATTGCTTTATGTAAGGGCGAGTTTCTTTAGATACCTTTTTTGCCGATTTTCGAGTTTCACAAAAATTCCGACAGAAATCCAAACTTCTGCCGTTGAAACAATATTATTTCAGTCTTCATAATGATTTTCAAGCCTTATTTTTCCTCCGACCGCAGAGATGTCTGTTTACGATAGGAACGAAAAATGAGGGCTCCATGATCAAATCATCGATGCCATTGGAGATATTCAGTTTACAGTAGAGACATGGCTAATGCATGCCATTATTGTAGGCCGGCAATCAGAAAGACGAGTAAAGAATAAGCAAGACATTCGAACAGTTGTAAATATAAAAAGATCAGTGATCTATATACAATGAAGCCTATAGTAATATCCAATCACCATTGACAGTAATGTTTGCAGATGTTAGCCACTCTCCGCGCCCCGATGACGTTGCCCTCTTGACGTCACCGTGCTAGGGCCGAATGCATTGTGTCTGCGACAATGTACATTCACACTTTGTTTGTAGACAACACGGGGGCAATATATGGAATTGTTGGACCGTCCGCTTTTTTGTTTCATAAAGTGCGCGGAATTCAAAAAACTCCTTCATGAAATACCTCCCAAGGAAAAGGCGATGAAACAAAAAAAAACTGTCTGCGCCCCCACTGCCGCCTCTCCCGCGCGCCGCGCTCTCTCTGCGCCGGTGTCTGCGCGCACACAACACGAAGCGTTGCGGCCGGTTGTTTGACAACAATTGGCGGTCGATTCGGTGGGGGAACGGTCAGGCGGAGTCTCTGCCCCAAAAAGAAAAAACCCCTGTCCGTATAAAGCGGACGCGGCGGGGGCCGGGAGACCAGATGTAGTGGTTGTTCCTTCTTCTCCCATCCTCGGCCACTCCGTTCCCCCCGCCCCGAATCCCGACTTCAGTCGGGCTCCAATCGTCGGGCAGACGGCGGACGGGCGACGGTCGCTCATCCTCCAACAATGTTTCTTACTGTACTTGACTGTTTACGAAACATTTTCTCGGCTTTATTTTCATTGCTTTACGATTACAATTTCGCGATAGAATGGCCATAAGAAATTGGCATTTTCGTGCAATGTTTTCGGCTTAATTCCTCTACTTTCAGGACACTTAGAGGGCACTAGTAGATAGTCGCACTCACTGGGTTGCACCACACTTTTTTGTAAGTCCATTTCAACCCCTTACAGTTGCATCAAAAGGCTTTACTAATCCGCAGTTTCAGCGAGTTTAACGCCCGTTTCAGGTAGCCTCCCTTTGCACCCTTTTTTAACGCGTTTCCGCACCCCACCCACAGCACTCATCCAGACGTCGCCTGAAGAAGCAAGATGACTCTCGCCTGGATCGCCGCCGTCTTCATTCTGCTGGCCGCCACCCGATTCGAGCCGGTCGACGCGTCCTGCTGTTGTTGTCCCTGTTGTTGTTGTTGCTGCAAGCCTTGCTGTTGCTGTTGCTGTAAGTGCTGTTGCTGTAAGTGCTGCTGCTGTAAGTCTATCGGTGAATAGTAAGCCCAACCGTTCCCCGTGTGGTCGTCTCCCCTTGGAGTAGGAGGTGTGAGGGTAACTGTAAAAGTAAAAAGTTTTTAAATTCAATCCAATTTTTGGATAGAAAACGATGCACGTCAATCCAAAATAGAAGAAAAAATCCCGCCCCTTTTTGGTGATTCGTTCAAAACGAAATGTCACTATCCGATAAAACGCATTTTCTTATCTTTCTTCTTCCTTTTCGAGAAAAAGCAATTATTTCGGGCGAGAAAAAGTGCCGATAATTTCGCGACATTTCGTCTCTCTTTTAAATCAATGAAAACGATACAAAGTTTCGAAAAGGTTCATGGATTGACGTGCGATGATTTTAACGATTAAGAGGACTCCTAGGCCTAGCTGAGCTCATTTTCCCTCTATCACTTACCCCTCCCCTTCGGCGGCCCCCAAATTTATTCGTCACTCATTTCAGGCCCTTGTTGCTGCTGTTGTTGCAAGCCCTGCTGTTGCTGCTGTTGCAAGCCCTGCTGCTGTTGTTGTTGCAAACCCTGCTGCTGCTGTTGTGAGTTGGGTTGATGGCAGATCTTAACGAGGCGTTTTTAGGTGGTGGACGTCGTCGCCGTTCGTTGGCCGCTGCCGCCGCTCGTGGCGCTTTGGGTAACGCTTCGTTGGTGCCCCGCGCCGAGGCCGTCGGATCTCGCTCCGCTCGCTCATGTGGAGGAAAGTGCGAGGAGTGCAAGAACTCCCCAGCCGCCGGCGGTTGCCAAGCCGGAGGATGTCAAGCCGGCCCCGCCAACCGTCAGTGCCGCCAGTGCACCCCCGCCGAGGAGAAGGCCTGTCTCGCGATGGTCCAACAACAACAACAACACAAGGAAGCGCCAGCCACTGGCTCTCACAGCTACAGAAAGTTCAAGCGCGCCATCGCCGCCCAGAAGAGCCAGCCCGGATGTGCGAACCAGGCCGACAACAAGCAGTGCAAGTGCTAGATGGCCGGGTGTCGAACGCCTTCTTAACTTATTCCGAATCTCTTTTTCTCTATTTCCTCGTCTGTTACAGTAGTCCGTATGTGAACTACAGTTCGATTATCGGTAAGTCTCCTCTAATTTAATCTTCTTCCACCGGATCCACCGTAATTTCTCTTCGATTTATTATTCTTGATAAGTCGACTCGAGACTATGGTGGCTTACGGTAGCTATAGCACTTTGGGTTCTGGTGTACACTTCTCCTACTATCTCAGCGGTTATTCTACACCCTTTTCTGGTACTAATGCGAGCTATACAATCACATACGCTTACTCTACCGAAAGGCTGTGGACTAACAAACCTTGACTTCTCTGACTATCTCTCTCTTTTTTCGGGCCATATCTCTCCAACTATCTCTTTCTCTCCGCACTCTTCACTTTCCTCACACTCCCTCTTCACTGATATTTATTTGTATTTATTATACACAATAAATTATTTGAAATCACTGGGCACGATTGCGATTACTGCTCGAAGCACCGCTTACACTCCCTTCCTTATAGAGTACAATTACAATTTAAGCCACGACAACTCTCCCCCGCAACACGTGTACTGTAATAGCGAAGACGAGAGAGATCCAGAAACCGCAGATTCAACTCACTTCAACGCACTTCTTCGGGGACGGACATTCACAACTCTCTTAACGTTATTTATTCGCAAAATAAAAGTCACACAAAAATTTGAAGTTCGGCGTAAAATAGGGTCGCGGAAAATTTGTGGGCCGCTGATTTTTTTGGTGAGGAGAGACGGATTGAAGACGGTAAAAGGACATCTTTTCGATGCAAATTTACATCATCTATTTACAAGCTGTGTCCGCTTGGACAATTTATGAACCATCAACAAGCTTTGTAACACTGCTCAATGTTAGATCAAACGCAACGAAGGGGCTTATAAACGGCAAAGGAATTATTGTAATCGCTATGGATACCGATATGTAAAAGATGACCAGAAACTTTTTCATTTACCGCAGTCAAAGTGGCTCTAACATGCTTGATGACAAAAAAAGAAAGTGTAATTGGATATAATATAGTAGAACTAACAGATCAAGTGTGAAAAAAGAAATTTTTTTCTGATCACTCTCCAAATTCCGTGTGCACTCTCGACCGAAAAAATTAATAATTAACGAATAACTCGGCTGCAACTGCAAATCGCAAGCTCAAATTCTCAGAAGTTGATATTTGGCACATGCAAGACGTGTGTGCAAAGTTTATAGAAAGCTTGAATGTTTCACTTGGAGTACTTCCCTGGTCAACCGACTATTTAGACCAAGCTCTGAAAGGTCAACCGTTTCACACTTGGTCTGTTAGTTCAACTCCATCCACCTATTCTACAAAACCCATTCACACGTTCCTTTCTTCCCCCCAAACAAGTCGAAAGCCAGTTCTTTCCATTGATTGTGTAATAAATAAGCTTATAGTCATCGTTTGCTTCCGGTTTTGAATAGTGCTCACCGTAATCCCCCAGATGTTTATAAACCGAGCCTCGTTGTGTAAAGGGTTACATCACTCCACCAGTGTCTTTCCATGCTCTTTTCAGCCATTCTTCTGGGTATGTCTTATATATTTATTTTACTTTGAACATGTTTAGGTGTAATATTCACTCTTCCCACCGCATCCTCACAATTATTGGGACTAGGTTGGCCATTCAATTTGGGATACAATAGATACTATGGAGGGCGATGCTGTCAAAATTATTATAGTAAGTGGACTAATATCGATTTATTTTTGATGTGAAGTGTAATATAAATTAATCTTATATCTCATAATAACATGTTATAACACCAAATTTTTAGACCCTTGCACAAACCCGTGCGCCAACAATTACGGCTATAACTCGTTCTATCGGCCTTTAGGGATGGGTTACGGTATGCCGGGTTACGGTAATGGCTTAGGGATGCCGGGTTATGGAGCAGGATTTGGAGGAATTGGAGGGTATCCGGGGTGAGTAATCTACTGCCTATGTATACAACAATCATGACAAATTTATATCACTACCTTATATTTTCAGTGCGGGTTACGGTACTGGCTTCGGAATGCCCGGAATGGGACTAATGGAAAACTATGGTGGACTGGGTGGTATGGGATATGGAGGAGGCATCGGAACAAGTATATTCGACAATCCCGGGCTCTACGGGATCACCGGGAATCTACCTTATGGCGCTATGATGGACCCTGCATTGGCTAGGCCGGGCATTGGAATAGGGCCTTATGGATTCGGCAATATTAGGTACAAGGAGAAGAAGTCGACAAAAGAAGACGAACAGGAGAGAAGCTCAAGCGATTCGGCCAACATATTAACCATGGATCAACTGGTCGAAAAGAAAAAATAATCCCAGTTTTTAGGAAAATTTACCAGACAAAAAAATAAATAATTTCTATGTATAAGACTCTTACCAACCTTTTTTCCAAAAAAAATAGAATAAATTTTAACTCTACAATAAATATTTATTGATAAACATCTGAATAATCGCTAATGTAAAATAAATAAGAGGTCTTTTAAAGATGGAAGTAGTTAGGAGGGTTCAAAAAATACAAAGAGGTTAAAAAGAATCAATCGGTGGAGAATCACAACATATAATAATATAATAGAACGAACATTCAGAATCGCGTGTACTTGGCGAACATGTGCACCATGATCCGGGAATATTCATGAACAACAGAGGCTGGAGGTCGAGCCATGAAATCAGCGGTTAAACAAAGATCGACGAGCTCATGAAGGAAGGGGGAGTAACAATCTTCGGGGATCGGTGGATAGTCGGCGAGCTCGACTTTGTTCGAAAGCGAGTAACTGTTGTGACGTTCGCCAAAGAAAGGGGAAACTGCAGTGGCCAGCTGAAAATAAGCACCCAATTAAACTTTGAACTTCATATTCTTTTTTTTAAAGTCAAAAACCTCGAATAAATTTCTGAAAATACCAAAAATTTATATTATCCATGACACCCACCTCATAAAGGATACAGCCAAGACTCCACACATCACTAGCATACGTATATCCCTTCTGGAGGATCCTTTCAGGCGACATGTAGTACGGAGTGCCGCAAACCGTCTTCACCTCGACTGTGGCAGCTGATCTCATCCTACTCAGCCCGAAGTCTCCCACTTTGACTCTCCAGGAATTCGCAAGCATCACGTTGGCGGGTTTCAGATCTAAATTTCAAATACAAATGTGAAAAGCAACTCACCTCGATGGATAATACGTTTGGAATGCATGAACTCGATAGCGGCGGAGATCTGTTCGAAGTAGAGCCAGATTCTGGCTTCTGGAGTAAGTTTGTTCTTGGAAAGGAAGGTTGTGTGGATATACCTCTCTAAATCTCCATTCGGCATGTACTCCATTACCATCACAAGCGTCTTCTCCAACTGAAACAGAAAAGATAAAGGACAAAATAGTGAAAATTGCATAATTTTATACATCTCCATGATATTAGATGTGAAAGTTACGTAAATGCGGGAAACAGGGCAAAAAGCCAACTGCTTCATGTAAAGGACATAACGACGCTGCAGAAACCGACGATTGCATTCTTTTCACCCAGTCGATCAAGGATAATATAAGAGATGTGCAAAACATTAAAACTCACAGGATCCTTGAAAGTAGCAAATGTCCGGACGATATTGCTGTGCTTGAGCAGTTTCCGAGCCAGCTCAAACTCCCGTTCAGCACATTGCATTGCCGTTTTGTCTTCGATTTTTGTCAACTAAAATTAGGTATTAAAATAAGGTGAAAAAGAAGCAAGCGTTAAATAAGTATAAACTTGGGAAAAGCTCGGTAAATCACACAAGCATCTACAAAAAATTACCTAAAAACAGAAAGCATCGGATGAATAAACAAGACTTACATCGATCATCTTCAACGCAACTCGATGTCGGCATCCGAGGACCTGGGCCAACATAACCTTGGCGAAACAACCTTCGCCCAGCTCCTCAATCTCTCGATAGCCATCCATATTTGTGGGATAGTCAATTTTGAGCTCATCCTTCTCCTTCTCCCGATCACCCGGAAGAGGTAATGAGGATGCATCATAACGAAGTCTGGCAAATACATGATCCATGGTGATCTGAAGTTTAAAATCACTTGATGAGGTTCGTAGACGTCGTTGGACAATTCGTCAAAGGTGCAGCAACTCCAAGTCTTCTGTAGCTTCTGTGAGTGAATAAAATCACCGTCCGGCGAACTGTCACAAATCCTATCGGGCCCTAAATCAATAGTGGCGTTCCGCAAATTGGCAATTCCCTCTTCATTTTCTTTTTGTCATACGCGAACTGCGCCCTACTTCACGTGGAACTCATGTGTAGGATGGTTTTTGAAAGATATTTAGGTTACAGTGTGGAAATTTAAAAGTAATTTTCTGACTGTGGGGTATTTATTGGGCTGTTTTACAATTGTAGAGAACGGTTTGATGATTTGTGTTGATTTACCAGCAATTTTATTTGACTTTCCTTATACTTGCTCATTTTGTTGTATCTTTTGACGGCGCTCAGTATTTTACAATTCAATCTTATTTTGTCACAGCATTGTTCACTAATTGTAAGATTTTACTGTTGCTTACACTTTTACAGAGAAATTTCTTGCACTTTTCAACGTATCTTCTTGGGCGCAGTTCGACATTTCTCCCTTTCTCTGTTTCGAATCAACCACCACAGACAATTTCGCGTCAAGTCTGCCTCTTCTCGTGTGCCTTTTGTGCCAAGTCTTCCCCAGTATCTCCCCTACTTTCATTTCCACTCGTTTCCTCCATTCCCTTCTTCGAGTGCGTTCTTTGGCGGTTGGTTTTTGTGGTCTTTATCGATTTCCCAATTTTTTAGCTGATTTTAGGTACCAATTGGGAAATTTATGTAAAAATGTTGTTCTATGTATTAAAATTTATATTCACTGTATTTTTGATTTGTTGAAGACCGTTAGAGTACTTGTTTTAAGTCTGTTTAGGTACAGTTTCATAATCGTGAAAGCCATGTCTAATTTTTTTTTGTTTCAAAAGTTTTTATAAGTCACGCGTTATGGACAATATAACTTGGTTTAAGTTGACTATAATCTTGTTTCAGGTTTCATTCATACCTCTCTAAACCCCTGAATCTACACATTCCCCTCGCAGACCGACATGGGATACAAGGCTGGTGGAAGTTATGGAAGTGGCGGTGGTAGCTATGGAGGCGGCGGCAGCTCTCGAGGAGGCGGCGGTGGATACGGTGGTGGCCGCTCCGGCGGCGGTGGAGGTGGCTATGGTGGAGGCTCATACGGTGGGTCGTCGTCGTACGGCGGCGGTGGCTATGGTGGGCGTGGTGGCCCACCCCGTTCGGGTGGCGGCGGAAAGTTTGGTGGAGCCGGAGGAGGATCAAGCGGTGGTCCAGGAGCACGTCTCCGAAATGTCGATTGGGGCAACGAAAAACTCCAACCAATCGTCAAGAACTTTTATCAAGAGAGTCCAATCGTTTCGGCCCGATCTCAGAATGAAATTCAACAATGGTTGGCCGAGAATCAGGTCACCTTGTCCGGTCACAATATCCCTCGTCCAATCTTCGAATTCAACGAAACGACTTATCCAGCTGAAATTGAAAAATGTCTTTACCAAAATTACCAAAAGCCCACTGTTATTCAGTCCGTCTCGTGGCCTGTGGCTATGTCCGGACTCGACATTATCTCAATTGCCAGAACTGGATCCGGAAAAACTCTTGGAGTAAGTATTTTGCTTTTCCTTGTCATTTTAGGTCTAAACAGAATGCATGTTGCTTATATAAGAGATGTTCGCAATTGGTAGTGAAGGATGATGTACTAATAATTGGTTCTTTTAGTTCTTGCTCCCCGGTATCCTTCACACCATCAAACAAGGACCCAGACCTCACGGTGGTGGCCCCTCCGTCCTTGTTATGCTCCCAACCAGAGAATTGGCGCAGCAAGTTGAAGAAGTGGCCAAGGAATATTGCCAAGCAATGCGTCTTTCCTACACATGTCTCTTCGGTGGTGCCTCCAAGCATGGCCAAGCCTCGGATCTGAGAAGAGGAGTAGATGTTTGCATCGCCACTCCCGGACGTCTGTTGGACTTCTTGGAGAATGGAACAACCAACATGAACAGATGTACTTTCTTGGTTTTGGATGAAGCTGATAGGATGTTGGACATGGGTTTTGAACCCCAGATCAGAAAGATTGTCGGTCAAATCAGACCCGACCGTCAGACTTTGATGTTCTCAGCCACTTGGCCCAAGGAAGTGAGAGATTTGGCCAAAGATTTCCAACAAGATCCCGTCTTCTTGAACGTCGGATCCATGGAATTGAGTGCCAATCACAATATTGATCAAGTGGTCGAAGTTGTGGAGGAGTACAAGAAACAAGCGAGGTTACTCCAGTTGTTGACGCACATCATGAAACAACCCGAATACAAGACGATTATCTTTGTGGAAACCAAGCGAAAGGCTGATGAGTTGACCCGCGAAATGAGAAGAGATGGATGGCCAGCACTGTGCATCCACGGAGACAAGGAACAGAGAGAAAGAGACTGGGTTTTGTCAGGTGAGTGGCCGGTTTGATTGAACGTCGTCACGTATAAAAGAATTTTAAAATATTTTTTATGGTTTCAGAGTTCAAGAACGGAAAGACTCCCATCCTTTTGGCTACAGATGTTGCCGCCCGTGGTCTTGGTAAGAGAAATTGCGAGCTGAGAAGTGGACTAGTCCACTAGAACCGATCCGAATTGGACGTGGTAGTCGAGACCGTCCTTGCCACTTGTTTTTAGCGTGGAACACGACCTGGAGAAGCGGAGAGCGAGAAATTGCCGATGGATGGTCGTCCCGGGCGGTGTGATTGGTCCTCGGACCGGAGCGCAGCCAAAGGGATCGACGATTGCCCGCTGCAGAATGTGTTCCTCGACGGTCTCGCGGCGCTTTTTTGAGTTGAGTGTTGGCATGAATCGGGCTTGTTACGGCACCATGATTTGTATCGAGGTGTCCGGGACAGTACTAGACGCGAGTTCGGAGCCAAGAATTGTAACGAGTTGGTTACGGTAGGATTACGGTAGCTGTTTATGCCCGAGAAGGCGATGATTAAAAGGCTTCCGTAATCGTAGCTCCGAAGAGTGAAAGGTAGGTCGAGAAGGGTGTGGTTGGTCGCCCCTTACCCCCTCGACCAGTCGAAACGCCCCTCCGAACTGTGGCCGACCTTTGTCTTTTCGATGGCATCGGATTGGAGCGGTGTTCTGAGGACGGACTCTGTGTTTTGGCCAGGCCCAGGTCATGTCTGCATTCGAGAAAGCGCCCACAAATTCTGAACCACCGATTCGAATAGAGAATAGGCATTAGACTTAGGAGTTAGGCGAAAAGTTTTGTAATTTGCTGCTTTAGATGTGAGTGACATTAAGTTTGTCATCAATTATGACTATCCCAATAACTCGGAGGATTATGTTCACAGAATTGGGCGAACCGGACGACGTGAAAACAAGGTGAGCTTAGATTGCGATTTTTATATTGCACTTGATAGTGCAGTGTAATTAATTTGGAAGTTAAGATGATTAATTTTTTGCTTTCAGGGTACTGCCTACACATTGTTCACTCCTCAGAACGCCCCCAAGGCCAAGGACCTGCTGAAGGTGTTGGATGAGGCCAAACAGACGGTTCCCGACGAACTCCGACGGATGGCCGAGTCCAGCGGCTTCGGCGGTGGCCGTGGTCGCGGCGGCGGACGTGGTCGAGGCGCTCCCTCGGGAGGTTACGGTAACAAGAGGCCCTATGAGAACGGCTACGGATCAGGGGCGCCGAAACGCGGTCGTTTCAACGATGGCGGATATTCGGCCGCTCCCCGGTGGTAACTCCCAAAAGATCTTCAATTTCGTCGTCTCTGAACTCAACCATTTCCATTATACCCCTCCCTTTGATAATTTTATGTTCACGTTAAATAAATTCATATAAATGATAATTTGTTGGATGTTACTTGTTTGAGTATTCTTACGGTTAGTTTAGTATCTAAATCGGGTAATGAGAAAGCATCAAAAGTTCAGAATCAGCCATTATTTATAGTCCTTTCAAACAAAATAAATACTATAATATAATCTTCTTTCTAATTGACCCCCAATTGTTTTCTTATATTCCTGTCGGCATTGGGGATGAGTAAGCGGACGGAGACCCTTCGCCAAAGGGCAATCAGCTGGGTGAGAGAAGAGAGAACCTGTTCATCGACTTCTTTGGTCAAGGCTTCCATCACTTTGACGGTGACTGGACACTGGGGATCAGCACGGAAGGGGATCAGATGCCCGAGTTGGACGGGCTGGGCCGGGTACTCGCGAGGAATCAGGATTCGAAGCGGGGGTATCACATAGTCCAATCTGTCGAGTTCTTTCTGAAAACATAGGTTTTCATTTCAACACATTTTACATTATACTATAGAACTACTATAATATAATCATGATTCCTCAAAGATCGGTCTTAAAAACTGATCCAGCCCTAATCATTTTCTTTTCTATCGTATCTAGTAACTCACCGGTTTGAATTCCACAATGATTTGGACATAATTCGAGTTGTCTGTAATCGGTAAAAAGTCGGGATCCACGTAATAAGTAAACTTCTCCAGCTCTTCGTAAATCGGCCTTTTCACTCGGATCTTTGATGCTTTTGCGACATGAGACTTGAGTTCGTATACTGCATCTTGATCATCGCTTTCCACTAAACACAGATCACAAAATTATCTTCTCCTTACCCTTCACTTCACTCATTGTTGGCGCCTTTCTCTTCCTCTTCTCTCGTTCCTCTGCCAACATGTCTTTGATGTTGTCTTTTGCGGAGTCCGTCATTTTGATCTTCATTTTGTCCAAATGCTCCCATTTATCCGGCAGTCTACCCATCTCCAAATCCTTTGGTACCTTATTTAGTCGGCCAACGAATTCGTTGAGGTATCTGACCGGCCGATGAAGGTTGATCGAGGTCTTGACATTATTTAGTAACCTCTGCATCAGCTTCAGATCCACTTCTCTGAAACAAATCCAGTTAATAAGGATTTTCAATATTACACTTGATATTTGATATCTAAATCTAGTCCAACTCCTAAAAATAAAAGAAAAACTTTAAGATACTTACTTTTTACCTTCCATAATCTCAATTACTTTGACCAGAGACTTCTCCAGATTTTGATGTCGGTCTAGTTTGACTCTTTCCAGCAAGATCAAAGTTTGTTGCCTTAGGCTCTTCAGTTCCTCGAGGACGGCCTTATATTCCGGTTGATCTTTGTCGATGGGGGTTGGGGTTTGTCCTGAAAATTCACATTAAAATTAGGCAATATTGTACTAGACATCTTTTAGGTAGCATGTCATGTTGATGACAATTATAACATACCAGATCTCTGTTGAGGATTCGGAGTGCCGGACCGTTGTCCTTGCACACTTAGAGGTTGTGCTGGAGGTGGCTGAGAAGGTGGGCCTTGATTCTGAACACTTCCCGGACCTCCGGCCATTCCCGGCGACGGTGCATAATGCATTGATCTTGGTCCTCCGACTGATCCAGGCCCTCCGGGACGTTGCTGAACCTTGACTTGACTTAACTGAGCCGACGCCGCCATCGGAGAGTGATTTTTGATTTGATTTGGATGTTGCGGAGTGCCCGGCGCATTCACCGACGGAGGCCCTCCTTGCTGGTACTGGTTTTGGAATTGGGGCGATGGCTGAACTCCAGTCACAACCGGCTTCACGGATCCGGGACGTTGCACCACCTGAGGGGAGTTCTGCATCTGCCCCATCTGGGTGGGAGCTCCGACTTTCTGCTCTTGACTCGGGCCCTGTTGGTTCAGAAATTGCTGCGATCTCATGGAGAATTGGTCATGTTGTCCTTGTTGAGGTTGTTGCTGGAATTGGTTGGGTTGATTCATTTGAAATGAACCTTGACGATGCATTTGAGGAGGTCCTCCGCCCATTTGTTGGTTTTGTCGATGCTGTGCGATCAAACTATTGACTGCTGCTGCTCCGATCTACAAATACTCGCTATTAGTATTGTTTTGATCCATTAATTGGACTAATCAAAGGCCGCCTCAACAATTGGTTACACTCGTCATGAATAATACAACTAAAACTCAAAAAAAAATGCTTGAAAAGCTTCAAAGAAATCTTTCTTACATGCTCTTTGTAGTCGAAAACAACCTTCTGTCTCTCCTGGTTAGTCTTGCTGGCCTCAACCCGCTGTCTCCATTCAGGTGGCATGTTGTTGTAGAGGATGGTCATCAACATGCGATGATTTTGCTGTTGCTGCGACATTTGCTGTCCCATTTCGGGTCTTCCCATCTGTCCCATTTGTCCATGAGGTACTTGTTGGCCTTGTTGAGGCGGATAGCGCATTCCCTGCATGTGCATCATGTTCTGCGAATTCATTGGCTGGTTCGGCATCTAAAATAAGACTTCAAAAACAAAAGGAATAGCATACCATCCTTCCGCCTTGTTGCATAACCATCCGATTGGGTTGGCCACCCTGCTGTCCCATGTACTGATGGGGCGGCATTTGGCCGCCAGGCCCTTGATTTCCCGAGTAGTTCATATTATTCATCCTTTATAATACCAAATGAAATAAGTAAAGGAGAATAGTTGGAACTGTATGCAACTCACATACAAATAGTGCAATTGCAATTATGAAACCACTCTAGAATCAATTCTCGTTCTTCATGCGCGCAGATCCGTAAAATTGCAGGGAAACTCTTGACTCGCTGTTGTATGTGTCAAGTTTTTTCCTTCTGCGAAACATTGTTTTTGACATCCAAAATCTTGACGGCAGAGCTTGGATTCTAATAGCAAAATGAACGCAAGGTAGGTTCCACTCATCAAACTACTTATTCCACAGATATTCCACCCCAAAATCGTATCCTCGAAGTGCCAGAGCGGAGACAAGAAACCGCGCCAAAGATGAGCTGAAGCGAGTCATAAACGCCGTGGAAAAGGTCCGCAAATGGTATGTCTTACTTTTTTAGCTTTTGTATTATGAATTTAGGGAAAGACGATGGGTTTTGCTCAAAGACAGCACGATCTATGTCTATAAATGGGTTCCAGGTAGGTGGTCGTATCTAAAATTAAATTCCTTTTCAGTTAGTGGTCAAGCAGCCCCTAAAACGACAGTCCAGAAGACGGCTGCAGCCTTGACTGCCCTCAGTAACTCGAACGAAAACTCAAACGACGCTACAAGTAAGTTTCTTGAATGGATTTTCTTTGGAGTTTAGATCCTGATTGGTGAATACAACAATCGCTTTTAGATACCAACAGTCAATTTGGATTGAATGAAGAATCGAATACTGGGTTCTCCGAGACTGGATTTGAGAGCGATTCGCAGTCGAATCAAGCCATTTCGAACAACAGCAGCCAGCAGAGTTTGAGCCAAATGGGATCCACCGACTTTAGTGCTTTGGTGCGCGAAGAGAAGCAAAACAAAGGGAAGTGAGTGTAAAATACGCCCTGTTTTCGGGCAATATGATGTCCACTGTATTTATTTGTTCGCTTATACAATAAACTGTACTATAATTGAATCCGATCTCTATGTTCCTGACTTTATTTTTACTGTTACAATAATTAAAATTAAAGGCTCAACAAAACTGATAGGAAAACAACATCATAAACAGACATCGGAAAACCAAACCACACCACATAAACCTTTATATACCTAAGATTCAGAAAACCGGTTCATTTTATACAATCGTCGGGCGTTTATATTGTACATGATGTGTTGACGGATGTCTGTGAGAGGGTGCGAAGAACCGTGCCATTGGGGCGTCGGGGGAAAAAAGAGCGGGGAGAAGGGACAACAACTTGATCCTTGAGGAGGATCCACCCGTTTCGAGGGACTGGCGATCGTATTTCAACTATTAAATGTACCTATGGAGGAAGTAGACCACTACTTCGTACGCGCCCATCGTGATGGCAGTGTTGGGGACGGAACGGAGAAGCTGCAAATATAACTTCAATGTCATTTACATTGTACTACCTACCTGAACCGAGAGGCCTCTATAAAGTTGCCTGGTGCCTCCTTCGCCGTATAATTGCTTCAGAGTCGTAAAGAAGCCTTTGGCTTTGGTGTTCTCTTCACGAAGTCGGGTGCGGACCACTTCTACAATCACAATTCCAATATTATATCATTCATCATGATCAGATAAAAAAATTAAAGAACCAGGCATCTTACCGTGTGGATATGTCATGATACAAGCGCAAAACTTTGCCCCAGCTCCAGCCAGCATAAAATTAGCGAAGCGTGTGTTTTCCTGATGGAAGTCGATCTCATCAATGATTTGGCGGAAGTGCTCATAGAGTACAAATTGAATAATCGTCTCCGAAATCCCCATGTATGACGCAGTAACTCCCTAAACATCAAGACACTATCCAAAACTAACTTACCTTGTAAAATCCTTTGAGTCCCTCGCTTCTGTAGATCTTCCTAATACAATTTCTGACCGTCAGAGGACCTTGATGGAGTTGAAGACGGGTCTTTACTAACCAAACCGGGTTGATGGCAGTTGCGGTTACAAAGCCTGGAAAGAAACTTGTTATCAATAGAGCAACCACACCGAAAATGTGAAAAGATGAAAGGGATTATAAAATATTTCAGTTAACCACACTTACCAGCAAACCCTGCGGCCATCATATGGGTGATGGCACTGTTGGGGACGAAGAATTGAGACTCGTTCATAGCTCTTTTACCCGAAGAATAAGTGTAAAAGTAGATGGCTTTGGAAGGCGCTACTCCTATCACATTTGGCAACAAACCCTTATAAAGGGCTTTGATCCCTTCAGTACGGACTATGTCTCTATAAAGCGTATCTTATACGAGTTTTCAGCCGACTTCTTACGAGATTATTCGGATCAAGGTGAAGGTGGTGGATCGGGCCGGAGGGCTCGTCCCATAATACCTGAGTGAAAGCAACTGTGATAGAGGTGTGACGGGTGCTGCTTGGACTGAAGTGAGACCTAAATTCCAACAGAAAAGAAATGAAATAACTTACAATTGGGTTTTACAAAAACCATCCCGTTGTTCGCCCGTATTATTGCTCCATAATCGACCGGGAAACGGGGTTTTACGAATCGGGCTCGACCATTGTCTGATGAAGTCGATGGCATCGTACTTCTGGTCGACCCAGAAGAGTTGTTGGAGGCATTGGGACTTCGGTTCGGGTGCTTTGAGCTCTGCAGCCGAGTCTTTATGACCTCCAATGGGCAGGTGAAACAGGTACCAAATGTCCCACCCACAGCACCACCAATGAAATGAATTAAGGCCTCTCGATCCATACAATAGCTACCTGTAAACAAAAACTTTCAATTCGTCGAAGAACCCCGGCTTTTTTTGATAAATTATGCTATACTTGATATCGCGAATGAGAAGATGATGAAATCACAGTCAATTTGAGCGTAAACTACTTGAAAACAACACTCAACGACCCATGAATATATCTCGAATTTAAACTTGTCAAAATCTGCCGAATTTTGATTTGGTTTCGGAAAAGTTATATTATCCATGGCGAAAACGAACAAAAAACAAGTAATTTATACGGAAGAAGTCCCTCAATGATAGAGATTAGTTTAGAAATCATATATATTAAACTCCGGACGTGAGAGACAATACTTTAGTACCTGAAAGTGTTCTTTCAAGTACTAAAGAACAGATCCAAAGGACTAAAAATGTGATCGAAAAAATGCAACAAATGTTGAACGCTAACCTCCTGAGGGCCTAAAGAATAGCTCTAGACAGGGAAACCAGCATGATCAAAAAAAATCTTAAAAAAGAGCGAAAAATACCCTTCAAAACATTATTTTAGCAAAAAACTCTCATGAATAATATAAAGTTGGGGCGCGATCGGAACGGCGTTCCTCCGTTCGCCGCCAAAATTCTTTTTGGACGTTATTGCCCATCTAATTCCGCTGCTGAGCTGAATTGGCACCTGATTTTAACGATAAGACCGCGATTTTCGACATAAATAAGTCGGGAATTCGGGATTTTGAGCGGAAAACACAAGCGTGCAAACCATATGATCGTTCCTGACAAAAACAATGTTTAGAAAACAACGTTTGGACGCCAAGGAGTTCCGAACAGCATTCTGCAGACTGGGGAGAAATTTCGGGGGAAATTTGTAAAAAATTCGCCAAATTTGATACCTAAAATATTGTGATAGGAAAAAATACTGTGAAAACTACAAAAATTTACTGACTCCGACTAATTCCACAACGTTTCAGGCTAGTTCTACCAGTTTGCGAGAGAACTGCGTGAAAAAATTGTAAAATTTTGTATTTCCAAAAAATCCGTCATGATGATGATAAATGACGTAATTTTGAGAGTATCATCAAAACATGCAAATTACGAAAATATTGAGACAAAGTAAGTGTAGTGATGTAAGTTTCATAAATGCTGCTTCAAAAATAAAGATGTCATCATGACGGATTTTCTGGAATTTCATTAAAACAGTGTGAAATCGGAAAATATTGGGTTTGGATGATCAGAGATCACTTTAGCGAAAGGGGAAAACCGACCCAACAAGGGGTTAGCTCTTACAGAGAGATTTTACAAGAAAAAATATACTGTGATGGTATAAGATGACATTGTTTAAGGTAAAAACTCAAAAATTTTCCCATGATTTGCGGGAAATTCACAGAGAAAACAACGCTGTGGAGTCCTTCAACTTCCAGGTGTACCCGTTTCTTTCTCCCCAAAATTATTTTAGTGTAAAAAATTCTAAAAATATTCGATTTTTGGGGTTTAAAGTAATGGTATCACTATTCATCATGAAAAAAGCGTTGTCTTATAAAGTTCGCCTTGACAAAGCGTTGATAAAAAAACGTGTGGAGCGAGTTGGGAAGTACATTCGCTAAAAATTAATCGGAATTGTAATAGTTTTTATATTATACCAGATAACTTTTGAAATTTTTTCCACAAAAAAAGTCTTTTGAAAGTGGTTAGAGAGTAGGTTCGGGTGATAAACAAGAGAGAAGTCATCAACGTGCAAACACGATGAGATTATAAACAAAAAACAGGACGGAAAAATAGCTCCGAGTACAGAAGAACTCTAATTTGCGGCCGGCCCGTCTTCAGATAGCAACAAAAAACGACTTACCGATCTTTTTAAGGTTTTTTTTTATTTTGAACGGGCCATAAAAGATCAAAAATTATAAGTGCCAGGACAAAAACCTCGATGAATTTTTTGTTGTATACAAAATTTTGCGGTTTAAATAATTTTCTGCAGACGTATCCAATAAAGAATCTTGTCTTACAGAGCTCAGCAGTCAATTTCAAATCCATTTTGTTCCATAAAACAGTGAAAAGTCATCCAAAATTACTCGTAAAATTGAGTCAAAACTTTCGTTTTGGCAGTAAAATATCTTGAATTGGCAGGAAACTAATGAGAACTTTCTGAAAAATTGTTTTCAGAGCAATATCTACCATGTCTGAGATCAAAAAATCTCAAAAATAAGGCAAATTCGACAAGAAGTTGGTGTATTTTGCAAAAAACTTCCCAAAACCTAATTTTCAAATTACGAAATTCTCTGAAACCCTTTCCTAACCCAAAAAAGAGATCCCTAAACAATCGCCACCCCAAAAAACGGAACTCTTCTCGGTTCTTTTGGGAAGAAAATGGCCTGCAAAATGGATCAAAGAACACGGCTCTGAACAAAAGGTCTACCCACAAATTCGTCTCCCCAAATGACCTGAGGGCCTTATCTCCAGCGAATTCACGTGATTTGCTGAGGATTTATTTGATTGATTCCAACGTGTTCATGACCTCATGATCAAGCCGAAGAAACGACACATGTTGCGCTTGGAAAAGTGAGCACTCCGACGCAAACGTGACGCTGCAAAATGTGGAACGGTCAGCGGAACGCTACAAATCGAGGAGATGAGTGGGGGGATAACCAGTTTCGGTGTGATAAACAATCTTTAGTCATCATTGATAACGTGGTGACAAATGGAAAAAAAAAAGTTGTGGCTCTCTGAATTCGTTCTTCAGACATTATGTCGCTTTGATGATTTGAAATAGATAAAAAGAGATTTTTAATACGCTCGGAAACGATAGGCATTTTTCGGCCAAAAGTTTCGACTGAAAAAAAATCTCAATTTTTTATTTTTTAACAAGAAAAGAAAAGACGATTTCAGAAAATTTTGTTAAGATGGTCTATCAGACCGTAGAATCACACTGAATATTTTATAATAGCTCATGCTTTGCATGGAAGCCGAAATCTTCAACATTCTTTACCAGACCAAAGGGGAGGGGAGTTATGCAAATCCAAATCAGAGATTTACTTGTAACAATAATGAATACAGTACATGCTGGTCGTCTTGGAAATTTCAAAGGAATTTGAGAGTTGCAGCCACTGTACGGCGAATTGCCAGGGACCAGAAACTTTATTCGTTAAAGAAGGACTGAACGGGGATTTCTTTGGGCCTAAAATTAGCCACTGGGACTTCAGAAAATGTTTGTGATAGACAGGTTTGTTTCACAGTGGTTCCACTGTATGTATTTTTGCAAAGAGCGAGCAAAGAAAATTCGTTAAAAAAGGCAAATTTTAGAAGCGCTAAATTCCGTGCGGAGGTTTTGGAAAAGCCTAAAGCAAACATCATTCCTCAAACTGAGATTTTTCATTAAAATGACGTCAAGAAGTCGGCTGTAATACACTCCAATATTGAATTCGGTAAACAGACTTTAGTGTCGATTCAAATGAATGGAATCTCTGAATAACGAACGCCCATACAGCAAGGCCTATATACTTACAACCAGAGATTGCCACGGTCAAAATTTCGGCTCCGGCTCCGGCTCTTAGCTCCCAGAGCCGGAGCCGAGGCCAAATTTGCAGCTCCGGCTCCGGCTCTTGGCTCCGTGCAAAATTTAAAAAGGCCTCCGGCTCCGAATCCCGGCTCTTATGACTTGTTTTTTGAAAAATATTTTTCCAAAAATAAAAGTTATTAGTGCCAGATATCATACCGCCAACGTTTTTGCAGTCAAGTCACATCCTCCGCAGTGTTTTTTCAAGCAATTTGGTTTAACAAGATCACGAAATTTTTACTCTTCTGACCGCTGGGAAGCCTGGCGCCGACTTTGGGCTCGGGAGCCGGAGCCGCACCCAAAATTTCCGGCTCCGGCTCTGGCTCCCGGCTCGGAGCCGGAGCCGCTCAGAGCCGGAGCCAAGAGCCGGCTCCGGAGCCGTGGCAATCTCTGCTTACAACCAACAATTTCAACGCCGCATGAACCAATTTTAGGCGGAAAAATCCTCAGTACAACGAAACCTTCTTATAAAGAATGAATTTTTTGTTCCTTTGAAATTCGTTGTACAGTGCCTGACTATACATCGACGAAATTTGGGCTCATGATGCTTAAAATAAATCTTTCAACCCACAATCAACATGACAATTCCGTAATGAGGTAATTGCTCTACAAAGACCAGATTCCTAATGTAGTGTATCGAATAATCAACAACACTCATAACAAAGGAGCACAGAACATTCATCGACTGAGAATGGGTGTTGACTACGTGACATCTGTAACGTTACAACTGCAGAGTAGCTTTCGAAACGTCACTAATATTTCGAATGTTACCGAATCAAAATGTTTTTCCAATATTGAAATTTCCACATATTATAATTTATGGATTACAATTGTAATGATGACCGAGTTGATTAAACCGTCAATTTCATTTTCCATTGTTTTAATCATCATTGCTGTTTCAGTGTACAGTGAAACCTCGGTAGAAACGAAATCTGTCTATCACAAAAAATTACAGATGTAACAACAGCCAATTTTAGGCCATTAACCCGTGTACAGCCTTTCTTTGAATAAATTTTCCGGTCCCTTGCGATTCGGACAACGAGGAAAGCTGTGGCCACTGTGAAGAAGAGGCGTTTACAACGCAACAATTCATAGGATAACAAGACAACACCTTGTTCAACACAACCTTCATGAAAACAATGCCACTGTTTATTATTGAATTAATTAACAAATAAATATCTTCGGGAAAGGGGGGAATTGTTACAATTGAGAGAGCCCTCGACAAAATTCATTTATTTTGCAAAAACCATTCAAGACCACCGTTCGTTTTTCTCACAAATGTTTCCAAAAATACCGTATTCGTCCAGGATGGAGAAGGTAGAATGGGGGTACCCGTAAAAAGCTAAAAAAAAGGTTTTCTCAACGACTCATTAATATACACGACCCTTTTTTGTTTCTATTCTTTGGAGGCACTAAGGAACACCTTATACTAGGTTCTAATAGACGAAGACCAAGGCGAGGAGACGGCCAGAGATTTCTGTTTTCTACATGGTATTTCTTGTTTGAAAATAACAATTTCAATCTAAAATATCAAATTAAAAAAGGCTAAAATCGGAGAAAACGTCCGCTTGAAACCTGCTATAAGATAAAAAAAGATTCGAACAAAATAATAAATAACGTCTTAAATTACTTTATATACCAAACAGACAAAGCGATACCATGTAAATCAACCGGAAATCAAGAGTCATGAGACAAAAAGACACAGAGAAATGGGGGAATAAATAAAAAAAAAACAGAACTGTTATTACAACAACATAACCAACTAGGGGATGTATACAAAAAAAGGAATAAAAAGAACAGCCATACCCGCCCTAAATGATCACAATAAAAAAAACAAGATCTATTGTAAAAAATGAAGCTAAAAATCCGAAATACTAACCAAAATTGAAACAAGACTAAGTACGTGGATGCTGAGAAAGATATATGTAGATAAAGAGAAGGCCCGTTAGACACTTCCGTTTGACCCATTCTTCTGTTGTCGTACCAGTTCTTCCATCTTGAGTTTCAGTAAATTATTCTAAAAACATAAACAATAAAAAAGAAGGGGGACTTACCTCATTCTTTACATTCAACAACCCGCGCATCACGAAGATCGTATGCAAGATGGTATCAGTGTGTTGTTGGTTGGGATTTCTGGCCAATTCCATTAAACGGCCCAAGTGAAATTCATGATCATCTGAAATAAAGCTATTGTAATACATTTTGTATCGCCCGGCAACTCCCAACAATAGAATATTATACATGGCTCACACAAGACTTTTTCAAACAAATAAAAATGTCCCCTCAAAACTTACACGAAGTGGAGACCCAATCATCGACCAAAGTCCTCCTAAAATCTGGATTCAGATGTGCTTCGTCTCTGGTCTGCATCTCGAAATGAAGTCGATCCACATCCATAAACTTGAGCTCATATTCCACATGTTTGATCGACGCAATTAATGCCTGTCGCTGCTGTTCATTGATAACGTGCCCAGAGTTCGCGGAACTAGTCGACGGACCATTCACCGATCCTTGTTTTACCATGGCCATACTGTTGTTTTGAGAAGAATTTTCATCGGTTTTAGTTTTGGAAGTCGAAGTCTTTGGGGTCACAGCTCCGCTGTCACTTCTGAAAAGAAGTCACTATTGAAAACACCACACCGACACAATGCTACCTTCAGCAATCTTTTACCATCAAATACATCCCTTAATTTACCAGTAGAGAAATCACTTTAACCACCCCAAGCTATCTTCCAACAGAAACCCATCACTTAATAAGTAAAAAAACTGTATCCGCATATACTAAGTAGAGAATCTACGAAAAATTTATGTGCCGTATGACGTATTCACCGTAATCAGAAGAGTCAAAGACCATTGTTACAAAACGTTTTCTTTCTTCCCTTCCACGGCTAAAAAAATGAAAGAACCGATCAATAAAACTACACAAATGAAACCAGAGGTATACCGGGTGCCACTCTATGCAGGCCTTTTTAAACTCATGACAGTTCGATCAATTTTACTCCAAAAGTTCCATGATTTGTGTTACAGACGGATGCCAATATCCGAATCTAAACCAAGAACACAAGAATTGTCAAATCTTACTTTTTAGTCCTTCCCCTCTTCTTTTGCACAGGTTCATTCTCATTTACATCCTTCCGCTTCCTTGTCCTCCCATTGTCCAAGAGATGCTGCTCAAGAATCACATCAATATCATTGTCGGTGTAGCTAATGTTCTGTCGACATTGCCTTCGTGGCCGGCCCGTCTCCGTGACCTCCATGGCCTGTGTAGCTTGCGGGATCTCCTCCAGAGGCGCGGTGGGGGACTCGGGGGTCTGCTTCTGAAGATCGACCAGTCCAGGAGAGGCGGCTAGAACTCCGTTTTCCGCCAAAACCGGACCAACATGCATCGAAATTCGGGTTCACTTGGCCAGCAAGCAGCGTCTGACCAGACCAACGTAGAAATGTAGAGAGTTGAGAGCGGATTGGTGCAAGTCAGGTTCTCGTCCAAATACCTTCTCCTTGGAGGATCTGACCGGGTATAAACGAAAAACCGCGTAATTTGAGGGAAACCTGAAAATATTCGGATAAAATTTGATCGCAATCAAAGGGGGATTAACTCAGCTTCACGGCAAATATATGCATGATGCACGGAAACAATCGAAACCCAAACAAAAAACAACTGAAAAATCGATAAAGGTCGAGAAAAAAGAAGAGGCAAATGGGACGGCTCAATGTCACAATTCCTAAACCTTTGCTCTTGAACTTGTATTACGAATCAAAGGCACAGTATTGAGCTATGTTTTGGTTCAGACCATCACGAGGTAGAGGGCAGACAAACAGCAGAAAATAATAAAAACAATCAGTTGGAAATGGCAATCAAAATCGATTAAAATCTCGATTAAGAGATCAAGAATTGAAAATAGAATCAACCTAAAACCGTTTTCTGCTAGCCATGTCCATCCCTTTTACCTTCAAACGGCAGTGCAAAACAGATAATTTCGAATTAACCTGAGAAATTATAATACTCTAGACAAAACAGATAAAGACCCCACGAGAAAGGGTAATTGCTTGTAACCGCATTCGAAATGGAGCTGTAAATGCACGACTAATAGAGTAACCGGATCAATGAAACAAGTTACAGGCTGTCCTTTTCCTTTTGGGTCTTGAGAGAGACGAAATAAAAAAAAATCTCGGAATTCCGTTTGGCATTCTGTTGCAATCAGGGGAATGGAACGAAACTCGGGTTTGAAGTCGGGGAAAAATAGTTGGAGCTTTGGGGAATCAAGTAGACACACCTTGGGCAATATTTGAGCTGAAGCAATAGGAAAATAACGTTTTAAAAGTGGTAAAAACGTCATTCAACAAAAGGCATGTAGAAGGTGACTATTACAATGTTCTGACGCTTACAACTCGGCGTGCACGCCATTCTAACAGGTCATTTATAGACTGTTGATTGCATATTGTCTCTAGTTTTCTTAAAACTACATTTTGTAAAATCTATTCGAACTTCGGGACCTTCATCCAAGGTTAACTTGATATAATAGTGAAGATAAAAAAGTATATATAAATCTCGAAACACCTCTTTGCACATGAATGTACCCCGATTGCTGTGCCGTGCCTCGAGATAACATCTCGAGCTTTAAAGGTCGTTGGGACGAAAGATCATTTAGTTTTTGAGAGAAATTGAAGGAGTAATTAGAAAATGGATTAGGCAAACCAGGAGTAATGAATGGGGATGGATATATATTCTCCTAAAATACGGGAAACGGAGCGGATATCTTCCAGGAAAATATTTTGAATAGAAGACTTTGGGAGCTCTCTTGGATTTCCGAAGAGAAAATTATATTCGACATGATAACATTTGAGAAAAATAAACTAAAGTAAGGTAGCGAGCCGAAACTGCAAAGCCAAAATGGGAATAACAAATAATTTGCTGTATTTCAGACTAATTTAGAGCAAGAAATGGCCATAGTTTGATATAAAATGTAGATTTTTCTCAAAAATTTAAAAGTTGAAGTATAAAATAGGACTACAACAAGGTTGCATCACGGTCCATAACACCTCGTACTTTCGCAATAAGTTTTGTAAATGCAATTGGTTGATTTCGACGGGGAGAAACGGACCACAGAAAAGGGGGCTTCTGATCTCTTCGACTTCGGCGAGAGAGCTTGCGAAACCGAGAGACGGCGAGACAGAACAGTGCACAACGAAGGGAGAGGGTCCGAGAGATAAAATGTTTCGAAAATTTTATAAAAAAAAGCGAAAAAAATCTTTGAGAAATCTCGTATCTCGGGGAGTTCTTTCGTCCTTTTTCTCTGCCCCCTCCACGCAAAACACGCTGTCTCGGGCCGCTCATTAACGGTGAAAGAATTAATCAAGAACATCCAGCCGATGTTCGCTTCTGGTTTATCATGCCCCAAGGCTGGGATTATTCGAATGATGGCAGTTGTTTCAGTTTATCGCTATATTATTCCTCCCCCATTACTCTAACACGGCTCTAATTGCAAAACAGTATGGAAAAGCACGCTGCGGCCACGAGGCCCGTAACGGAGCAATATGCGCCCGCAGGGCGGAATTGAATTAACATCTGCAAATGTAAAATAAAACCAAATTAAAGTATAAAATGTAATCATTTGGATTATTCAGGGATTTCGCGAGGGATAATCCACAAATTATCTAATGCCCTGTGGCTCCGCAGGCCGCGGGGTGTTCCGTGGAATACAGTTGGGAGAGTAAAGTTTGGAAAAGGTACGAAAATGGGAAAATAAAGTCATCAAAAGGCCAGAAATAGATAAAGACAGGTAAATTTGGGCGAAAGAAATTACGGCATATAAAGGTTAAATATAATAATAGAAAAAAGAATCAAAATTCCAACAAAATAAAAGCAAAATCATCAAAAATAAGCAAAAATCCTAAGACACAGTAAAATACCTTAGTTAAATTGTCTGTGGTTTTGACTGAATTCGACATATTTTGTGCAAAATTTCATGCTTACTTTGTACAAGATCCGCCAAAATTTTGTGACCGAATTTGCAGTTTTTCACTAGCTTAAAAAAAACTTTATAAATCACCCCCATATATAAAAACGTAACCGAGTGCATTCTCGGTTCCTCCGCAAGTTTTTTTACGAAATCTCTCAACCCTCAGCACCTTCGCTGTCTAGACAAAAAATGGGAAAAAACTGGTCAGTTAATTTCGCCTTCCTTTCTCTGCCCGTCTCTTCGTTTTGTGCGCTCTCTCGGCGGATAATTCTTTCTTTCGGACTTTTTAAGTGCATTCAGATGGTACAAGATGAAGACTCAACAAGTTTAAATTAATGGAACGCTCATCTCATGTAATTTATGAATGGAATTTGGGGATCTGGGAAGGGCAAGATAAAAATTTTTGAATTTTAAATGCCTAGGTTGCTGTGTAATATGAAAATAATGTTAAAACTCGGTTTATTAGTGTATTTTCTTTTTATTTATTGTGTCTAACGAATTTTCCTTTCATTTAGAGACTAAAATCAAACCGTTTCCCACATAAAAAGAAAGAAAAAAACCCGTATTTTAAGAACTTCAAAGGGTAAGTTTGATGACAAATAAAATTACACAGAGGATATATCAAGCCGATTACGAAACATAAAACGTGCAATCGCAAATCCAACTAAAAGCCCTCCTTTTCCCAAGTTTTCTTATCTTTCCCATCCCAAAAGTAATAAAACCAAAAAAATTGGCGGATCACTTCCTCCCTAAAGTGCAACAATAACTTCTCGTTTCATCAGAGCGCCACCCTGGATGACCTGTTCCATCCCAGACAAAAAACTATTAAAGCCGTCGGAAAAAAAAACCCGCCGACTGACCACTCTGACGTCTTTTTTTAGTCAAAATCCCCACAGCCAGGGGGCGAAAAACGTCCCGTCTCCCCGGAACGTTTTTCGCACTCCTTTTGCTTCAGAGAATTCCACCAAAAAAGCGTTCGTATTACTATAGTCTCCGAATGTATATATGCACTATTCGAAACGAAAGAGAAGGCGAACAAAATGGGTGTCAAAAAGTAATTAAACATTGAAATAACGGTGGAATACAACTCTCAACAGAATGCACAGGCCGTTTTCGAGATAAAAAAGAACTTTATCACAGCTGTAAAGCGAATATAGCACAAATTATATAAGATTTTATATTACACATAACACCCGTGAATTTAATACCCAAGAAAACGATTGGGATAAAAGTTCATTGACGCGATCGTATCATCACGGCATAGGAATCCCTTTGTCTCCGCGGCAAGCAACCGTTCGTTGGCCAAAACAACAGGGATCCCAAGGGTTTGAGCTAGTTGTGCCTTGTCTAAATTACCATTCAACTTGACCAATTCATATGTTTCGGAGATTGTTTTAGGATCATCAGTAGACTTATCAGTAAGCTGGATGACTTCAACACCAGATGGGAAGGAATGAAGGCTAAAATCAGAGATATAAACGTACTAAACTTGACCGAACCCAGTGCAACATCATAAACATAAATTTCCTACCGTATTGGCAGCCCCACTGACTCAAAAGACCGTGCTGCTCTTAGCAGATCTTCTGGAGAAATTAACTGCGTTCCTCGGGCTCGATTTACCCGACAGTAAGCCTCCGGCAATGTCATAGTTCCTCCTGCTGCCTAAATCAAGAAAATAACAAAAATTTTCTGTAACATACTTTTAAGGGATCTAAAACAATCCCGCAGATCTCCTTTGCCAACAATTTAAAATAGTTTTGGCTGGAGCCAGCAGTTTCTTTGGTTACCGGATCTTCCACACCAAGAGATAACAGATAGGATTTGAACTTGATTGTCTGAAAATATTTAACTTGGAACAACAGCCAAGATTAGTCTGGAATGCTAGATTGAAGGTTGCCGTTTCATACCAGAACTTACGTCATCCTCAGCAAGTCCTTTAGCTCTCAACCTTTCGGTAATCTTCTTCGATAAAGTGACCATTTCTTTTGCATGGCCCATCAACACGTTCACATCCTCGAAGGACTAAAAGTCAATTAAAAACAGAAGAATCTTATCATACCTGCTCAATAACCTGCTGATTCCTTTGATCATTCTGGACGATTCTCCTTTCAATCCCTGAAATTCCAATTTGACGACGTGTCTGCGGGGCTGGTGGCTGGCTTCCAACCAAATTTGCTTCTTCACGTCGTACGGGAGTTTCAGAAACAAACAAATTCTTTAACTTCCGCATCTTTGCGTTTTTTCCGACAAAAATTTTCCGAAAAAATACAAGAAAACACTTGACACATATTTTTATGGGTCAGCTGTGCCATTAATTCGGCCATGGCCGCGGCCAGATTTTGAGGATGCAAAGAGATCTCGTATCATTAAATGTCGTCCTCCACACATATTTGTGAGCTCTTTCACGTTATTCCAGGCGATTCTTCCATTTTTGAACGCGTTTTTAGCCAGAAATCTTATGGATAATGTTTGAAATCTCTCGCTAATTAAATTACTGTTGCTTCAGATGATTGGAAACCCTTGCCTAACATGTTTTACAGCCAGAGTTTGTCTCATCAAACGGTTTACAGTTGCTTTAATTCGGGGTATTTCCAACATAAAACTGTTCGAAAAAGGGGGAATGAAAGACGTTCGGGGAGGTGAAAAAGAGTGGTGGAAGGCTGTTGTTTGTTTGTTATTCGTTAGTCTGACTCAGGCCCATTCGCTCAGCGTGCCGTATTTTTGAATAAACTAGGTACAGCCGGCAATTTTTTAACCCCCAAAATTGGATTTTTTTGGGAAATGAGTCGTCTGTAAAATCCGTCTTCATGAGATTTTTGGCCGCGCGACATTTCCAGAATGGCGGCAATTCCGGAACGGTAAATCAAATTGATTCAGTATGCATTGTTCTAAGCACATTTCTACCAAACTCTTACACTATTCGAAATCAATTGAAGTTCCAAAAAGGACGGGAAGATCGTTATTTAACAAAATATTACATTAACCATTCAGGAAGTGCCGCTATTCCGGAAATGTCCCGGTGCGTAGATTTTTATTTTTTTAGTCTCGATGCAATTAGTAGAACCGGAAGAAAACTTATTTTTTCCCATTGCTGCAAAGTTTCAAATGCTCTGAGATATTTTTCGCGAAACTATTGCTTTTTTTGTCGAAGATGATGACTTTTTTACATTGTTTTAGTTTTGAATGCCAGAAACCCGCAAGAAATCTGTTTTGGAGCTAGAGAAAGTGACCCAGATCCTCGAAGAAGGCATTCCCGTCCGTCGAATCAAAAACAACAAAGTCGATGGCATTACTGTACTGGCTGTTGAAGGCGGAGCTCTCCTAAAATACAAGTCTTTCAACTCGATCGTAAACAAGATCAGATTCAAATGCACGCCCAAACTAAAGTTGGTGGATGTGGAGAATGTCATCGAGCTGAGAGAGGGCTACAATTCGGACGGTCTTCATGCGGCAGCCAAGCATTTCAAGTTCCAACAGAGGTGTCCGGTAAGGAGAAGATAATTTTTGATCAAAGCAAGTATAAAATTTATCGGAATGGATTGCATAAATTAGAATACAATGTCAGTCCTAAAAATTTTTGTTTTCAGGAATCAAATTGCTTTTCGATTATCTACAAACACCCGAAATTCGTCTGCAAATCCATTGACTTTTGTTGCGATCATGGCGAAAGTAGACAGTTGTGGATAAATGCGTTCAAAACTTTCTTGTGCCAACGACCCAAGGACCCAGTGACATTTGACGAGAAACTTTGGCTCTCCAGAAATTTCAAGGAAGCTGACAGAAATAAAAATGGTGAGTTACAGTAACCTACAATATAATTTTATGATTAATATAAAATTCCGTTTCATCTAACAGGCAAGAATTTTAGGTGAAATTGCGTTTAGTGAGCTCTGGCGACTTTTGCAACAGCTGAACCTTCAGATGAGTGAGGAATATGTCAAAGCGTTATATAAGGTAACATAGATGATATAATTAGCATTGTTTGTTAGATTGTTTGTTAATTAGCTATTGTTTGTCTCGATTTTTTCAGCAAGTCCTTGAATCGAAGCAAAAAAGTAACAAGGCGTTGGATGAGACCGAATTCTTTGAATTATTCCGGATTTTGACCGATTTGCCGGAGTACCGAAATGCCCTGAGGCAAGCAAATCCAGATGGCGAAGAGAGTCTGAATGCAAAACAGTTGAAGGAATTTTTGAAGAACGAACAAAATGTGAGTAAAATAGAAGAGTTTCTTATTTTGTTTATTGCTTTTCAGTTTGACGACGTTGACGAGAGCAAAGCCTCAAATATCATCAAAAATTATGAAGTAAGAGAAGATACCGAAACGAAAGAGCCGGTCCTGACAATTAATGGTGGGTAAAATAAATTATAAGACCTTTTTGACTGTATTAAGCAATTTTGTCTTGCTTTGACAGGCCTAGTTATGTTTTTCGACATTACTTTAGCTATTTGCTCATGATTTATACGACTGTTTTAGGATTCCGTCGTCTTTTACAAAGTCGCTATGGCTTCATAATGAAACCAGGACACGAAACGATATTCCAAGATATGGATCAGCCATTAAGTCATTACTTTGTCAACTCGAGTCACAACACTTACCTCACTGGTCTTCAAATGAGAGGAAACGCTACGGTAGAGGGCTATATCAGCGCTTTGAAGAAAGGAGCGAGATTATTAGAGTGTAAGTGGTATTATAAAACATCTTGGGGAGTTTTGGGTGTCTTGGTGCACTAAAATTATATTGTTTTATCAGATATTATATTAAATTCAAACAATTTTTTAGTAGACATATTTGATGGAGAGCACGGTGAACCTCAAATCACCCACAAACGGACTCTGATAGCCGCAATTAGTTTGAGGAATGCGGTGAAATGTATTGCCCAATATGCTTTTGAAACTAACCCATACCCAGTGATATTAACCTTGGAGAATCATGCTGGCCATGCTCAGCAGAAAGTGATGGCTGACATTTTTGAGGAGGTAAGCCGATAATTTACTATGTTATATTGTGATTGTTGCAGATTCTCGGCGACAAGCTCTATTTACCCCCAGAAGACGCGGCTTCGAAGCCTCTACCATCACCGAATCAGCTGAAGAATAAAATTTTGTTGAGGGGAAAAACTGTCCAATCCCCGGTATCCAGTCCTGAAGAAGAAGAGCCAGAGTCACCGGATGAGCAGAAACTTCCAAAATCCCCAATTCATCCATCTGTCGGACGGTTAATTGCATTGCCATCAGTAAAATTGTCCAGCAACATCTATGCTGATGTGCAAGATCGTAAGTTTTGGACTTAAAATGCCGTTTGTTGGGTTTAAAGTTTAAAGATTATGATTCCTTGAATCCTAAATTATGATTTCAGATCCTCTAAATGGTTCTCCTTCCCTCTCCGAGAGCAAAGTCCACACTCTTTTGGAAGCCGGAGCTCCTCTCGCAACATACACTGCAAAGCGATTTGTCAAGTCCTACCCTAAGGGCATCCGGCAAGACTCCTCGAATATGCATCCAGTAGCCTCATGGATCTGTGGAATCCAGTCTGTAGCCATGAATCTGCAAACCACCGGGGAGGAAATGGATTTAGTCACCGGGATGTTCGCCATCAATGGAAAGACTGGATATGTGTTGAAACCAAAACTCCTTTTAGATGGATTGGATCCAAGGGAGGAAAGTCGGAATAGACCTTACACAGTGCTGAAGTTGGGCATCATTTGCGGTCAATATTTGCCCAAGGCAGAGCCTGGCCATGATATTGTAGATCCCTATGTCAGCGTGGAGGTATTCGGAGTGCCGGGTGATGAGTGTAAGGCCAAGACAAGAGCTATCAGGAATAATGGTAAGTCCTTGTGTGATGGAGAGGGGTTTTTTAGTGGAACTTATTGTTTTAGGTGATCAAAAACGTCAATAAAATAAATTTTTATGTTGTTTTTTGCAGGCTTTAACCCAGTTTGGAATGAAAACTTCACCCTGAGAATAAAATGCCCAGAGCTTGCGATTCTCAAATTCACCGTGAAAGACTTTGATTCGACCAGTTCAAATGATTTCGTCGGTGAATTTTCGATCCCAATTTCAAGTGTTAGAGCAGGTAAGGAGAAATAATGAGTATTCTAAACAATACTTTAGGCTACTCTCACATCCGTTTGAACACCGGCTTTGAACATTCTCCAGATGATGCGGCCTCAATTTTTGTTCGAATCGAATTTGATCAAGAAAAATGATGAAAAGTAGTTGTTTAATTTTTTTTGTTAAGGTTGTTACTAACCCATAATTTGCTCACTAACACGATGACATGTAAATTTGCTATTTTGTGCATGACCTCAGATTACAATAAATTGATAATTTTAATTTAGAAACAAGTATATTAGGGTGACTGAAAAAATCCTGATCGAAATATTTGAATATTGATATCGAAAAGTTAATTTTCAACCCCGTACAGTATTCACAAACCAAATGCAAAACCCCAACTTTCTTCGTTGGCATGACGACAGAACGCCGAAAATAAAATCTCTGGTTCCGAAAATAAGCCGAAGCCCTAGGAAGAATGGAGCAGGTGATATTGGGGCGTGAGAAGCCCAAGAATGGGAAAGGAAATGTGGGAATGGACTTGCCGATCGTCCACACCGAAGGAATGCGGCCGATTCTCAACTGGGTCGACAAAATCAGCGATGACGAGGAGAATGGCGAGCCGAACGGGTAAGATAAAAGAGTTGACCTCTTTGAGGAGTTGAATGGTCATTAAAATTTTGAATTTTTGATTTCCTAAGGGCGTTTGACTTCAAAATTAAAAAGAATTTTGATTTGGAAGAGTCCAACTTTGTGGTTATAAATTTTTTTCTTTTTTATTATTTATAAGACATCACTTTTCGAGCAGAAAAATAAAATATTGGACTTTGACGAATCCATAAATCCAGCGATGATTTGTTTCGTGATTCCCAGACGGTGCGGGAACAGACCTTTTGACCGTTTCCATCCGTAACTCATCCAAATCTGAGGAAGTTGTTGCTCTGTCGTTGTTCCCGATCCAGAGTGTCTAGGCTGGATCGTTTCCCGAACCTCAAAAAGTTGTTGCTCATGGCCGAGGGGTCGGGTCGTTTGCCGAACCTCAGGAAGTTGGGTTCGGTGGCGTCGAGGCGGAACTCGGTGGCTCGTTTCCCGAAGCGCAAGAAGTTTGGATCCGCGCCCGATTTCCCTGAAACTTGTCCGTTGCTAGTCCGGCGCTCCGACTCACCGAAACGCAGGAAATTGGCGCCGGCCGCGTTGGGGGCGGGAGCTGCGCGTTTGCCGAACCGCAAAAAGTTGGGCTCACTTCCTTTTTTGCCGAACTCTCCTGTAAATTTGGAATCTCCTGTAAAGCTCCCATATATTGGGATGTAGGAATCTGTTGTCGAAGAAAATTTTTTCGACTTTTATATATTTTTTTTTTAATTCAAAGTCGCGTTTTACGGATACCAAACAACGGCTTACTTTTCTGTGGTTTTGCGTGCTGAACTTCTTCCATGAGCTCGTTGATCAGAGCCTGGTCCATAACATCCAACTGACTGTAGAATCTGCAAAAAGCGCCTGTTCCCGAACATCCTTCCACTCCAATCTAAAATGGGGCCTTTGTATTTCACACCATCCCCGCAAAACACCCACAGTTCAGTTGTCGCAACTTACTTTCACATAGATTACTGTAAGAATCCCAAGAAGGACCCCTGCACCGTGCGGCGTCATCTTCCAAATGGCTTTGGAGGGGGATGAGCAAGTCTTTGAAATAGCGCCCCTCTTTTCTTAAATACCACTTATCGCCGCTAACCAAATTAAAGGCCAAGATTTGGACTAATTACATAAATTTCGGCAGCTGAGCCAATTTTTATTCATATCGTGGCCTGGTATCTGTACAAGAATGGTTACGTCATCAACTCTTGTGCAGACGATGATATCATCAGCACATGTTCTTTTGTTGTACATTTTGCAAATTTGATGATGTTTTAGATGCCGGATCGGGATCTATGCGTTGGTCTTCAAGCCCGATGGAACCCAGCTGTTGGCCGCCGCCGACAATCGGGTACTTGTTTATGATCCCAATGATGGGACTCTGGTGACGTCATTGAAAGGTAATTGCACTTTAGGCACTAAATTGATTTAGTTTTTTTGGAAATTGAAATAGCCCCAATTTAAAATTTTTCAAGAGATCTTTCATCTATGATCCCTCATACTGTGCGAACCGCGCGTACCAGTCGAAAGCGTATTTTACAACCTCTTTTTCAGGTCACAAAGACCTCGTTTATTGCCTTGCTTTCTCCTTTAATGGTGAGAAATTTGCCTCGGGCTCTTTGGACAAGACTGTTATTGTATGGAATGATCAACACGAAGGATTACTCAAATATACGTATGTTTTTCTACTATTTTTTTTTTAATTTGCTGGTCTATTTATAATACTATTTTAATTTCAGTCACAACGATTCCATCCAATCGTTGGCCTTCAGTCCCGTGGCCATGACCTTGTTGAGCTGTGCTGTCACGGATTTTGGGATTTGGAATCAAAATGATAAGAATGTCAGCAAGCAGAGAGTCAACGTCAAATGCACTTGTTGTGCATGGAGTTCTGATGGACAGTACTACGCAATTGGCTTCACGGATGGAACAGTTTCGATTCGATCTATAACTGCGGCTACTGTAAGATCGAAAAAAATTTGATTACATAATTGTGATGGGTATTTTCAGACAGCCGAAGAGGCAAATAAAATTGAGCGAAGATCCGGTGAGCCAATCTGGGATCTGAGTTTCGGATTAACCAGACAAAATAATCATTCTTCTGAGATGCTGGCAGTAGTCGATTGGAATCAAAGTGTTGGATTTTACAGTTTTGATGGAAGAGCCGTGAGTCAAATTTTGGCCTGAAGAATTATCGTATTTTAATCTGATATGCATAGACAATCATCAAAAATTATTTTGACATTTTAGACTCATCGAGGAGACAAGATCCTTGCTTATGACGCTACCCTCGTTGAATACTTTAACAACGGACAGTTCCTTCTTCTCGGTGGTTCAAACCACGCCATCTCCATTCATACTCGCGATGGCAATGAATTGGGAACTCTCGCTCAAGCGGATTCTTGGATTTGGACAGCAAAAGCGCGCCCAAATCAACCGGCCAACAATGTAAATATTGTCATGGCTTGTACGGATGGAACGCTAGCAAGCTACACGTTGATGTTCAGCACTGTGCACTCATTACACAAGGATCTGTATGCCTACAGAGACATGCTGACAGATATTGTTGTTCAGCATCTGGGGCGGCAAAGAAGTATCCGAATTCGATGCAATAGTTTGGTAAGAAAAGTTGCGATCTACCACAATCGCCTGGCCGTGCAACTGAGTGACAAAATCCTGATTTATCGGCAAAGTTCGGGAGAGAAGGAAGGCGAACAAGTGGAATATAAATTAATGGACCGAATCAATCGAAACCTCGAGTGTTCGTTGTTGGTGGTCACGGCACATCATTTGATACTATGTCAGGACAAGAGATTGCAATGTATTGATCACAAAGGGCAGAAGCAGAGAGAATGGACGATGGAATCGATGATCAGATACATCAAGGTTGTTGGAGGACCTCCAGGCAGAGAGGCGATTCTTTTGGGATTGAGGAATGGCGTGGTAAGAGAGTTTAAAGTTTGCTTTTCAGATGATCGACACATTTCTTATTTGAGCTCACATTTTCCAGGTGAACAAGATTTTTGTCGACAACCCATTCCCGGTCGAAGTTGTTCGTCTTCGTCATCCAATCCGATGTCTTGATGTCTCATTATCGAAACGAAAATTGGCTGTTGTCGATGAGAACAATGTGTGTATGCTCTTTGATACTATAAGCAAGGAATTAATCTCGCAAGAGCCTAATGTGACAAGTGTTGCGTTCAACTCGGAGAATGAGGATCTTTTGTGCTATTCGGGCCAAAACTGTTTGTTTGTCAAGGCCAAGAACTTCACTCCTTATCAACAACGAATTGACGTGAGTTGGGCTTTCTATAAATTTTATTTTTTACAAGTTATGTTCGGAAGATGGCTCAAGTTTTCACTTGGCATTTCAGGGATTTGTCGTGGGATTTACTGGCCGACGTTTCCACTGTCTCCATTCGTACTCGATGACTACTAATGAGTTGCCATTGACAAGTCAGCTGCTTCAATATCTTGATGCCAAGGCTTTTGCGTAGGTTGAAGGCCTCTACTTTGGTTAGATCATCTTTTTTCTATATTGTCATCATTTTCAGAGATGCCTACGAACTCGCCTCCCTTGGAGTTACCGAAAAAGACTGGCAACTTCTTGGAATCGAAGCCTTAGAGAATATGGAGTTTGAAGTCGCCAAAAAAGCCTTTCATCGCATCAAAGACAGTCGCTCTTTGCTTCTGATCAACGAAGTTGAGGACATGAAAACATGCGGGAAGTCCATTGAATCCATTCGAGCTCATGTCTACGCCTTCAATCGGCGATTCCGTGAAGCCGCCAGGGTGCTTCAGGACAGTGGAGCTGAACAAAATGCTCTGGAGATGTTCGCGGACCTCCGAATGTTCGATCAAGCTCAAGAATTCCTTTCTACGGCTTCAAGTGAGACACAAAAATCGCTGCTGAGAAAGAAAGCCGATTGGGCGACCGAAGCGAATGATCTAAAACTAGCTGCGGAAATGCTTATGGCCTCAGGGGACTATGACAAAGCCATCAAAATCATGATGCAAAATGAATGGACCGACAAGATTTTACAAATGGCCACAAGGTTAGACCGATCGGACGCTAATGTAATCCGTGAAATTGGAAATTATCTGGCCGATAAAGGCGAGTACACAATTGCTGCTGGTCTGTTCGGGCAGATTGGAGACATACGATCCATCGCTATGATGCATGTCAAAGCAGAGAATTGGGAGGATGTAAGTTTAAATTTTTGAAATATATGAATGATATTGCCGAATTTTATACCGAAATAAGTTTATTAGTTCTCACAAGATAACAATTTTAGTTAAAACGTCCCAAAAAAGAGAAATACCTATGTACATAACGGTCTTAACTAACGTACCTAGACTATGAAATTTTCCTAATATTTCCAAACTTTTTAACTTCTAGAACATGATAATTTACCCCGTCAGCTAGTGTTATTAACCTGAAATTACCCATTGCATAAAACATTTTGAATCTACTGGCCTATACACATAACTCTTCCTATACACTACCTTATTGTAAGCCCATTCTACTCTACACTTTTAAACCAAATTAACCCCTTAATTTTGTACCTAATCCATGTTTAATAAACGAGCTCCTGCCGGCCCCAAGGCTTCCAACAGCCGATTTCTCCGTGCCACAAACGCGGGATCCCTTTCTGGCGCCTCCATGTACCACTCCTGTTCTTCATCCCAGTCCGAGGGTGGTGGTGTTCTCTTGAATCCGCCGCGCAGCGCCACATCGTGCGTCTTGTCCTCGTCCCATTCACTGTCCTCACTCTCCCATTCTTCTTGATCTTCATATTCTCCATATTCTTCTTCGTATTCTTCGTATTCCTCCTCGTATTCTTCATATTCTTCCTCATATTCTTCCTGACTTTCTTCTTCCATTTCTTCCTCATCTTCTGCATCATATCCCTCTTCCAACCCTGGGCTACCCTTCCCCTGGCCCAGGTCTTGGCCAACTTCCACTTTTTGGTGGTCGTCAAGGCCGGTTTTGTTCCCCGGGTCATCAAAAAACCCACTATCTAGCCCCAAATCCCCAAAAGATGTTTCTAAATCAAAGTCGGACCATAGCTCCCTCTCAGCAGAGTCAGTTTCCCTATCGCCCGAACTTACCTTTCCTTGATTAAACCCCTGATTCTCTAGACCAGACCCACTAGCTAACCCATTTAGGACCGGTCCCTCTACCTCAAGTCGTTTGGCTTGTCCCAGCCTCCCATAGAGCCCGAATTCCAACTCAGAAAACTCTTCTTGCACATCCCCAGAAGTCCTTCCTTGACTATTCATCTTACCAATGAAGGAAACGGCCTTTCGTGGAGGCGTAAGAAGGTGTTTTCTTTTAGGAGCGGACATTTTGGGAGACTTGGGCTGAGCCGGAACAGCGGGACTTTCACCTTTGACTTCCTTGACGTTGGTGGAAGCTTCGCTACTCATGATGTGGGTTGACTCCTGAAGAATGTGGGATTTGTTGTCTTAAGTGGACTAAAAGTAAAAAAAAGCGGAGAAATCACGCAAAATATAAATAACTTACAATTATTAAGGAAGAGATTGATACCGGACACTAGCCTCGTTTTGAATAGAATTAGCTAGTGAGACTGGCAGCAAGTGCCATCTTATGCCTTGATTTGACAGAAATTTTACGTAATTGACTTGTATTTGGAAATTGTGTAACTGAACCAGTGTATTTCTAAAATTACCTCGAGGCACAGGAAATGTTGATTTTTTTCTGGTGCTAGTCTTACGGAATCATAGATCTTTGTTGGACCATTATGACTATCAAAAATTCGAACCCATAATTCTTCCGAATTCTTCCAATTCTTTTCGAATTTCAGGCCTTTGCCGTCGTTGAGCGTCATCCATCTTTGGCGACGGATGTCTACCTGCCGTATGCTAGATGGCTCTCCGAGAAGGACATGTTTGATGAAGCTCAAATTGGTGAGAATGTCATGATATATTTTGAAACTCACAATGTTTTTTTAGCGTACGTTAAGGCTGGACATGATCACGAAGCTGTTGAAGTTCTCAAAACACTGGATGAGAAGGCGGTGGCCGAGCATCGCTATCTTGATGCCTCTTATTATTTTAGGCTGATGGGGAAGAATTACATTGAGATGACTTCAAAGGAAGCGGGATTAAAGAAGAAAATTGAAGAATGTTTGCTCAAAGCTGACCTGTATTATGTCTACAACTCGGTTTACAAATATGTGGTAAGCTTTAACAGACTTTATCAAGCTTTTTTCTGATTTAGTTGACTTTATTCTTCTTCCAGATTGAGCCATTCACCGAGAAAACCTTTGATGTCTTGTGTAATATGGCCCGGTATCTGCTGTTATCCCCGAAAATGCCTGGAATTTCCCAAGTCAACATCCTTTACACCTTGATCAAATTGAGTGTGCGGAATGAGAATTACAAAACAGCCAGAGAAGCGCTTGGCCAGTTGAGAATCTACCGAATTCCAGCGAGATTTCAGAATTCCATTGACATGTGGTCCATGGAGGTCAAATCGAAGCCATATTCGGATTCTGACGAGTTCATGCCAATGTGTTATAGGTGGGAACAATACGTGGAGAAATTTGCATTTTCTTTGTGGTATAAAGATTACGGTAATTTTTAGTTGTGGAACGAGTAATCCAATCCTTGCCGGACATCTTTGCACTCATTGCAATGCTCCATTCGTCTACTCGTTCCTTACTTTTGGTAAGCAATCAATTTTGTAAACCGCTAAACAATATTTCGAATCATTTTACATTGTTTTAGAAGTACTCCCAGTTCTAGAATTCGAGATTTCCTCGGATTTGTCGATCAGCGAAGCCAAAGATCTTCTCAAAACTGAATCCCCGATTGATGAAGGTGATCAATACGTGAATGGCCTGCTGTCGGAATACCGTTCTCGCAACAAATCTGGCCTTCTTCAATTGGGACGACAAGACCTCATAAACTTGGCGTCAAATCTCACATTTGTGGCCGAATTTCCTGACCCAATTGGATGTAAATTTTATTTGAAGGTTATCCCTGAGATTCCAATATCTCAATGCGACGAGTGCAAGAAGGTAAGATGGCACAAAACTTACTTTAAACGAAAATTTACAGCTCTTCCATGGAGATGATTATCAAATGGCAGTCCTCCAATCAGGAACTTGCCCCGTATGCAGATGTAAAGTTCATCTGTATGAGCCAGAATACGATGAAGATGATACGGAGACAAGTTAGGCGCAAAGGATGTACAATTTGTAGAAAACGTTACACAACTCTAATTTTTAGTCTAAAATTTGAAACGGATGCAGTTTTAACGGGTTTAATAAATCTGGAATATCGTCAGCGTGACAAGCCCCGCTGACGCGGGCCTTGACGCCGCTGTGCGCGCAAAGGTTGCCCAACGTGAAGTTGACTTGATCGCATGCACTACAGTTGATCGTCCAGGCCACGCTTCGCGTGGCCAACAACGCGCTGACGCGCGTTATACTGCCTCAAGCCCGGCACTTCTGTTAGCTAAATGCCGCGCGCCAGCGCTACCTTTTTTTAACTTTGACCAATCAACTGTTCTTAGGACATTGCCTCGGCCTCCGGCCTCGGCACAGTGCGCTACAGCACTCTACAGCAACATTCAGAAGGTTCCGTAACCCACGGCGGCCTTCGGCCGCCGAAGCTTCCAAAAAAAGTCGGTTTGGCTCGGCCTTCGGCCTCGCAAAATCATTTTTTTTGTCTTACTCCATCGTTATTGAACTTTACCTCGGCCTTCGGCCTCGGCACAGTGCGCTGCAGCACTCTACAACAATATGCAGTAGGTTCCGTGACCGACGGCGGCCTTCGGCCGCCGAAGCTTCCAAAAAAAAGTCAGTTTGGCTCGGCCTTCGGCCTCGCCGAGTCGTATTTTAGGAAATGAAAGCGGTTTCTGGACCGGTTTTTCACGCTGAGCACGATGGTCCAAGTCTCGATTCACGAAATTTGAATTTAGCGGCCGTATGGCTGATTTTCGGCCGAAATGCCCACTCTTGGCCGAAATTCGGCCGGTGCTCACGGAATTCGAAAGCGATTGGGCTGAAATTTGGCACGAAGGAAGCTTATGGAATTTGTCGAAAATTGACCCGAGCCGAATTTTGAATTTTGCACTTTTGCCCTCGGGGCGCATTTAGTTCGCTGAAAAAATTTTATTTTGGTCTGGACGGTCGTATTTTACGAAAAGTTGGAGTTGCGCACATGAATATTACCCAAAATTTGATTCTGCGTCGATTGGTACCAAGATCGTGTCGATAGCTCCACTGGCAGCCGAGTTCTGGAAGGGCGGATCCAGAAAATTTCGAATTTTTGTCTTTGTCGCTAGGCGGGCGGGGTAAGATGGTCGTATGTTGGGAAGTGAAAGTTGATTCTAGGGCAGTTTGAGGTGCTCATTACGGGGCTTTTCTCGAAAATCCGAAAAATTTGAAGTCCGAGCCCTGAGGGCCGATTTTCTGCAAAAAATCCCGAAAATTCGCTACGGTGCGTTCGATGAGCATTCCGGCACCGTATCAGAAGCCGAAAATAAGCACAGAGTAACTTCAGTCTATTGCCGAGACAATGCCGAAGCCCTTTTTTTGGATTTCGATCTAGTTTTTCCGGAATACTTTCCGGAAAATTTGGACTTTTTTGGGAAATTTCAGAAAATCTCGAATAGCTAAAATACGAAATACGACACGGTAACGCAATACATGGTTCTAGGGCATGTCAGGCATGCTGATTCAGAATCCGTTGTCAAAATCCAGAAATTCCGTCATCTTGATGGTGAAATCTATAAAAAACCGAAAAATGTCGAAAATCGCTTATAACTTTCGACCGGTCGATCCCACACTTATGACCTTTAGCTCAAAAGGCTTAGAATTTTGCGTAGATAATGATGGAACTCAGTTTCGTCCCGCTGGATAGCGTTAACACCAGGTACCCTCAGGGCATATATGTGAAAAATTCGAAAATTCGCAGATTTTTGGCCCCGGTCGATGATGAAAAATGTATAAAAGCTAAGGGCAACTCAAAAAATGTGAAAAGTTACAGCCGATCCAAAATCAAAAAATCCCATTTTCAAACGCTCGCAGTTCCCGCCAGGATGAAAATTCCAACTAAGTGCTGATGCCAAAAGTCATCAAATCCCTGCACCAGTTGACAAAAAAAAAGTCTCGAAAAAAAGTGCACGTTGAGTATTTTTCATTTTAGCAAATTGGGGAGTTTTTGATTACAGTACTTTTAAAACATTTTCAAAGCAATCTTTCCACATTTCCCGAGGCATTTTGGCCTAATTCGTTGGTGTACCGCACAAACTGACCGCACGGTGCACAGCTTTTTTCATTTTTGGAACTGCACTGTGCACTCATTTTTTTCTGGATGGTCCACCCCTTTGGAAACCCAAAAAACCAAATTCCCAGACGACAACGAACCGAACTCTCGGTTTCGAATGCCTTCCAAACGACAAAATGTCGCAGAAAATTCGGCGACGTTGGAGCGCGAGAAGGTGTCGCAAAGGCTTTGTCGCGCTTTCGCTGCGACGGAAATTGGGACTAATCGCGCTCAAAAGTCCTGACAATTTTCGCACCGTGCATTCTTCTTTAATTTCGCATTTGTCGCCGCGATTTCCCGTCTTTGCATTAGCGACGTGCGCTTTCGTGCGCGACAAACCCAAATTTGCAGGCGCGACGTCCAAAACCCGAACTTTCGCACGGTGCGAAAATTGTCAGGACTTTTGAGCGCGATTAGGAAAACGCTGAAAATCCAATTTTTTGTCGCTGAAAATTTGGGTTGTCGCTGCGGCAAGAAAGAATCAATGCGATTTTTGTTGACGTTTTTTGGAAGAGAGTGCGCTTTTTGCGGAGGTGGGGCGAGAAAGGGAAAAGAGCAGAGAAAGAAAAGCTCTCAGCTGTTTGAGAGTGGGCGACTGCAACTTTCCTTTGCACAGTGTTGTGAGAAGAAGGAATGCACTGTGAAATGCGAAAATTTGATTTTTTGGGGAAATTTGGAGGAAAAATGGGGAGGATGACATGTTTTTAATTTGGTGGTTACTGTAACAAAATTAAAAATTTAACCGAGGTGTAATTTGTGATTCACAAAACAATGATGCAAAAAATGGTATAAAAATGACATTATACATGACGTTCATTATGATCAAATTCTTTGTTCCGTCATTTCCACTTGTTTCTTTTCCATTCCCCAATAATAGTGCCAAAGGATGAATGTGAAGAGCCAATTCATACTGACCCCAGTGCAATATGAGACCAAAGCAATGCCAAGTTCCTGATCCACTTCTCGAGTGAGGGCTTCCAACATTTTCGGGGCGATAGCCATTGTTAAGATCGCCATTCCAAGGACGTACGAGCTTTGCATAAAGAGCGCTGAAAATGAGATGACCAACAGGATGAATAGGTCATATAAGGATAATACCATAATAGATCATCATTGCACTTATTTTTTCGAAATTTTACCTGGCCACAGCAGCCAAACTGGTCTAGGAATGCAGCAGACACATGCCAGCAGCAAACAAAGAGCTGCAGCATGTTCTAAACACCACGAACATCGCATGTAACCTCCATCAAGGTAGTTGGCCACACATTCTGTTGTCCCCAAAATTCGATGCATAAGTCCAAAGTCAAAGATGACAATATCGCAGGCCAAGAATCGACTTCCAAGGGTGGCGTTTGCAGGCAAAGTGGATCGGCAATGGAATACATTCGAGTAGTTCCACCAGGAAAAGACGTGCTGAAGGAAAAAAATCATCTACTTATATTGTTATAGACCTCTTTGGGGAGAAAGTGATGTTGAAACCGTTGTATTGCATCTACTTCATCCATTTTTGCCTACCTGCATAAATGAGACGATCGTTACAAATAACTGCAAAAGCGCAAATATCGTGCACAACAGACGGTTTGACAATCTGATCCCAAAAATAGAAGTCTCAAACTCCTGAATGCGAATAAAATAAAAGATCCTCATGATGCCTTGCACAAGTTTCTTGACTGAACGATTCACGAGGGAGGAAAGTCAACACGTCTCCTTCAATTAACATGCCAAATCGCTTAGTGTGGCCAAAGATAAGACTTCCAGAAGATGTTTTAATTCTCTGAATTTGGGGTGTTGTGGGAAAACATGTCGATGTTTGAGCCATTTAGCACTAATTTGCAAACCTCGTGACCCTGATTCACAAGGTCATTGATGTCTCCGGGGATACCGTAAGACTAATCGATCATTGTTTTTTCCCCGATCATTCCGTATATTAGCCATGAAAAGTTTTGATTTTATCTCCGATCGCAATGCGAGGTATCGGACTGGCCCAATTCCCGCACAAAACCACTTGCGCTTCTTGAACAGACGATGGCCTCGCGAGGTCACCACTTTTGGTCAACCAATTCCACACCCGTCAAGTCTGAGTCCCGCCACGAAAATAAAGAAATGGCGGGCTCTCGAGATTCGACCTTTTCCGATGTCGGAACAATTTCAGTGCGCGATGCTGGTGCGGGCCGAACATCCTGCACTCTTACTCCATTAATGAAAGCACGCGGTTGCGGGATCGACGCGTCATTTTTGTCCTCAATATTCGCATTTTTTGTGGGGTAATGTGGTCCGATTTCAGTTCGTAAGACTCGAGGGAAGAACAAGAAATACTCAAATTGGGTTCACAGCAAAAGCAGAACAATGTCTTCACCGAGAAAACGTAGAATCGACTCTGATGCTGAGTGCAAAACTCCAACCAAACTTAAGAGAGTAAGTGAAAAGTGAAAAATTATTGTCGTTTTTATTTTCTCCTTTGTCTTGACTCTTCCACAGATAGGTTTTAGCAAATGTAGATGGATAATATTTAATTCTTGATTTAGGAGGAGTTGGAGGAGCGGCTAAGCGACTCTATTAAGCGAAACAAGGCTGTTCTGAAGTTGGATTGGGCTGAACTGTCACAAGACTGCGAGGGGACTGAAGTTGAAAGCCATGTTCATATTGAGATGAGTACTGAGGTCGAAGAAGAATCAGTTGGGGTCAGGACAAGATCGAGGAAGAATAGAACTCCCAAGAGAAATGCTGATGCTGGTAAACCAAAGTAAGCTTTGATTTCCTTTTCAAGATTTTAGGTATTCTTCCAATTTGGAGATTCGTTCAATCTAATATCTGATTTAATTTAGGTTCGAGAAAGTTTTGGATCTGACAGCGGCTATGACGACCGTTCAAGACGAAAGAATTCAAAAGCTAAAGAAGGATAAGAAACGGGCGGAAGAGGGCACTCCCTCCAGAACTTCTCGACATGCGAATAAAGGGTGTGAAGACAGAAAGAGACAACATTCAGTGAGCTCTGTGGCTACCAATGATCCGGCGACTCCTGGTAGCTCTCGGCCAAGAAGGAAGAATGCTCGAGTTGACGGGACTCCAACAAGTTCCAGTCGTGCTAATTCGGCTGTTTCATCTCCACGGACACCTAGGAATCTTTCTCAAAGGTAAATTAATGTTGTAGAAGTTAATTTTATGGGTTCAGACTTCGTTTGGAAGACACTGTTAGTCCAAAGCCTAAGGATGACTATGTTGACCCCAAGCTCGGATGGTGCGAGGATGAGGCTACTTTGAAACGAAGGACCAAGGTCGGTAGTACATGGTTATAATAGAGTACTTTTAAGTCGTTGCTTCTGTATACTGATGGATTTAATTGCAGGAAATCGAGAAAGCCAAGGAAAAGGATGTCTATCAACGTTATTGCACTGAAGTCCAAAAGACCGCTCGTCAAAATGGAATCCATCCACGCACTCCTAACAAGTACATCAACTATTCGAGGAGGAATTGGGACGCTCAAATCCGTCAATGGAAACGCGCTCTCTACGCTTGGGCCGGTGAATCTTGTCCATCCTCGGTGAACACGTCCAGAGCTTCATCGGTGTGCGAATTCCGCGACAGTGAGGAAGAGAATACCCATAAGGAAATCAAGCAAGTCATCAGGACCTACGCCTCGGTCCTGGACAATCCCGACAACATGGCCTCTCTTCTTGGGCACTTCGACATGAACACTCGAACTCAAGTCACTCTCATGGCCGACGAGTCAACGCTAAAGGCAGCCAACCCCACCACTAAGGGGCCAATTGACTTTAGCAACATGAAGGCACAGTAAATTTACAATTTGTAATGTATCCACCTTTCAATTCGTTTTGTATTGTAAATGTAATAAGATATTGCCTTTAAAGAAATAAAGTCTGTTGATAACCAGCTAATTAAGTCGAAATTTGTGTTGCCGCTTGCGAAAATGGGCTGTTTTGAAGTTACACCTATGCAAGTGTGGCATAAAGTTCATATTTAAAGCTATGCAGGAGAAATGAGTTCCTAGAGCGAGTTGGCACCTGATATGATCGGAAACAACGCCATCGTCATTCCATTTTTAGCGCAATCGGCATGATTTACCCTCCTTGGCGCGTCCCGCCGCGAAGACCAATGCATTGCACGCGCGTTTCTTGGCCAAACGTTTCAGTTTACATTTTTCGCAAAATTTTTTTCCAAATTCGATGTTTTGTTGAACACGGCGGGATTCTGGAGCCATCTACAACGCGACGCTCCTAATAAATGCGCCAAGAATGGTGGGAGTCGAATCGATTGTCGAGGTTCAGTTGGACGACAGAGTTTGCCGATTAAATCCCACGAATCAACAGCACGTTCTTGAGCCAAGTCCGAGTTTGTTCATCGCCAAGCCTAGAGTAAGTTCTCACAAGATGTTTTTTATCTAAGATTTTAGGAGAAACTAAAGGTTAGGCGTCCAGTAACAAAAGAATGCCACAGCAATTTGGAGGACGTCAAAATGCCAGAAGACTATTATGTCTTTACTGGAAATGAATTCGAGACCTCAGAAAATTCTGTAGAATACGATGTTGAGGATGTGGTAAGTATATTCGTTGTTAGTTCATTGTTCTTTAGGATGTGGAATGGCTCCGACTTGTAAATGACAAAAGAGCCAAGGATAAGCTTAAACCTTTGACGGAGGATGAGGTTGAAAAGGCGATTGACAGGTTCGAAAAGGCTTCACATTTTCAGGTAAATGGTTTGTTTATGTTGTGGATCTAGTTTGTCAGATTTCTTGTCCCTTTTTGATTTAAATTATATTGATTTAGGTGATTTATTGGGTAATATATATGTATAATTATTTCTAGAGTGAACATCGACCACCTCAAGTCGACGACGATGCCCCTTGTTGTATATGCAACGAGGCCGAAGACGCAAATACAAATCAAATTATATTTTGTGACATGTGCAATATTGCTGTTCATCAAGAATGCTACGGAGTGCCATACATCCCTGCGGGTCAGTGGTTGTGTCGGAAGTGCCAGTTATCTCCTTCTCAACCTGTCCAATGTGAGCTTTGCCCCTTCAAAGATGGGGCTTTCAAGCAGACAGCAGATGGCAAATGGGTTCATGTCGTCTGTGCCCTCTGGCTGAGCGAAGTTCATTTTGCAAATGTGGTATTTTTGGAACCAGTGGAAGGTGTAAAAAATTCGTTAAAACGAAGGGCCAAATTAACTTGTCAGGTGTGCCGAATCAAGCATGGAGCTTGTCTGCAGTGCAGTAAGGTAGGATAATATAAAAAGTTTTGAATTATTTGCCAAATGTCTCTCTAATGTCAATCTTTTTGCTTATTATTGCTATTAAAAGCAGTTTTTGACGGTCTATTAATTCAGAAGTGCTGCGTTCGACCATTCCATGTGACATGCGCAATATTCAGCGAGATGCTAATGGAAGTCCGACAATCTGAAAAAGACGGCTCGGAAGATACAGTTGTAGAGCGATTCGTATATTGTCATCAGCATTCTGCCGCAAAGTAAGTTTTTATTTCCATTTTTGTTTATCTTTTAGGGCCAAGGTTGATATCCACTCATCTTCATTCAAACGATTGGTTTCTGAGAAGTTGAAACGAGCAAGAAGAGCCCTCCAAAACTCATCCAAACAGATCAACAACCTTGTATTGCCGGTGGTTCCGAGGTCTCAGTTCGATGATATAAAGTCAGAGCTAAAAGTTGACCGACCAGAAGATTTGTTGCATTTTTGGTTCCTCAAAAGAAGGGCAAGATGTGGAGTGCCGCTATTACGAAGGCTACAAGTATATCACAGCAAGAAACAAGTGGGACGACGGTCAGGCGAAGGACTTCTTGATGAAATTACAGCAGCTGGAAGGGATAGCAGTCAGTGGGATCAGTTGCTAAGGACGGGAAAACTCAGGAATAACCTTGAAAAGCTCAGGTTGCTAGTCGAATTAGTAAAGAAACGGGAGAAAATCAAATTGGAAACGGTAAGAGTTCATTTCATTGCTGTTTCGGTGGATATTTTGTTGCTATCTGAGGTCAACTTCACTGTATTATCCATGATTTCAGATACAAAATTATCGGGATATTGTTGAAAACGCCCTAAAATCGATTAGAACCATCCTAGAAGAGACCCTGGAAAGGCTAGTTGAGAGAGATCATCTCCATGTTTTCACCCAACCAGTAAATGAAGCAGAAGTTCCCGGGTATTCGAATATAATCAAGAAGCCCATTGACTTTGGAAAGATGTATAAAAAGCTGGAGAATGGCGACTACAGAAGAGTGGCAGACCTCAAAGCAGATTTCGATTTGATGATGAGTAATTGCGAGAGCTTTAACAGGAATAATGAGCATTTTCTACGATATGGCCAGATCATCAAGAGCTTAGGATCAAAGATTCTGAAGGAAGCTGAAGCTGAGGTGGAATTAACGGCATCGGTAGGCTAGCTGAATTGAAAATTTTTTAGTTGTAGTAGTTAATTTTTAAAAGGTTTATTATGTCGTCAAATATATTATACTTATGTCGCTCCTTTGATTTCAGCCTAAAATGTTGTGTGAACTACCATTTTTGTTCCCTGAATGCAGCAAGAATGAGAATATGCAGATTATAAACCGAGCTAATTCCATCGCCGATATGACTAATTCGAAACCCTTAGGTAAGTAATGGTTAAGTTATATTTTATTCAAATTTTAGAACGAAGATCAAGCACAGCCTCCGTGAAAAGCTCGAGGAAGGCACTGAATGGTTTGAAACGAGGTGAGTGAGGCATAAAAGAAGTGAAGACTCTGTTGAATGACCATGTACAATATAACAGTTCTAGGTAGAGACACGGCCCAGCCCAAGATTCTCGATTTCTTCAAGCCAGTGGTAACCCCAACCACACCATCATCACCTCAATCACCGCCGCATAAACGGGCAAGACCCCGATCCCCAGAAAAAAAGAGCAAAGTTATCAGATCTCGACAGGATTATTTCACAGAAACGTCCTCGGATACGGCTGGAGTGAGCACGGATGAGGATATTGGAGGAATGAGGCGGAGACTGCGGAGGAGTAATCGAAGTGGACGCCAAAGCGAAAATGATAGTGGTATGCGTTTTATTTTGCCTGATTCAAGTTGAACTAGTGGTGAAGGGGTCCCATCTTGACATAATTTGTATGGCTTTTAGTATGAGTATATTTTATAATATTAGGTGTGTAAGTCCAGTTGAAATGTCCTGTTCAATTGTTTTATAGTGGAAAACGGGAGGCTTTCTTTGAGTTGCTTTCATGGCGCAGTGGGTTTTGTGATTTTTTACCAGTCTGAGAGACCCGAGTTCGATTCCCACCCCCTTGCAAATAAGCCGAGTTGTGTTGCGTTTAGTGCGTCACAACCATGCAAACGCAAGGGAAATTGTAATGAACTGCAGACAAGACTATGCTCGACGATTTGGCATAGACATCAATTCAGTCCAGACATTGTTTTTAGATTTGAAATTTTTGTTTTTTCTGGGTGTTTGTTGTAGCGAAAGTCATGTTAATAATGGGATTTTACAGATGCAGTAAATGGAGCCGACTTCATGCACAATGACATTGTTTGGGCACCCATGGGCCGAGAAAAAATGGTCGGCCGAATCGTAAAGCGGACATTGGTCGAATTCGAGGAAGAAAAAGAAATACGAGACAAAATAAAACAACTCCGACCGTCCGCAGACCCATCCATGGTCCCCATCCTCTTCTTCGATGTCAATTCCACCGTCCAATATGTGAATTACACCGATCTCAGCCACTGTGATGTCATGAAAACCCCCTCCGCCGATAATCAAACCCTTCTCGCCGCCTTTGGACGTGCCAAAGAGTACTGGGAGAAGACTATGAGGGATTGATCGACTCATTATTTGTTGTTTTTCATGTGAATTTTGATCTGTATTTTGGGATCTTCCTTCAATGAGCTTTGACCATGGTAATGTCATATTTTTTTGTCGTATTATCAGGTGCGTATTATTCTGTCTTCCCTCGTCTTCACACAGTAAATTTATTATTCTCAATAGCAACGAGTAGTGTAACAAATGTTTGGCCACATGATCTGTATAGGCATGCCTTCCCTTTGTTCAATAATCATCAAAATGCTGCCTTCGTTAATGCCGATTAAAATTCAATAAGTGTAATCTAAGGTATCTAAGGTCTTTTTCCATGCCCGTAAATGGCATGACAATCTCGGTGTCTTGTTTCGCAAGTAGCTCACAATCGTTTTTGGTCTAGATTTTTCCGTTTTACACACCTTTTTACATTTTCCAATCTCTTAAATATTCGTCGGAATCAGGTATCTCACTTAAAATTTGTTCGAATTCCTCTCAAGAATTGTATTTAAAATATTGTACAGAGAATAAATTTTATACCATAAAATCTTTGACTATTGTAAATTACGCTTCGATTATACCTCTGTCAATATAATAAATTTTATTTTAATACACGTTTTCTGACTAAATTCTAAATTATTTACTCCAATTTCTGGCAAGATGGGCCTAATTCTTCCCCTTGAAGACCTTGTTGATCTGATCCAAGCTGTCCAAAAGGTTTTCACAGAACTTGTTGGCGTCTCTCTGGTCCTAAAAATCATAATAATTCAAAAAGAATATTACTTTACCTTAAAAGTAGAGACCACTGCGCCAAGTTTTGTCTTTCCAACATTGTATCCAATACCATAGCCATTTCTGACGACAGCGCCAAATCCACCAAAAACGATAGCTTCGGTTGACAAAGTTGAGGTAGAGACTTCGAAACTATTCATATATTTATAGACATCAGAATTGAAAAATTGAGGAATTGGAAGGTTGTTACGTTCGGCAGTGATTTTGAGACCGAGAAGGTGACGATCGAAGCCTTGCCCTATAAAAACAATACTATAACAAGATCACTCATGACATTTGCATATCTCCAAACCCATAAAACCTTATTTTGTTATAAAAAAATCAAAAATTATATTACCCATGGCACCCAGCTTGACCAATTTGCTGTGCGTCTCCGAGCAATGTTTGAATCTTTCCAGTAAAGCCTTCGAATCGCTGATCCCATTCTCCACAATGTCTAAAACCGTCTCTTTTGTCGCCGAGGTCGCTGATCTAATGCATTCAGTCCTTCCCTTCTTGAAGGCAGCTGTAGAGCAACTCTCATAGGTCGGGCCAAACCTTTTTTGCGTTCGATAAAAGGCCAATTGAATCGCTAATTGCATTGTGGAGTCAGGGGAGATTCCAACTTTTTTGATTTCATCTCGAGTCAACGCTGTGTATTCCGCAACCGCAAATTGGACTTCACTTGAGGCTTGGATGAATTTCTCTTGGGCCTGTTTGATGGTGGATTTGGCCGAGGTGGGTAGTTCCCAGTCTGAAATTTCAAAATTGAGGAAAAATGCAAAAAAATCAGCAAACTTTTTTTTTTTATAAATCATCTAAAATAATATACTCCTCTTTTAAAACCATCAAAAATTTTTAAAAGTCCCTACCCAACCGCTGAACTCTGTTATCGTCGCTCTGATCAGTTGGTCGATTCGCTGGATCAATCCAGTTCATCTTCTGCACATCCCGATAAGTCTCTTCAATCAATCTCAAAACCGCAACTCCATCTCCCCAAGAGTGCTCAAAATTAATCGTGGCTTGTCCATTGCCATCCACAATCATCTGGAAGCACTTGTCGAACCATCGATTCCGTCCATCTTGGCCGCAAAGCAAATGATTGGCCAATTTTGAATGATCCGTGATCTTTTCTTCGTCCAAACAAAGGATAAATAGGGCATCGTCGATTGCCTTCAAACTTTGCTGATTCTTCGTTGAAGCAGAGACTATCTCTTCTCTCGTTCTGGCCCAAGTGTCTCTGTCTAGCGTCGTTAAACTTCCTAGGCATTCTTCTGCCTCGGGGCGTTTATCCAGCCTTATAATTCTGGCCAAATCCGCGTAAACTTCTTGGGGTTTTCGAAGATTATAATCGGAATCAAAGAGATTGACCTTGTAAAAGATCCCATGGCGAACTACTACCATATGATGAGGGCGTTCAGCTCGATGAAGATGATCCTTCTCCAGTTTTGGAATTCGATTTCCACCAAACAAAGATGGATACTGGGACATGTCCAAGGGGAATGCTTGGAAAGCAACAGCGCCATACCAAGCCAGAGCCTCTGGGAATAGTCTGGAATGGTCAAAGTTATGTAAAATAGCAGCTCAAATCGACAAAAGAACAAACATTTTAAATTACACTTACTTCATTGTGTTGATAAACGTATTGCTCTTGCTCCACTTGGGCTTTATATGGTAAATCTCGGGCTCCAATTTGTTCAAATCCATAGCTTTCTTAAACCGTCCAGCGGCTATACTAACATAGGTGGCTCGGAGAAGCTAAATTATCAATTATAACGTCAAAAACTCTGTGTTAATATAATTTTCATATTTGAAATAAATTAAAATCCCACCTGATCATTACATTCAGGTCTTGGATCCGGGCTCAACATCATAAACGGATTGTAGTTGATCGGCACGGGTACTCTGGCCTTCAAGTACATGTCGAACCAAGGCTCAGAGATGTAAGAAGTATGCGGATTTCGGTCGTCATATTCTTTCAGCTTTGTTTGAAGGTCTAAAACTAAGAAAAAAGACAATTCAAGTCTTACCGCTACGTTTGAGCAAGTCTTCGGAGACATCTTGAGCTTCTTTGATTTGCTCCGGAGTACAAACAGCTTCCACCGCATGCAGATAACGTTTTACTGAATCCTCAAGTTTTGGAATCGGTAATCGCCGAAGACTCTTTTGGAAATAGTAGGTCGGGAGCTTGCTTTGTTGGAGAAGCTGGTATTCATTGCTCTTGAAGAAGGCATCGTCGTTATCGCGAGCCCCAAACTTTGAACTGGATCCAAGGCTAAAAGAGTATTTTTTGATGTGATAAATCTCAAAGAGATTACAAAAATCTCATTCGCAAGCATTAATGTGTTTCATTACTTCTGCGCATCATGAAAAATGCCGTGAAAATTAGGTTTGTTACATAGATTTCGTTCATTTCATCAAAACTCAAGTGTAACATCGGAAAGTCGAGAGAAACTCTTATTTGACGCCATTCAACTTGAGTGCTACAATGTCTGTAGTACTCCAACACATCGACCAGTAATTTACAGTAAATTAGCACCAAAATTCTCTACATTAAGCAACAAAATAACAAATATTCATAATGACGTACTTGACAGAGGAAGAAATACTTCGGATGAAGACTTTCTGGGGCAACATAGCTACAGAAGTGACCAGACAAGTATAATTCGCCGAAAGGACTTTGCACTCCACAACAAAAAAAAGATTTTCGCCACTGATAAAAACAAAATGTCATGGATATTATCGGAAATTTATAACGAAGTGTCAAAAGCGCTAAATGTTTCTCCAAAATTTTTCCCAGAAATCCCGAGTTTGCAAGAACCAAGGCAACATTTGTTTGTTTGGAGTAGTTTTGAACGTGTATTGCTTATAAACGTGCGAGAAAATCTATGACTAAGATGTTATACTAGACTGGTCGTTGTTATTTTTCAGGTAAATCCTCCAAAAATGTCCGTTCTGGCGAGAGCGTCGTTGTCAAAGGCCTTTCTCAGTGCCTGCTCGCTGTCATCGACTCCATCATTAAATTTTCCGGCTGTTGCAACCAAAGAGAAGAAGCCCCAGGCTCTTCCGGCTGGATTTCGTCCTCCGAGAGTTATTTCATTGTTGGTGAAAGATGTCTACAAGGCGGGAATGAGTGTCGGAGAGTCTGGAAAGATTGCCAAAGAGCGTTATCACTCACTGACTGCGTCTGAACGTAAGGTAAGTTAATTTTTCACCGTTTTCTAAAGTTTAGATACCTAAAATCTTACGATTTGCTCGTTTAGGAGTATGAAAAGAGAATTGAAGAGATTGCTGCTGAACGTCGCAAGAAGTTCGAGGCTCTGCCAGTCTCCGAACAGGAGAAGTTGTATGCGGATGCCAAAGAACGTCGTCAAAAACGCCGTGCACTTGCTCACAGACAGCTTTTGCGCGCGTATAAGGCAGAAACCGGTCATCCAAAACAGCCCGCTAATCAGTACCTGGTGTACGTCAAGAAGCAATTTGATGAGCAGAAGCCAGCTCAGGCTGATTTAAAGGATTTTATGGCCAGATGCGCTGCTGATTGGAGAGGAATGAGCGAAAGTGAGAAGAAGGTGGGTAGATGGTAAATTAATATCAAAAAAGGGTGAAATTGAACAGAAAATTGTCTACATTGCTGTGGTAAATTTGTTTTATGAATTTGGAATGTGTTTAGAATGTTCTATTTCTTGGAACGCAGGGTTTTTCAATCTTGATATTAGGTTACATTATCCATGACATCACGTTTTACGTTTTGGTTTTTAGCCATACAAAGACGAAGCTGACAAGAGCCGCGATAAGTACTTCGAAGAACTGAAGGTCTGGAAATCTTCTCACACCAAGAAGGAATGGGAAGAATACAAACTGAAGCACAAGTGACCTCCTGTTCCCTAACCTCAGATGTACAGAATAATGTCTTCGGTTCTTTTGTTTTGTGCAATTTGCAATCTTTATTGATGAACCATAGTTATTTGAGGTATTGGTGATGACATTTCTGTATATGTATGATCCATTTCCAATATGATGTTGGTGTGGATATTACTTTACTAACTTCCAAATACGTGGGTTGCCTTCACAATCCGGGTCAAATCCCAGCCGGATGTTTGGGTTGCACTTCCACGTACTGTTCCTCTCTTGCAGGGTTATCCGGCTGTGGCGTTGGGCCGTTCTCGAAGTTTTAAACCGGGTTTCCGGCTTGGCGGGAATCGGCTTTTACCTTGACGACAGCTCTGGGAAAGGATTCTCTTCGAAAATGGAATGCCAAATAAAGTTTTGGGAAGGTTGTGTTGAGATCTCAAGAGTTCCGGGGGCTTCGGAAGTTGGGTTGTGTAGGTGGTGGTGTCATCAAAGGAAATGGGGACGCTCCGACATTGTTTTAGAGCAGTAGCTATCGTCGGCTGCTTTTTATCAACCAAAAAAGGTTCCAAATTTTTGCCAATGCCCTTTTAAAGTCCTTAGCGGTTCTTAAAATGGCAAATATAGTAGTACTATTGCAAAAAAACAGCCTTACGATTGTAACATATTGTTCTGGTTAATGTAATATTTCCCGTCACTGAGCTCTTGGTCCCTCCGACAAACGACTAATTAAGTTTTGTTGTGGATACGACACACAGAACTTGTTTTCTCGGCCAAAAAAGGGAAGCGAACACTAAGACAATATCGAGTTACAGCCGGATATGTTGGGATCTGTTGGTTAGAAGCATGGTTAATATAAATTTCTGAGCAAAATATCGGATTACTCGCCATTTTGGTCGCCGGGCTTACTCCTTCGACTGTGGACTTCGGGAGAAGTTAACTTCGAGATCCGTTTGATCGGCTTTGGCTAGCCGAACAGCCGAGCCAACCAATTATTCCCTTAACGCCCGATGTCTGGGTCAAACAGAGTAGGAGGCTGGTGTGGATTTCAAATTTATTCCATGGTCTTTTGTCTCTGTGCAGCGAATTCGATGTTCCGGAGGTATCTGATGACATTACAGGCTTTTTCGCTTTCTATTTTTTTGCAGCGAGAGATTGCGCAAAGCAGAGAGACGGGCGGAGAAAAGGGTTTCAATGGGGTTGTACTTGAGGTCGGATGGTCAGAGATTCTCATGTTGGGTTGAAAAGTTACTGTTTTCGACAATGAATGATCAGCGGGGCGATCTATGATCATGGGATGGTATTCTAATGGGCTGTAGTATATGTCATTTATAATATAATATTTTAGTAATTGGCCCCTTTTATAGACATTATCTCATTTGCGGACTTATTTACAAGGCCTATAACCTTTATAGCATTTTAATTGGCACACTTTTGTTGAGACTTGTGGCGTTTCTGATATTACACTTGGCATTAGAGATTGATCATGCCCATTCTTCTTTCTAACGTACACAAACCTGCTTTATGGCCTTTCGGCCGCTCCTCAGACACAAGTTCAGATCGATGGGACGTATTTTTTGAGTGACCGGCACGGCTTCTCCCCCCTCCGGCTGTTCATAAGTTGCAATGGGGCCTCAGCGAAAAAGCGGCGCCTCAGGGTTGGCCCGGCCCTGTGATTGATGGGCTTTGACACGGGCTTGAACACGGACCCTCAGGCACTGATCTGTTTTTTTCTCCAAACCTCGGTATCGATGATCTACGGGCGCCGGTTGGTCGATTTATTAATGTGTTTTCGGGCGTTGGAAAGGTGTCAAGAGAAAAGGTGTCGACAAGTGGTGCTATGAGTTATTGGGCCATTTCCAGGGCATTCCGATTAAAAGTTTTGAAATTAGTGGACTTCTGTTTTACACAAAAAGCAGCTGCATGAGAAGTTCTGTTCAATGAATGGTTCCAAAAATTTGAAGTTATTTTGTTTACTCTATAGAGGTTTGTTCGAAAAATAGAAGTACTACGCAATGTCCGACTTTTGTCAAATTTTGAACGCATACTGTACATAGCCTTTAACTGCGCTTTCATCCACAAAAATGAAGGATTGTTTTGTTTGCAAGAGCAGTCAAAAAATGTAGAGTGAGATATACCTTCATTGTATCATATTGCCAATTTATGCTCTTGACAATTTATCCTGAAAAAAACAGTATTCTCATTACGCACATTTCCCTCTCTTATTCGAAAAAATGCAGATTGAAAAGTTCAACGGCTTCGACACCAGCGCCTCTTTTCCGAGGCTTGTCGTCATCGTTTTAAATTAGCATTTTTGCAAAGGATTAAGTGATGTCTGCATGACGTGAATCCCTACTGTATTTGCTCTTTGATCCTTATCTTATTTAAAATTAAAATTTTTGCAAGTCCGATTGTATTAATAGAGAAAAAGATGACAAATACGTATATGATCTACATCTGAGCATGTGTTACAACTGGTTGGTGTGTTGGAGAGGCTAGTGAAGATTCAGGTTTTGAGACATCAGCAACTATAGTTATCCTTGGCTAATGTTGTATTCAGAGTTACAGGTCGTATTGTAATCATGACTGTAAACTGCGATAAAACTTTTCAACGAGCCTGCTTTACGGAAAAAATAGATTTTTTGTGGAATCATTACCCTCTATGGTAGAAACAGGCATGAAAGTTCTGATGTCAACATTCACAAGATACGGTAATTTTTTTCCAACTTTTGCCTTAAAAACCTGGGTCGTCTCTGCAAAGCGCGAGTTAGGAGTCTGGCATGTCTTAAAAAAATAAATCTAAATTTGTGCCAAGTTTCATCAAGATCTGAGCGTTGCACTTGGGGTACTTCTCGTGTAAGTTCAGCAGATTTTCATGCAGTTCTATTCCCATGTTCCACAGAAGAAGTTTTTTTTTTAAAAACACTTTTTCTGTGAATTTATTTTTTACTATGCAAATTTGGACTGTAAGTTAATTGTCATCCTGTTTTCACAAATTCGGACATCAAGGCAATTGTCATCATATTTTCACATTCTACTTTCATCCCTTAGCGTGTTTTTCTACTATATCTTTGTCCTGTGGTTTTCCTCTTCCCCATTTCAAAATTCATCGACCACCTTTCTCCGCTCAGTTGCCATGACTAATTTTGTGGAATTCTCGTCTTCTCAAAAACTGAAATTATATCCGATTTCCTCCGTTTCTGGTGAAGCGGGCTTAAAAGCCAACTAAGAGCGAGAGGAATTACATTTTTAGATGGAAATAGCTGTCATCCTCACTCAGAGAATGGACCTTATAGTAGACAGATTGACGGAGCGCCAGGCTTACGGCGAAAGAAGCTGCAGTTATTAGGGCATGTGGTGGATTCCGGGCTTTTATTTGTTATGGGGATGGGAGACGATGAGTTTTATGAATTGGGCATCAAAATATGGCATATTTTGGGTTGGAGGGGCAAAAGAAAAAGGGAAGATTGAACCCCCGTAATGTTGAATATATCGTCGTGACTTTGAAATTGGAAATTTCGGGTATCTTTTAATACTAATTCCAGGAAAACCATTGTATTTTAAAAGATCAAAAAATTTTACTTTTAAAATAAAAATTTAAAAACGTTTTAAATTTTTTTTGGTAACACAAATTTTTTCCGTCTTGTCACGGGCTGAAATTAACTATTCCAGATCGTATTTTATTATATCTTCCAATTTCCCTCATCCTCAAAAAATATAAGAACCATTTTTTCCAATTTTTAAGTCATCCTTCTTGCTCAAAATTCAAAAAAAAAATGGTTGATTGTCACAACAAGTCCGCCTTCTCGAACCAGACGAGGAATTAATTGCCGAAGGGCCTAATTCCCTCCATTCTGACTAATTTCCCTCCCAACCCACTTATTGGCCTACTTTTTGGCCGAAAACCCCTCCGGCGTTTTCTCCCTTACGCTTATCGGGGCCGTTTTTTCCTCCGCCCCATCCGCGCCCTCAGGGCTCTCAATTCCGAAAATGGACCGCCATTTTCGGAGCCCTACCCCCTTTTTTCGGTGGGGCCACAAAAAAGAGCAGGGGGCGAGGGATAAATTCGGCGCCTCTATTGTCTTTTTTCGCGCCCTTTACAAGCTCGTCTTCGGCCGCCCCGCGGCCCAGCAGTTCAGCCATATCAACGCGTATCTATTTGTGCTTTTTTAAATAGTAACCCTACTTCTGAATTGTATGTTTTTCTTACTTTATTCAGCAATATTGCAAAAATTTTTTGATAAAGTTTTAATCACCTAAGGGCAAAATTGTAAAAGTGATATCATCGGATCCAGTAAACGGTCGTTGTTTGGCGCCTAAAATTGTTGACTTCCTGTGAGAAAACAAAGAGATAAATGGGATTTTTTGGTTCCTTTTGAGGGATTTTGGTGGAAATCTTGATATTTTCAAAGATTTATTTTGGATTCTGTGGCTGAATTTGCGGATTGAACGTCTACAGGGATCCCTGAAGCAACTTAGACATCAAATTCTTCAACTTTTACACAGCAATTCTTACAAGGGAATGGTCCCAACGATCCGTGGGATCCACAAATGAAACCTAGATATTCTGAAAGAGCAGGTAAAATTTAGTAGGAATCCGTTTTTTCTACTTGCCGAATAAGTCTGTGCGACGAGAAATATCGTCGAAAAGATCCGACCAAAAAATCGAAAGAGAGAAAAGACGGACCAAAAGGCATTCGAAGACGTTACCAAATAGTCTAGTGGAAAAAGTTCCACGCACAAATCTTTTGGGGGAGGGAGGCCTTGGAGGTTCGAGTCCACCCGGAGCCGGACATCTCCGGATTTGAACCCTACGTGTTCATTACTGTTCTACAGTTATACAAAAAAAAATTTTTTTGTTTAACCTGTTTTACAAGGTTTGTTGCAAAATTTTAAGAAAAGCTGACATTTCGGCAATATCTTTGATAAGCCCGATGTCGACATAGTGGTCAAGACACTTCTACTCGATTCTGGAAGGTTGTATAGGATCTTGCAGATCTTTTTCGGTTTGCCATAAAGGATGTTGCCAAAATCTCACCTTTTCATAAAATTTTGCAAGAAAAGTTGAAAAGAGAATTTTTGGGTCCTTGCATCAGCGTGTAGTAGACCCCGTGAATATTTACGAAAAAATCTATTTTGAGTTTTTTCGTTTAAAATGGCCGTGGACATGTGTTTAACAAATGCCAAATTATTTTTGTCAAATTCTGCCCGGAAGGTATAAATTTGCATAAATTTGTCTTCTTTGGAACTTCGGACCTGGCGGCATCATAAAAAGAGGTAATGACCAGTGATTGCCACGCCTTCGGATGCAAAAAACCTTGTAAAACAGGTTAAACAAAAAAAATTTTTTTTTGTATAACTGTAGAATACAATAATGAAGGGTTCAAATCCGGAGATGTCCGGCTCCGGGTGGACTCGAACCTCCAAGGCCTCCCTCCCCCAAAAGATTTGTGCGTGGAACTTTTTCCACTAGACTATTTGGTGACGCCTTCCAAGGCCTTTCGGTTCGTCTTTTCTCTCTTTCGATTTTTTGGTCGGATCTTTTCGACGATATTTCTCGTCGCACAGACTTATTCGGCAAGTAGAAAAAACGGATTCCTACTAAATTTTACCTGCTCTTTCAGAATATCTAGGTTTTATTTGCGGATCCCACGGATCGTTGGGACCATTCCCTTGTTAGACCAAAAAAGAAAATATTGAGGTCAAAAGTACTTCAGAAGTTTTTTGGAATTTTTTCATTATAAAATTTTGTAGATTATTATTAGTACAATTTGTAAAATACGCCGCGAATTGATAATCCGTATGTATTTTGCCTAGATGGATGATAAAAATAGTTGTAAACAGCTTGCCCAATGTTATGACAACGACTTTGTTATGTCACTTTGCACTTGGCCGTATTGTAAATCTAATTTGTTTTCGGGGATGACAAAGTGTGAATTTAGAATTTTTACTCAAACACGAGGGTAATTTATGGTTTTCAGGTGATACTGTAGAATTTTTAAGGATAATTCTCGTGAGACTTTTGAATATTTCCGTTGCTGAGAGATAATGTTTGATGCGTCAGGTGGAAATTTAAATTTGCCAAAAATAGACAGTCAGAGCTAACTGAGTAAAATTAGATCATATGTAGATACTAGAGGCTTCACAAAAAACTTGATGATTTACATCGTCTACCAGCTCTATGCATTTTTGACTTTCCCAGAAAGTACAGTAAGAATAGAAGTTATAATCTTGCAAATTAGATAACAAAGTGTCCAGAGAGTCTGTCATTTGCACGAATTTAATTTTGCAGACATTATTTGTGGCTCAAACACCAAATTTGTCATGATTAATAAAAAAACTTTCGGCAAAGCTTATTTTTGTCGGTTTTCCTTGCACACACTCTATCAGCTCATAGATTACAGTAAAACGCTTGAGGCCCTCCACTTTTAAGCCACCAACCCCCCTCATTTCCCACGGCATTCCTCCATTTTCATCATTTCTCCCCCTCATTCGCCATTTCCAAAGTTGATCAATTTGACTTGGCGTATCTTTTTTTAATTTGAAGCCACAAATAGAGCGTGGGTCCAGAGGCGGATAATTAGAGCCATTCTTCCACCGAATGAGGAGGGAATCTCTCTTTTTTTGGGGCTCATTTATATCATACTTGTGTTGACCGAAGGGGAAATATAATACGTGCCGGTTTCGGCGTGCCGACTACCGGCTCCTTTGCGAGTATTACGAACCAAATTTTCTATGGACACTAAAAGAGGCTTGTGTCAAATTATGACGTCATTTTTTGTAAAAAATTAGATCTTTGGGGGAAAGCAAAAAAATTTTAAAATGATGATTTTGTTGTCTAGAGAAAGGTGAATTGGATTACATTTTAGTTTATAATCCAATAATAATAATTTTATTGAATAATACATCTCTTATTAAATTTTTTAGAATGATTTTAAATACGTCATCATGACACTTTTTTGTCCAAAAAATGCGTAATAATGACGGATTTTTTTGAAAAATACTTTTCTGGTGATTTATATTGCGTAATAGGACATTATGATGACAAGATAGGTGTCATATTCCGTCTTATTTTGTCCAAAAAAGCTGTCATGATTACACGTTTTTATGTAAATTTCATTTGAAACATCTCCTCGTACCTTGTGGCCTCGTTTCCACCTGAAATCCGGACACCCGTCCATTACGCAACCCCTTTTCCTGCACGAAATCCATGTTTAGCTCCGAAATTCTTGGCTTCATGCCCTGCGGGCAGGGAACCGAAAAGAAGGAATTTTTGGAAACTTTACGCCGCTGAAACGTGAGCAATATGTAAATGTAAATGTATATAATATCGTTCCGAACAAACGGATTAAGAGGCCGCCCCCAGGCAAAAAAAGAAAGTTTGCGGCCCCGAAAGAATGAGACTTTTGGCCATTTCTCCGGCCTGCCCTCAGGGCATTTATGTTTCGTTTGTGGGGATAGGAAGGGAAATGCATAAAGAAGTTATGGATGGGGGATTTGCGATTTGCGAGGGTGGGGCAAGGGGGGATTTGGGCGGATTTTTGGCAAAAATTTTTGATTTTTTTTTACATTTTCGGTATTTTTTATTAATTTTTATCGGTAGAATTTGCCAGGTAATCAAATGTATAATTTTACAAAGCGAATTTTACAATTTTTTCTCCGTATTTTACATTTTTTTAAAAAAAAATCCAACTTTTGACTAAAATTTTTCCCAAAGATCTCATAAATCCCTGAATTACATTTTATATTGCACTCTATTTTTATTATGTCCCGGGGCTCGGAATCCAGTCGAAAATCAGGGCTTTATGTGACCAATAAACCCGACGAAAATGGGTTCAGTTTTATCGCTCGACCTGGGATTCAATTTTATGTCATCATAGGGCACTCGGATGAAAAATTGATGTCGAAGCGGCGTTTTTTGACAACACATTAGGCAATATCGGACACGGGCAGATTCGATTATTGCTATTCACTCGTAAATTATTCAAAAAGTGGCAAAAAAAATTTTATTCTCTTTTGTCGGAACTATTGAAAAAAGTCGGAGTTTTCCTAAAATAAATTTTGAGCCGTATTTTAGAAGTCAAAATACGATTTTTTATCGTATTTTAGCCAAGTTTTACCGTATTTTCGCTGATCTTTCAGGTTGCCAAAAGTTAGTGGCGCGCACCAAAAATTGCGTCCGATCTGGCAAGTTAAGCAACGCTTGATTGGTCCAGGTTCGAATCCCACCTTCCGAAATTTACTTTATCCGTCGAAACATGACTTTCTTACTGTCTCCTATCTATTCAAATGAAGAATGATGAAAGCGCAGACATCACTGTATCCACGCCGACCTCCAAAACGAATAATTTCCCAGAATTTTCCCCGCATTTTCTATATTCAGCCTGCTTTTGACGAGACTTGCCTCCCAAAAAAAACACGATATGTCATGCACGTTCCATATACACTTCCTTCATCCGATTCCCCTCAACTCATAAGTAATTACCCTCCGGGCATTTCCCTGCTCGCGTAATATTACATATATTCATCGGATTATTGAATCGTTTCTTCAGAAAAGCGGAGAATCCGGTGCCAAATCGCCGGAACTCGCCGAGAATCCCTCCCCAACTCGTACCCAAATTTTGGTCGGTGGTGTTTTTTTGGATGAACAAGTAACGGGCCTCGGCCCCCAGGAAGAAAAGTGAACGTCGGCTTCGGAGTTTTGGAGTTAACAAGTGAGTTCTGAACTGCCAGGAGGTCGGAAATTGGCTGAATGGAGAGGAAATTGGACTAGAATGGGTTGGAAAATAAGTTTATAAGGCGAAAAGGTCGAAAGTCGAGATTTTTCGGGGCTGATATTACACTTGATGACTAAAGTAATATTAGATGGTACGCAGCCAATATAGATCTTAATTCAAATTCTGACTTTTAAACTAAGTCCTTCACTATTTATTTAACACAATTTCAATATTTATCCATTTTGCATATATCCATTTTAAAATCAGCAGGCAAAAATTTTCTTAATGTCTAGTACAATATCGGGGCAGTGTGGGTAGCAGGTGGACCCTATGTGGCCTTGTCATATACGGTTTAGAAGCGCTTTATTTGAGCTTCAAACCAGTGTATCCAACATACTCCGTAATGCGTCTCAAAACGTACAAGAATTCGCACAAATCGACGACCCAAAAATTTGCAAGACTTATGGGACACCCTAATACATACGTTTTTTTCGATCAACTCAACTTTTCAGACCTCCAAAATGGGCGACCTTTATGGCCCGGGCCATGGAAAGGCCTTCGCGGGTGGGTCGTACGGGTACCCGAACATGAATTGTAACATGAGCCGGCCGTTTATGGATCTGACCACGGAGGAGCAGAAATGCCTCGACGAACGGAAATACTGGTGTTTTTTATTGTCAAGGTAAACATTTTTGTTTTTAAAATTTTTCTCTTTTTTAGAGTTGTTCTTAATAAAATCACAATAAGATTAAAAATAAGTCATCATATTTACATTTCCAGTATTGTAACCTTCTGCGTGAGCATGTTGTTGGTCGTATTATGGCGCATAATCACCCATCTCTGCTGTCAACCGCCCGAACGAGAGGTGCTGCCCGCCGTGCCTCCCTCCGAGTTCTACAAAACCGGCTCCACTTCCGGCTCCATTGCTGGGCCGCCGTTAACAAAAACCGAATTAAATCGAGTGAACCCGAAAGAGGAACAAGTCCAGATCGGATGGATGACCGAAGCCAAGGATTGGGCCGGAGAACTGATCTCCGGCCAGAGCATGACCGGCCGCATATTGGTGGTGCTGGTGTTCTTGCTGAGCATCGGATCGTTGGTCATTTATTTCATCGACACGTACAAGGACTCGTTCCACGTCGAGACCTGCATTCCCTGGTCCCAAAGTCCCACACAGCAGATCGACCTGGGCTTCAATATCTTCTTCTTGATCTACTTTTTCATCAGGGTAAAATTTAAAAATGTTTTTTTTTTAATTTCGAGTTTTTTTTGATTTTTTTTCAATAATTTCAAAAAATTTTTATTTAAAAAATTCTCAAAACTCTTGTGCTAATTTATATTATATTTTTTCAGTTCATCGCCGCCTCGGATAAAGTGTGGTTCCTGTTGGATCGGTACAGCTTTGTGGACTACTTCACAATTCCGCCGAGTTTTGTCGCCATTTACCTTGAGAGAAATTGGATTGGTAAATTAATTTTTTTCAAAGTTTGGAATTTTGTGTCATCGATTTTTATACCTCTTTTTTAGGCCTTCGATTTCTCCGTGCTCTCCGACTGATGACCGTTCCAGACATCTTGCAGTACCTGAATATCCTCAAAACATCATCTTCCATTCGGTTGACTCAGCTCTTGTCCATTTTTATTTCCACTTGTTTGGCTGGAGCTGGGGTTATTCATCTGGTACGTGGGAAATTTATAAAATTTGCAAAAATCCTATTTCTTCGTGCTTTTTTCCGGTAAAAAATCGGTTTTCTGTTAAAGATGTAGGTCAAAAAACAGCCACATAAATTTTTTCTACGTAAAGGTGGCAAGAAAATGCCAAAAAAACTTTTTTCGTCTTACCGTCTCTCCTCATTTTCCATACTCTCTCAACTCGTTAAATTTCTCGGCTCCCTCTACAAGCAGAACCCTAAAAATTTCAGTAATTAATTTCTGGTCTATTCAGAGCATGTAAGCATAATTTGATCAAAATATGAACATTGCATCTCGAGAAATTCACATTTTTATCAACCTTGTTTTAGCTAGAAAACAGTGGCGATCCCTGGAAAGATTTCATGAATTCCCACCGCATCTCATATCCGGATTGTGTCTACTTTTTACTGGTGACAATGTCCACTGTCGGCTACGGTGACATCTATTGTACAACGGTTTTGGGAAGAGGATTTATGGTCTTCTTCATTCTCGGAGGCTTGGTGCGTCCAAAATCATATTATTTTTTTTTATTTTTATTCATTTATTACATTTAAAGCATTGTAAATGACTCTGTTGTAGGCCATGTTTGCGAGTTATGTGCCGGAGATTGCGGATTTGATTGGAAATCGGCAAAAGTATGGGGGCGAATACAAAGGAGAGCATGGGAAGAGGTAAGATAAGGTCGTATTTTAAGCGCCGTTGTATTCTTTCATGCTGCAAAGGCTGAAATCAATTTGTAATTTCCTCAAATTTTCTATTTTTTGATGATTTTCTGGTTTGGGTGACATTTTATACGATAAAAACTGTTTTTCATTCTCAGCGTATAAAATGTCACCAGGGTCAAAATTGTCCCTAATTACGGTAATTTCATGAAATTGTGGTTCTAGACACATCGTCGTATGTGGTTACATTACATACGAGTCTGTCTCCCATTTCCTCCAAGACTTTTTGCACGAAGATCGAGAAGATGTGGATGTGGAGGTCGTCTTCCTCCATCGAGTTGTGCCCGATCTCGAATTGGAAGGTCTTTTCAAACGGCATTTCACAAAAGTCGAATTCTTTACGGGCACGGTGATGGATTCCATTGACTTATCCAGGGTCAAAGTGGACGAAGCGGACGCTTGTATTGTTTTGGCCAACAAATACAGCAGCGACCCCGATGCCGAGGATGCCGCGAATATCATGAGAGTGATTTCGATTAAGAATTATTCGTCAGACATCAGGGTTATCGTCCAATTAATGCAGTATCATAATAAGGTGAGATTCGAAATTTTTGAAATTTTTTGATAAAAGATTTGACCTAAAAGGCCATGAGATTTTTTATATGAAAATTTTGTAATTTTTTTACTTTTCAGTATCAAATTTGTATAAAAAATGCCAAAAAAAAATTTTTCAAAAAAATAAATTTTCGTATTTAAGGCATATCTTCTGAACATCCCCTCGTGGGATTGGCGTCGCGGTGACGATGTGATCTGCCTCGCCGAACTGAAGCTCGGCTTCATTGCTCAGAGCTGTTTGGCGCCCGGCTTTTCCACAATGATGGCCAATCTTTTTGCCATGAGATCTTTCAAAACGGTAAGTCTTTGCCAGTAATTGCTGGCCCTAAGTGTCATCTAACCCGCGAATTTTTTAACATCTTTTTTGCAATTTTTGAAACGGTAATGGAATTTTAAACCAGCAGTTGCAAAAAAATGAAAAAATTGTCCAGTCTCAAACTTCGAGAGCTCAAAAATTTGTCATCAATATTCCGTCCAATTGTCATAGAAATTGTTTGTCGTAAAATGCGGAATTTATGTAGGAAAAAACCAAAAAAAAAATTTTTTTTGAATTTTGTAAAATTAAAAAAAAATTCGACCTCCCAGATCCTAAAAAAATAGAAAAAATATACAGATTTCGTATTGTAGACCCCTTTTATACCATATTTAACACCTATGTTCCTCTTCATTTGTCGATTTTTGAGCTCTCGCGCAGTCCGTCAATAAATGTTTTATGTTTTTCGGCAATTTTCAGTCCCCAAATACCCCGGAATGGCTGAACGAATACCTTCGCGGCGCTGGGATGGAGATGTACACAGAGACCCTGTCCCCCTCCACTGTTGGCCTAACATTCCCCGAGGCTGCCGAGTATGTTTTTAACAGTACATGTGTAACCCATCTATGTCAATATAATCCGATATTTGATAGCGAAGAAGGGCGGGAGTGATGGGGAAAGGGACAAAAATAGAGTCAACTTGAATTTCTCAAGTCAGAAGTGGCTAAGATAAGCATTTTTTTATAAAAAAATTGATTTATTATTAAAATTTTGAAGCCTGAAAAAAGACAAAAAATTGTAAATTATTGCCCGAGGGAAGTCTCTCGGATTTCGATGAAATTTGGCACAAAATTAGATCATTAGTTTCTAGGATTTACGAAGAGAATTTAGCCCGCGTTTTGCAGAAACCACCGCGATTTTTAGGTCTAGCCAAAAAATTGATATTTATCCAATTTTCGGCACTTTTCGGCCAAAAAATTTCAGTGATTTCTGCAAAGCGCTGGCTGATAATTTCGCATATACCAAAATCTCACTTTGACCATATAAAAATGGCGATTAGCCTGTCTTTTTAACGTTTGATGTTTGAATTTCTAAGCGTTTTTCCCACCGGCCGTTTTTTGGGCCGTTATGGATGAAAAGAGCTCTTTTGGAATTTATTCGGCCATAGAAATGTGGCCATTTCTTTCAAAAAGTTTTCCGAATGACGTGAGACAAAATGGAGGGAGCAAAAAATGGAGAGAAAAGTGTTTGGACGTCATGTAATGTCAAGGCCTATAAATAAAACATAGCAAGACTGCAAAAATTTGCAAAAAATTACAAAAAAATACTTCCTATGTCAGGTAATCGCTGAATAAAATATTATTTTGGCCTAAAATTGACTTTTAACCCCTATATTATATAAAAAAATATGTTTTATCTCAAAACCCTCCAAAAAAATCGCGTTTTTTGAGGTGAGAATGCTGTTTGATTAACCCCACCCTAACCTGTCCGTCAAGTCCTCCGAATTTGAATTGAAATACGATTTCTGCGATGATTTTAGTCGAAGCATACCCCCGACTGGCTGAGTCTTTACTTATGCGGTGCGGGAATGGAGATGTACACGGACACTTTGTCCCATTCATTTGTGGGAATGAGTTTCCCCGAGGCCGCGTTGTAAGTGTTTGGGGGAAGTTTGAAGTCTGAAAATGACGCCAAAGACATAATTCATCCGTAAACAGTCGAGAACTCGACGAATTTTGGGGAGAATCAACAAAAAATTATATTACACTTGACCAAAAAAATTTTTTTTAATGAAACAAGATGGTAGTATGATATAAGTTATCTCTATTATTTTATTTAAACTCTCTATTACTACTAAATTTACCATAAAACACCATAAATATTATGGCAAAAATCATCAAGAAATTATATTGCACTAGGTCAACAGATATTCAAATTAACAAAGAATGAAGTTGTAATCGAAAATTTAGGTTGCTTTTCAATCGATTGGGTCTACTGCTACTTGCCATTGAATTGAAGGACGATGAGAAAAAGGAATGCAACATTGCCATCAACCCGGGTCCCGCAACGATAATTCAGCCACAAACCCAAGGATTTTTCATCGCCCAAAGCGCGGATGAGGTGAAACGGTAATCAAATTTAATCCAAGGCATTCCTAACTTACTATTTACCATTAATTTTTTTTAAATATCAATTTTTTCATCGTCAAAAAAGCAAAATTTTTTGCAGAGCCTTTTACTGGTGCAAACAGTGCCACGAAGACGTTCTGGACGTGGCTTTGATCAAGAAATGCAAATGCAAAAACCTTTCGCTCTTCCGAAAAGGCGGAAAACCTGTGCAATTAATGAAGAGAGGTAATGTCGGTATGTGATTTTGCTTTTTTGTGGCTTCTTCTATCTGCTATAACAACCTAAGGACCTTCTCCATGACCTAGAGATCTCTTATCTAGACATTTGGCATACAAAATCGGCGAGAAACGCGGCTTGGATATTGATCTAGACATTGTGGTAGATATTGTGACTAACATTGTGGTCGAAATTGGGGTTGACGTTGAAATAATTCTAGTCCATGAGCTCCAACACAGCTTAGTAGTTAATTTGGTCAAGATCTGTGGCCGAAAAAACCAAGATTTAGTTTTAATTTGGCACTTATTTTAGCATCAACCACCGTAAATAACCCCCATCTCGCAGTGCCTAAGGGTCCGATGATAAACAATGGATTCGTGAGCCGAGAGAATCCCGAGATCATCAATCTGAATGCGCCGCCAAACGCGAAGGCGACTCTGATCAACTTCGATAATCGAATTGACATCGGATCCTTTGAACAGCAGGACATGAAGTACGATAGCACCGGGATGTTCCATTGGTGTCCGTCCAGAACCATCGAAGAGTGCATTCTGGACAGATCTCAGGCAGCGATGACTGTTCTGAATGGCCATGTGGTTGTTTGTTTGTTCGCGGATAAGGACTCGCCATTGATTGGGCTGAGGAACTTCATCATGCCGTTGAGGTGGGTTATCTTCTGTTTTAAGGGCAGAGAGACTAGGACATAATAGATTTTGATCTGTTGGTTCTATCAAAAAAAATACAGACAAATCGAGTTGCAATTATTCGATATACAACGAGATCAGTCTACAGGGTGGCCAGAAAGAACGGAAACTTTCTTTCGCGGATTTTGCTGTTGATGCGACTGGCAAAAGCGTTGCCGGTGCGTTTTCTGTCACTTCCCTGACGCTTACGGTCGTTGTCAAGCTGCTTGCATTGTGTGATTACTTTCGACACAACGTCCTTTCTATACCGCGCAAATTAACAATTCGAAAAGCTCCAAAAAAGGTCCAAAATCGAGGTCCCTCTGTTTGACATTCAAAAAAACCCATGTTAAATAATCGTTATGGTCATGAAAGTGACAGTACTAGGGCAGAAGAACACGTAGAATATAATGGTAAAAGAATGATTTGGCAACACCTAAACATTTTCGCGCTAGGACCCATGAAAAAAAGTTTGCGTTTTTTCTGGCCACTCTGTAGAAGAAACCTACAATATTGGGGTAGTGCGGGTAGCAGGTAGATTCTTTCTAGACTCATTATATATAGATTAAAAGCGCAATTTCTGAGCTTTAAAACCGTATGTTCAACATGTCTGGTAATGCGTTTCAAAGCTCACAGGAATTCGTACAAATCGGCGACCCAAAAATACACAAGACTTATTGGACACCCTAGTAGTAGCCGTCCGCAAAGTTTCTTGGGCTTAAACTGATGCCAGAGCAGCCAAAAACGTTCATTAAGACGGGTCTCATTGTATCCGTTCACTATGAGCAGCTAGTCAAATTTTGAACCCCTTTTTCTGTCAGCTAAAAGATAAAGTCATCATTTTTCTCCCTTCAGAGCTTCGAACTTCCATTACCACGAACTGAAACATGTCGTGATCGTTGGAGATGCAGAATATCTGAAGCACGAATGGAAGACACTCCACAACCTTCCCAAGATCTCCATTCTCAACGGCAACCCACTGTCTCGAGCCGATCTTCGAGCAGTTAATATTAATTTATGCGACATGTGTGTTATTGTTTCCGCTCGCATTCCGAATCCAAACGAAGATCCCACATTGGCTGATAAGGTAAATTAAAATCTCTACTGTATCAAGTACTACATTATAATATCAAATTCTCCCATATTTTATATTAATTTATATTATTTTAGGAAGCAATTTTGGCCTCATTGAACATCAAAGCGATGCAATTTGATGATACCCTAGGGTTCGGCCAACGATCCGGAATCTCGCCCTTAGGCTCTCCTGGTCTGCCCTTGGCCAAACGAGGAGCCAGAAGTGGTACGAATGTCCCAATGATCACGGAATTAGTCAACGATTCCAACGTCCAATTCCTGGATCAAGATGATGACGATGATCCGGACACAGAACTCTATCTCACACAGCCATTTGCATGCGGAACAGCCTTCGCTATCTCGGTCTTGGACTCGTTGATGAGCACGGTGAGCAGATTTGGGTATTACAATAGCAATTTATATTATCCATGACCTTTGTCAGCAAATAAAACATCGAATTGCAGACCTATTTCAACGACTCTGCCCTTACGTTGATCCGAACACTCGTTACTGGAGGTGCCACTCCGGAATTGGAGCTGATTTTGGCCGAGGGCGCGGGTCTTCGCGGGGGTTACAGTACCCAGGAAACCTTGTCCAATCGGGATCGTTGCCGGATTTCGCAAATCAATCTGGCTGATCATCCCTATGATGGCATTGTTGTGAGTTTTTTGAGGCTATAATTGACAGGGGAAGTCCCCAAGTGCGACGCGCAGATTTTCATGAAACTCGGCACAAATTTAGAATATTTTTTTCTAAGACATATATGAGAATTCTAGCTCGCGCTTTGCAGAAACAACCGAGATTTTTAGATCGAAAGTTGAAGAAAATTTGAGACTTTTTGTAAAATTTTTGCACGAAAAGTTTCGTACCTATGTCTACCGTAATGGGTAATTTTTCCACAAAGAATAATTTTTTTCCGCACGAAACTCCCAAAGTTATGGCGAAAAAGTGTTTTTCTCTCTGACCGCTCTCCACGTTTAGTGTACTCTCTCGGCGGCGAAGATCGTTCAATATCTCGGCGGCGCCTGCAAAGCGTGAGCTAAAACTTTTAGGAATTGATATTTAGTCTATTCCCGAAGTGTGTGCGAAATTTAAAGAAAATCTGAGCGTCGCACTTGGGGTATTTCCCTTGTGAGGTTAATTAATTAGTTTTGCGCAAAAAATTTGTTTTTGGTTATAATGTAGTAGATTAAATTGCTGTTTTTTTAGTCTGGCTCAACGTACGGAGAAATGTTCAGTGTAGCGTTGAAGAAGAATGGGCAACTGTGCGTTGGACTGTATCGATTGCACGATCAAGCATCGCCCGAGAGCAATAAGCGATATGTGATTACAAACCCTCCAGCTGAACTCCGATTACTTTCCAGTGACAATGTAAGGCTGCTTATTCTTTATTAATTAAAGCCTCATATGACTCTAGTTTCTTTCCAAGATGACTAGAGTCATCATGCATGCATATTAGGACCAAAATTATCTTATCCATGATGTCTAATATCACCTAAACCATTCCAGGTCTACGTCCTCGAACAATTCGACCCCGGGCTGGAATACGAGCCCATGGACCGAATGATGATGTCCTAGACGGACAGACTAACTTATCGCCATCAGACCTCTGAATCAAGTGCCATTTCGTTGCCAATCAAGGCTATTGTATACATATTATAAGTGTATATTTGAATACTCTTGCTCATTCCTCAACTCTTCTTTGGCTTCTACAATCTTTGTAGATGGTGTGGAAGGAGTTTAGGACCATCTGAAAGTGGAATTACTGGTGCTCTATTTGATTAGCGACCCTTTCATTTTGTGTTTTTATTTTTCAGAATTTTATGGAGATACTCAAGGATTTTTAGTTGTAAATCTTATTTTGCCATTGTGAAAAGATTATTTAAAATAAAACTATAAAGAATTGACTTTGTTTTGACTTTTTTTATGACGATCAGAAGACATGAATTTTAAAAAAATCAACGAAAAATAATGGTGTGCTCTGAAGGGGCAGTCGAAATAATGCTGAAACTCTTCAATAAGCCAATTTGTATATGTATTTGCGCTTTTTCCTAGTTTGTTCTATGCAGATCACACTTTATACGCGGTTTTTTATTCAAATTCTGAAAACGCCCAACAAGCACTTGCGTCCCACCACGAAAACAAACGAACTCGTCTTTTCTTATTTTCTCGCTTTTATGTTCGACATTGCGTTCGTTTTCCCGCACTTTTTTCTTATCTTGAGATCTTTGTCGTCAGTTTTGATTACAATTTCGAGGCGTTCCATTGATATTACACTAGGTCCACGTGGGGTTAGATGGTTACCCAATTCATCGCCGCTTTTTTTATCTTATCCTAACTGCCGAAGGTCCCTTTAAAACCGCCGGCCGGTCTCGTGGCCTGGCGTTCAGAAAAAGGTCTCAAACAGAGAGAGGGGAGAGAGTGAATTTATACTTGACATTACTCGTTCCTTCAAATCCTCTTTTAATTTGCAGCCAGTTGCAGTTACGTAGGGAAGGACTTCGATTTCAACGTTTTTTCTGGGCCTTTTTTTGACGTTTTCGACCTTTTCGAAGTCAGCACAAAGAACGATTTTTTGTAGGATTCTCGTCAAGGAATTTATTTTTGGTTTATTTCGGTTTTGTTGAATTAGAAGTTGATTAGTGTTTGAGATTGTTTTTCCTCCTAATTTTGACCTTCTTCTTGCTGCCACAGTGTAAATCTCTTTTCGATTTTTTTTCTTTTTATCGGGTTTTACATATTTTTATAATACTCTTGATATCCTTTATATATCTTTATTTTTTCAGTAGTTTTTGTCGAAATGGCTCCACCAACATTCGCTGATCTCGGAAAGGCCGCTCGTGATGTCTTCGGAAAGGGATACAGTAAGTTCTTTGTCATTTTTGTTTCTTTTGCCTTTAGGTCCTTAAAAAATTATTATCCTTGCCGAAAGTAACCCAACATCTTTGCAGACCATGGTTTGGTGAAGCTCGATACCACCACCAGGGGCAATGACAACGGAACTGTTGAATTCAAGACCTCTGCCACTCACAACCTCACCTCCGAGCAATTGGCCGGTACCGTCGATATCAAGTTCAAGGTTCCGGAACGTGGTGTGACCATCACTGAAAAGTTGAACACCTCCGGATCGTTGTCCACCGTCCTTGAAGTGAATGATCAGTTCGCTCGCAATTTGAAGGTCACTTTGGACTCGGTCTACGTTCCCAACACCGGAAAGAGAGACGCTACTTTGAAGTCCGAGTGGTTCAATGACGCCGCCAGAGTGAGTGTGAATTAGTTTAATATCAGAACTATAATTTTTGGACCTTTATGTTGTTTTTTTTGTTTTGAAAGTAGGAATTTATGGAGTTTTGAGTATAGAGTTATCATGGATGATACAATTGATGAAGTATAATATAAATTATGTCTTTATTTCAGGTGAACATCAACCTCGGATTGATCGGAGGCCCAGTTGCCCTTGTTTCCGGAGTTGTTGGTCAAAATGGATGGTTGGCCGGAGCGCAAGGACGTTTCGATGTCTCCACCAATGAACTGAAGAACACCTCGGTCGCCTTCGGATACCAGCACCCCAACTACACCATCCACTCCTTCTGCAATGACGGCAAGGAGTTCGGCGGCTCCCTCTACCACCGTGTCCACAAGAATGTTGAACTCGGCGCCCAACTTGGCTGGACCAACGGCGAGGAGAAGGTCCGTTACGCTCTCGGCTCCACCTACAAGATCAACCCCGACCTCCTGCTCCGCGCCAAGGTCGACAACAAGGCTGTGGTTGGGCTGGCCGCCACCCATGCTCTCGGCCCCAACGTGAAGGCCTCCATCTCCACTCAATTCGGCCTCACCACCGCCAACTCCCAGAACAAACTCGGAGTCGGCATTGAGTACACCCCCTAAGGCATTTGCAGTCAGTCACTAGAGAGTAATTAACGAGATCCTTCCATCTCTGTTCCCTTGTTTATTTGTCGCTTACAATAAATTAGTGATCATATTTGTCAATCTGGTTTTAGTTTACAATGTGTTTCAAGAAATTCCGCGGAAAGTTTTTGTCGATTTCTTGCCGCTCAATCAAGATATCCGAAAAATTCTTTTTGCAGGATAAAGAAGAAGATGGGCGGTTTTTTGCCCAAGAAAATTGTTTTCTCCTCCAACGCGGAAAGTCGCGTATTCGGCGGAGACTTTTGGCCACTTTTTGGGTCATTACACCAATTTTAAACGCTTTATTATGAATTTTGATGGTTGAAAAAAAATATTTGCAAATTTTTATGTCTATCAAGTATTCGGCGAAGGTATGGCGGACGCTCGCCATATCGGCGGAGGCCATAACTCAGCTTCCGACAAGAAATGGCATCTTATGGTCTGGCTAGCGTACCCTGCTGGTTTCGTATGCTTTCCAAAATTTTTTCGTCAAGTTTTGGCAGAAATTGAGTCATCGGCGAACCACTCCATGCACCAGAAAGCAAGAAAATATTTTTCGTTCAAATTTCTCTTTGCCCTGCTGTTTCAAACCTCCGCACTCGGACTTTATCGATGTTGCAGCGGCTGAAGTGCACCATGCAGTCGTTAAATGCGGTCATATAGTATTGTCCCTGGCCTTCTAATCCACTGTGCAAAAACTAAGCCTTTCCGATAGTTTCAGCGTCATAATAAAGCGTTTAAAATTGGTGTGATGACCAAAAAAGCTGTCAAAAGTTTCCGCCGAATACGCTGCCTTCCGCGTCGGCGGAGAAGAAAAATTTTGTAGTCAAAAAATCGTCTATCCTCTTCTTTCTACTGCAAAAAGAATTTTTTAGATACCTTGGCTGAGCGCCAAGGTTCGGCGCATTTCTCGGAACACCCTGTATATTACAGATAATCAAAAAATTCGGTTCAAATGATCCAACTAGCATACAAAACCATTTATTGCGGCCTTTAGAGAAGTTACAAATTAATTACGAAGAGCAATATCGAATATTTTGCACTGAAACCCGATCGTTTAAAAGACATTTCTCTAGTATAATATAATATCTTGCTGGTGCGGCGGAAGACGGAATGAACGCGCAATGGCTACCGAGTTTACAATAAATACAAAGCTGTGTTTTGAACTCAATTTAGCGAATATCCGGAAACAAAATTCTTGACGGGAGAATGGCACTAAAAAAACAAAATACAAAAAAGCCGACTGTACAATGGAGAAAATCAGGCGAAATTAATGTAATTTACACGGTCAAAGACAACATACGAGGAGAGAGGAGATCTGCGGGGACAAAGTGATTTACAAAGGGGTCAAACAAGCGGGAGAAAATAAGTTTCCGACATTATTTTAGGTATTACAACATCAGAAACGGTGAAAAACTCAGGTCAAGAAGAGTATTTTGGGGATTTGAAGGTACTTTAGACAGTAATTTAGTGGGAACAAGTAAATGATCAAGCAGTGATAGGCTGGGTGTGTTCTACTTTTCCGTTTTCGGACGATTCCTCCGATTTTTTCACGTCCGAATCGTTGAGCTCCAGGGCGTCAGATTGAACATCTGCTTCGGTCTCATCGTCTGTGAGGTCGTCCCTCTCATCGTCATCATCCACATCGGAGTTGGCATTGAGAGCAGCTTGCAGGGCGTCAATTCTTCGAAGAGCCAACGCCAGGTCTGAGGTGGTCTGGGCGTGTTCTGACTGGATTTGATCAATTTCATCGCGCTAAAAATATTGAAAATTAGTTTAGAGTCCTTTATCAGTCATATGAAACTGAAATTTCGAGATAAATCAGAAAAAATTATATTGCACTAGACAACCGTCTACTACAACGTCCAATTTTTTTCTTATTTTCCTCAAAAATAATTTCCGAACTATAACTTACAGCTTTCTTGTACTTGCTGGCCACTTCCTCCTCTCTCTTCCTCAATTCTCTGTTGGCTTCGGCTTCATTTGACAGTTCCCTTTTATGCTTCACAGCCATATCCTGTTGTTTGATCAACGTCCTCTGCAATTCACCCAACTGATCCTCCAATCGATCTACTTCATCTTGGAGTCGGTTCGAGGATGCCTCAAACTTTACTTTCTCGGCTCTTTCGAATTCAATTCTCGACTTCAAATCGACCAGAGAACGTTCGAGAACAGTGACTTTATGGGCTTCAACATAGTGGGTTTTGAGGTAGGCGACTTGACTCTGGGCTTCGGCCAGCTGTTGCGTGAGGTCTTGTTTGTTGGCTTCCAATTCCGCGATCATCTGCGCCTTCTGGCTGATGAGGCGCGAATCATTTTCGGTTTGGAGAACGGCGTTTCGGTAATCTCTCAGGACGGAATTCAGTTGTTCTTCCAGGTCTTTGGAGGTCGATACAGCAGCAGCCTTGTCCGAGAGGAGGTCGCGGACACGATCTTCGAGGGATTTCTTCGCTTGCCGGAGGTTTTCAATCTGAAATAAGATCAAGTTAGAAAAATAAATAAAGGCCTGTTATTTTGTCTAGAACTTGAAAAAACTCTCTTCTAAACAGTTCGTCACACATTAGAATACCTTAATCTGTCAAAAAATTTCCATCCTTACCTCAGAATTCAGCTCGGCCAGCTCATTTTCCAACGAGTACTTGGACCTGACCGCGGACATCTTGGCTTCCTCCGCCTCTTCCAACTGAAGCCTCAACTTCCTGATCAACGGCGCCTTGTCGCTCTTCTGTCGCTCCATGGCCAACAAATTCTGAGTGTCTTTCAACAACGCCGCCGTCTTTTTGAATTCTCTTTTGTAGTTGTTTGACCCAACAGTCTCATAAGAATATTGAGATTGCGTCTCAAACTGACGACTTCTCTGTTCTAGGAGCTTCATTTGTCGTTGCAAGTTATTATTGGCTTCTGTGAGGTCGGCGAGTTGTTCTTCGTATGTTCGGACCTAAAATTTTTGTCATGAATAATATAACCGAAAAAATAAAGTTGAAAAAATCAAAGAGATATTGCAAAAAAGGACAAATGGGCCATAAATATTGTCTTAAAATTTAATGAGGGTCTTTTGACTCATGAATATTGTCAATATTATCTTACCCTTCGTTGATGTTGGGCTCTGAGTTCGCTGAGCTCTTCTTCTCTAGTTTCCGTCTCCCTGGCATTATCGCTCCTCATTCTATCCATATTCAAGTTGAGTCTAGTGACGTTTTGTTCCAATAGATCGTTCTTATTGACCATTTCATCAAGCTCATCCTCCAATTCCGAGACTTTCTGCTCCAAATCTCGTTTCGATTTTTTTAAGAGTGATAACTCCGATTCTGAGGCCGTTCTTCCTTGATCCTCGGCGATTTCACTCAGCTCACGCTTCGTTCTGGTCATCTGGGTTCGAAGTTCGGAGTTTTGTTCTCTGATTTCCTGCAAAAACGAGCCATTTATCTTATCCTTCGCAGTCGAAACAGGGTTAATGTGAAATGATGCCTTACATGTAGTTCAGACGACTTTTTGTTCAAACTCGCGCTCACTTCCTTGAGTTCTTGCTCCACTCTGCTCTTCTCAGCCTCCAATCGGTTGATCCGCTCTTGAAAAACGCCAATTTCATCGTCAACACTGAAAACAGCGGGTTAATCTCATGGATAATATAAATTTAATACTCCCGGTGATAAAAAACATTCAAATAGATACAAAATCCGATCCCGAGGTCCCCGCACGAGGTATTCGGTACGATGAAATGCTAATCTAGGGCTGTTCGGGAAGCAAAATAGGACGGATATTGTAGTAGACTCACTTTGATCCTTTTTTCTCCAGAACCTCGTTTCTGGCTCGAAGATTCTCGATCTCCTCTTTGAAATCGTTCAGGTTTTCGGTCAGTTTCTGAATTTTCATTCGCTGCGATGTGTCCTGCTCTCGAAGTCGGTCCAATTCACAAGCAAGACCGGGATCCGGCGACGGCTGAAGAATAATATAAATAAAACCCGTAAACAAAGCAAAACAAGACAAAGCTTTCTCAGCACTTCCCACGCTACATGGTAAACATCGTAAAAACACAAGCTTCCCGCTAAAAACCTTACAGATTCATCGACAATCCGAACCGATCGCTGAGAGTTGGATCGGACGCTCAAAAAGGTTCTTTTGGGAGATCCTTTCAAGAAATTTCGGAATACCATGCTTGCATTAGCTACCCGAGACTTCACGGAACCTCGGTCCGAAATTGCGTCCATCAGTCTTGGAATCAAAATGCCAAAGAAATGATTTTCGCTGCAAGCTTTCAAATTTTGGGCAAAAATTGTTGATTTTTCGAAAAAATTTGCAAAGTTTTGTCTTGAATCAGTAAGACGAAGTTATAATTAGTTATTTTAGACATTGTTTTCATATAATTATTACAAGTTTCCCCCTCAAAACATCAAAATTATATTACACTTGTTACTAGGAGATGATAACTATAATAATAACAAAAACTGTTATGCTTACCTTCTTTGCGGACCACTCATAGTCGCCAGACATGACTTTCTCGCGTTTCTCATCTTCGGATTCTGAAAGAAAAACGAATTATTCACGAGGGAGCTGATGAATAAGATTTCCCCAAGTTTGGTTAGAGACGTTACCATTTATGGATGGTCTAATCGAATTTGAATATCGATTTTCGGCCATGAAGCCAAATCCAGAGCGTTTTTGGTAATAAACGAACTCTCGGACGGGCCTTGCCATTTTTTTCTATCGCACTGGGCGCACTAGATATCACTTCGGAAAAATCGTATTTTAGGTATGAATTACAGTAATATCTAATGAGCTTTAGTAGTTCAAGAGTGACTAACTGTATCAGAATAGGGTTAGAATTAAAGCTAGCTCAGTTCCGCTCTGATAACCACCTGAAATGGTGTTAATTCCAACCTCGCCACGTCCGGGATTCAAGGTTGTCTTTCGGGCGTCGAAACCCAAAGGCAAAAGGCGGCTTTCCCTTTCCTCGCCCCACCAAGGTGTGCGCAAGAGATTTCCGAATCCGGTTGCGCGACAAAACCTGAATCTAAATATATTTATGAATTGCGTAAGACGAAACTAAATTTACCCGGGGCCCCGATTAGAGGCGGATTATCAAATTAATTTGCAATTGCAATTTGATTAATCGAAAATGGATATTTTTAATATTCGAATCCCCGAATTTCATCCGGCAGACTAATTAGTTGTAAGTTAATTGTAACCAGGGAGGTTCCACGCCGGATTATTCGGCAGGTGAAATTTGCATTTTTCAAAACTGTAATCTACAGTGGGGGACCTGATCCAGTGGCAAAAAACGTGTCATTTTGCATCCGGGAAGTACCAAAAATTTTAGCAAAATGCCTCCCTCTCCAAGTGAAAAAGCTTCGTTTTGAAGGGCTCCCTCACAAAAAGTGCGGGCGCGCTTTTGAAATCGGAGTTTTTTCGCTTGGAGAGGGAGGTATTTTGCTACATTTTTTGGTACTTCCAAAAACTTTACACTTCCCGGATGCAAAATGGTACGTTTTTTGCCACTGGATCAGGTCCCCCACTGTACAGTTGGCAGAGAAAGATATAGAAAATTTTGATGAAAAATCCCAAATCGGCAAACTCTTTGTGAATTTTTTTACTCCGCAGATCAGACTGATCCTTTTCGTACCTTGTTTACACAACACATAATCCAATCCGAGGGGGTTTAACACCTGAACTTGTTCATGAAGGAACTGTTGACTCAGCCGACTCAGCAGATCCTCATCGTATTTTAGCCGCTTCACCGAGTCCGGACTGAAGACTTGAGGCGAGGGAAGGTCGGTCGAGCTTTGGTTGAGGTCTGAGGAGGAGTGGGTTGAGGTTGGGGGCGACTGGCATTCTTCCTTCGAGCATTCGGCCGCTCTTTTTCGACTCCGCCGTTCCGTTTCCTCATTCAGGACCTGATTGTAGACTTCAGGGTGTTTGTCGCGCAAGTGTCGACCCGCCACGGTCGTCGACGGTGGCCATGTGTAGGTTGCTGTGCACAATCCCACCTCACATTTGTAGACATTCAGCTCTCGTTGAACCTTGAAATGTCGCCAGATTGAGTGCCGTCCGTGGAACTTGGACTCTGCCGGGGATTTTGTATTGGACTGGGCGTTCAGCTGTTGTGGTGGGGTGGGGGGAGAGGTGAGCTGCTGATTGAGTTGTTGGAAAAGGAACGGGAAGTTGAGGAGGTTGGCTGGAGGAAGGAAACTGAGCGGGTTGGCCTCGAAGTTGGCCGGATCCGGAGGGTTCAGCGAGTTGAGGAAGAGATGTGGAGTCATCAGATTGCGCAACTCTTCCGAGTCCATCATCGCCTTCAAACGGCATGATTAGGATTGTTTTAAGGCAAACATTTCGCGAAATCAAAAGATATGAGTAGTATGAGCTACAATAGAGTAGACTATGGGAGTTTAGGCAGTATTTACATGTAAAATTTGCAAGAATACCAAATTTAAGTCATCAAAAGTTAGGACAAGTATCTTTAACCCTATTTTAGTGCCAAATCAGTGGCCAAGACTTCCTGCACCCCGGATTATTAGCTAAAACAAATCAAGGGCCAATCAGCCGACTTTATAAACGCTTACAAGCCCATCAGAACCTGTTATAAAGACCAATAAATTCCAAAAGATCAGAGAAAAGCGAAAAGATCGCGGCGAACGCAGAGAGAGGCGACCACTTTTTTAGGTATGAAAAAATGACCGAGAAATGACTCGTTTTTCCCAATGTAGCAAACAGTTGTGCCCCGAGGGCAAAATGCGGACCGGGGCTTTTGAAGGGAGAAGGGCCGATGAGTTGGTATTATGAATATTGTGGGAATGGGATGTGATTATTGTTTTAAATTAAACATAACGACTCCCGAACTGGAACAGTCATGATGGGAAATTGTTTGAGAGACATGACCCCCTAAGGGCCTAAAAACTTACAAAAAAAATCAAAAAAAAATTGGGAAAAAATCAAGAAATCTCGTTTGCAAAACACTAGCACGTGCTAGAAAGACAAACAAAGAATAATCAGGGAGTAAGAAGTATAAATAGCTCTACCTTTTACATTTTTAGAAACATATAATTACCTCTAATTTATCCCATTACACCTAGTATAATATCAGCTTTACAGAATTCTTTATAGAATCGTAGGAGCTCCGGATTACATTACAAACTTTACACTGTGACAGCACTAATTTGCAGATCGTAAAAAGTTTTAGTCGTACTATAAAAATTAGCAATACAGTAAGTTTGATCTCGCACAGTGCAATCAACAAAAAGTCAAAGTCAGAAACACAGGAAACCCCCTCGAAATAATGGCTCATACAGTAAAGCAGAGAGTGTGTTAAAGGTGTAATAGGCATGGCCGACCTCGAACACATGTGGAAAGTGTAAATGTAAATCCCCCCACATCCCAAAAACGTTTCAGAAAGATGGGCGGGGCCGCCGGATATGTGGAAGATCTGGCGTCGTATGTTTACAGATTACACCTGGGGAGTCATGGCTGATGACGTCCCATGACGACTCGGATCGCGGGCGTGCGGAATTCTTGGCCCGGATAGAGATTAGCCCGCACTACTGTTTAAGGACTACTGTTTACTTCGGCTTTTGTCTCTTCCCTTGTAAACAGCGGTCAAGAGGAGAGAGAGAGAGGGGTTCGCGGAATATTTCAGATCATCCCCGCAGGTGTTGTTGAATGTCAGAGAGTGAGGGGGAAGGGGGAATGAGGAACGAGAAACATTGGGGACAATAACATCAAGAATAAGATAAACATTAATCTTATTTTAGATGTTGCCCAAGGCAAGCAGTCGGCTCTCTTAGATCAGGATGTAAGGGAACTTTCAAGGCCGTCAGAGAGTCATAATGCGACGGGTTTACCTTTTAAGGAATCCAAGTTTTTAAAAAAACTTTGATGACTTGTCGACCCAAGTGTAATATGTTGACGCCTTTCGCTATATGGGACATTTGTCAAGTGCCGTCACAATACGGGGTCTTTCTATCTTAATAACGATTTTAGAGAGCGAACAATCTGTTTAGGAATCTTCTTTCATATTATACCCCGATGTTATCAATGATGACAAAGGCGCCAAAAAAGTTTAATTTCGACTCCTCTACAAAGCGAAGGCCTAATCTAATGAAAAGCCTATCATAACCAATGAATCTACAATCTAATTAAACCAATAATCCCGTCCCATCCCCGCTTCACACCCGGATATCCAGCGATTAACAAAAGGAGTCCGTGGAGATCTCGGAAAACGGCCAAAACACTGTACGTTTCCCAAATCCACGCCCCCACGGGCCCTCCGGGGTACCGTAGGGGATCCCGTCGGAGAACGGCGGATGTCACGCGGGCCCAGATCATCCGGCCCTGAGGCCATTTCCCCCCATTTTTGGCGGGGATTCCCAAATGGCATTGCGCAAAACAAGAGATTTACCTGAGGGCTTTGTTTTAACGAATGTTTACATGGACTCCGGATGTGGTCGAGGGGAGATAAGCACCGCGACTTCGCGGCTTAAAAGGCCCCATAAACATGGCATTTCGAGGGTGATAACACTGTGGGATCAGACCTCGTGTTCCGCGTGATGGGAGAGGATGCGGATCTCACGAAAAAATCGTGTTTTTGCGACATTTGAAACAAAAACTTTGCAAGTGTACGTTATGTTAGCTACAATAGCGGATAAGTGGTGGATATCAGACATTCCTCAGCTCTGATGCTTTTAATTAGCACCCAATTTTCCATCCTCACACCTAATGTCTAGTGCAATATACGACTGTCAACGCCCTATCCGACCGTAACTTGTACTCAACAAAAATCAAATTCATGGGTCAAAAATAACTTGATACTCGCTCGACCCTCGCTAATTTCACCAATTACCTTACAATTTCGGGCCTGCTAAACTGATTAAATCCCCGGTCCCACCCCCCGCTGCACACGATGTAATCCCCGTCTGTAAAACCCTCAAAGAACAGTGGGCTAAATGGGGATATCATTAAATCGCTAATTGACTTAATCAGGGAGCCAAAAATACCCGCAAAAGATTTGCGGGAATTTCGCCTGCGGCCATGTGGAAATGAGACGTTTTACGAAATGAATTAATCATAATAGAGCCGTCCAGAAGCGGGGATGTACGTGCAGGATGCCCGGTGTTATTGTAGGAAGTGGTGATGTTGGAGGGGAATGGATCAGAATTGAGGTGACTTTGTTAGCATTATATCTTGATGTACATCAACATCTTGATATCAAATTTAAAAATTGGTTATATTAAAGTATCCTCTAATAGTTACTGGCAAGAGAATAGACAGTAATGGAGTAAGAGGTCCTGTCCATAATTTTCGACGTCCATTTCCTTTGATTTTCTACTGTAATATTCAAAAATCATCAATTCTTCGAAAGCCGACACACCATAGATTCGTCAGAGGTTTGGTCCTAAAAGTCCCAGAATTATCTCTAAATATTCCAGAACATCAAATAACAAGCTCTTTGGGGTACGAAGTGATCCCCAAAAACAACAGTAAGTCCTCGGAAATCCGAAACAAAGGCCATTAATGGCAAGTGTAATAGAAATGTCTCCCCCCATTTCCTTGTATCCACCGTTACTTATAACCCAACATCCGCTCCGTTATATAGCGGGGATGAGCTAAGCCATGCCCAGAACCGGCAGATAATCAAGTGGGATGTAGAAATACGAGATCCCAGTGTAATACTCGAATAATATGTAAATATCAACGAGTCGACGCCTCCTTGCCAAGTAATCGCTGAGCGAGTAGTCTCAAACAAGCATGACCCACATCTAGGAGGGATAATCCCAGCAGGGATTACGGTATTGTTTGCGTACATTGTTCCTCTGGAATCGGGAAAGGCCCCAAGGCGGAAATCCCGGACCCAATTCACGTGAATCTTTGTGTATTCCTCCGAATACAGTGCGTATGATAAGCCGGATAAGGAGGGGGGGATATAAACAAGCCCACAGGTCCCGCGCCTGATGGTAAACAGGCTGCGTGTGGGATGCCAAGGTACGGGGAAGAAGACGAGATGTACCTCCTCCTTTGTCAAGGATGTTATGCGAATTTACGTAGGTGATTACTAGGGCATAAGGGAGGCTTTGTTTACGACTCTACCGTATGAAAGACTGGTACTTTGAAAGTTTTCCCCACTATTCTAATTTTTATTGCAATCAGTCTGTAAGTCGTGGGATCAAGGCATGATAAATCCGAAACTTTGAGCGAATGAAAGCTCATAGATTTTTAAGCCGTACGCAAAGTTTTTAGTTCTTCCGTAGCAGAGGTCGTCGAAGTTATAGGAAGACCAGGGACCCTTCTTTTCGTAGCCGTTCCTCTTCACTCTCCATAATCTCTCGTCTCCAAATCTTGTTGCATATCTCGGCTGCCATAGCAAAGCATTAGCTAAAATTTTTGCAAAGATTTTAAAAGTGCTGCATGAAGTACAATCTTCATGCATCACTGTTTATATTAATCATCATCAAACTCCACCACCCTAACTGTGTTGTCTACACTTTTCCTCCAATTATCCCGATCACCATCGTCTCAAGCCCTTGCACTTTTAAACCCCGCTGTAAAACTCGTAGAAATCCTGATGTCTCATCGCTCTCCGCACTGACAATCTTGTAATCCTGCAGCGAATCATCGGTATTCTCCCTGATGCAGTCAGTTGTAATTATAATCCCATTACACACTGAACTTTACTCTGGAGATGATGCAAAACGAAGCGAGAGAGGGGGGATATAAGTGGACGTGGAAGATTCGAACAGGTTGAAGGACAGGAGTTCATGACGAAGACGCGAATCCAATCGCGTCAATGAACTTTAAAACAGGGAGGCCAAGGATCGGATCTCTCGAATAATATCAATATTTGTGAGTGATGTCAGACAGGGGATACGAAGGTTTAGGCTTTTTTTGCTTTATAACAAAGAATGGGAAGTTGTCATCAGACGCAAAACATGTTGACAATTAGGGTATTAGGGGAAATTTTGGGAAATAGAACGTAGTCTATTAGATTCTCTCAAGTGAGATGCTTCGATTTTTGTGAAACTTGGCATAGAACAAGATTAGAATTTCCTAATACGCTAGCGAGATTTTTAGCTCGCACTTTGCAGAAACCACCGATATTTTGAGGGCTAAGGCTGGGAAAGACGGCAAAAATCCTGCGGAAATTTCCCGGGTAAAAATTCATCAAAATCTAAAGACCGCAACTCGAGACTTTCCCCTTTAAAATAGCTCCCTGTTCACCTCAATAAAACATACTCTTAAACTCACTTTGACAGTCTATTTTACAGAGGCCCCACGACAATATTTTCTACAAAGTCCTCTG